CTGCAGATTCGACAGTACTCCGTACAGCCTGTGAGAGACGTAGCAAAAGCGACGATAGACAGCCAGACCTTCCTTTCGGACGGTCGGACGGAGGGGGAAGCTCGAGCTCAACGTCGTCCTCGTAGCGTTGTTGTTGTCGAGCTAGGCAGTTTCATAGTGGCAAAAGTCAATCCGCCGGGCCTCACACGATCCGCGCAGCTAAAGTTTAAGGTATGTTTAGGGGCGCGATGCAGGAGGCAGGAAAAAGCAAAAAGCGTCCTTAATTCTTTCTATCCGGACCATCGGGTCGTCGAGGCGAGGCTTTGCTTTTTCTGTGTTGTGGTCACGTGGGTGGGTGGTCACGGGTGCCGGCTGTCAAACCGTAAACGCGTCGAGGAGGTGAAGAGCTCCAGAGTCGTCAACAGTGAACACACGAAGGCTGGGGATAGCAACAGCCCAGGCAAATCATCTCAGGCTCGTTGTTCGTTGAGGAAGGCTGCTAGTTGACCTAGAAGCCCACCATGGCGCCCCTCTGGAGTCGCAAACGCGACATGCTGTACCTGTTCTTCTTTGCAACGCATCTCCCGATCATCTTCAGTAGGACTCCTCTGCTTGGGTTATCGGGCTAGAAGCTCACTGACGCCATCGTCACAGTGGTCGATACGGTTCCTATCCTCCCTGCCGCGCTGCAGACGGACCTGATGCACCGCGTCCGCGACTTCTACGTGAACACGTACCACGACAAATTCTTCGAGGCGCCCCAACCGGTCTGGTTCACGGCCTTTATCTGGATGGAGCTGTTGTATCATGCTCCCTTGAGCCTGTGGGCTGTGGGCGCGTTGATCAGAGGTGAACCTCCCTCTCTTCCTAGCTCTGCCGTTTTCATATCGGCATTAGTTAACAGCTGCAGATGACCCTATGGTCCCCGTTCATCTCCTGGTTTTCGGCATGCAATCCTTCGTCACGACAGTGGCCTGTCTAGCGGAAGTCTGGAGCTGGACCGACCGCTCCCTGGTCGAAAAACAGAACATCACTATGCTCTACGGCCCGTATATAGCTTTCGGTGAGTACTTTCTTCTTGAACCTGACTAGATATCTTGTATGGTTGCATGCTTACGGTACAGGGGGGCTTGTGGCGTTGGATATGTTCACCAGGCTGCGGAGACAGTTATGCTTGAAGCCAAAGCAGGAGTAGGCTTTTGTACAATTGACCATAATATCATGATACCCATATAAGGAAGAGAGGTTGCAGTCAATTATTCTATATTCAAGTGTACGTTATACAATATGCTGGCTCTCACTTCTAGCTGTCTATGATGAGTACACATTGAGACATTATCCGAGGAGAGAGATCAGATGGAGCTCTCCAATAGAGGCCATTCATATTGAACATTAGGGACCAGGTAGATAGGAAAACATAGAGAAAAAAAAAATAAAGATAGAACTAGAGCAAGCCATATACCCCTCCTGTCGTTCGTCGTACAGAGTCCCATAGATAGAAGGAAGAAACGAACGCCTTTTGGAAAATCCAGAATGTGCATGCAAGGCAAAAACGGGATTCATAGAGTGGAAGGGGAACCCGTCAAAAAAAAAAAAGAAAAGAAAAATAAGAAACAGTGTATTCATTCACTCTATCGAAGAACATCTTCAACCTTGGCCCGCAGTTCCTGCGCCATTTGCGTCTGCTCGGGCGTCATCACCCCTTGCTGGAGGAGCAGGAGGAGGGTCTCCGAGATGCGCATGGCGGCCGCGTCGCTACCAAAGACAACGCCGCCCAGCCGCACAGAATGGAGGAACCAGTGGTCGATCAGGTAGAGCAGGTCCTTGGCGATGTATTTGCGGTTGGTACCTTGGAAGGGCGCCTCGTCCGTATAGTACATGGCTTCCAGGTTGGAGAAGAGGGTCTCGTGTGGCACGTCGAGGTCCAAGAAGAGGTCGATCACCCATGTCGCCGGTCCCACTCCGCGCTGGTACTCTACGGCGTATCGCTCCAGCATGGGAAGCAGCAGCGGGATAGGGAAGACGGTTTCAGACATGCGCAGCCGCCGGCCGAGGCTGCGAACCTTCTCGATGACTGCCTCATACGGCTGCGAGGTCGCCTTGTTGATGGTTTCGTCGTGCAGATCTTGTAACAGGTGCTGCCACGTCGCTTTGATGTCCGCCGAATTGCGGTAGTCCGCTTGGAAGAAGATCTGAAGGCAGATGTCATAGTAGCTGCCTGGGTCGGCGAACTGGTTGAAGAGCTACAAATTGTCAGAAAAGTACTTAAAATAGACGCAAAGGTCAGTACTTACAGTGCTGATGTCCATGATCGGTCCATCGACCTCCTTGAGAACCTCCGGTTTTCGGTCAGCAGCAATACGGTTGTCTTCTTTGAGGCGTTCCAGGAGATCATCCTGCACACTAGCCACATCCATGAGGACAGAAATCTCCTGCAATAACTTCTGTCGAGCCTGTCGGCCCACATCCGGCGTGAACGTGGACGCATTGGCCCGAGCACGGCCCAGATACTCGATGCGACGACCGAGGGGCAGCGCAAAGGCACTTTGCGCCAGTTGGAACTGGACCTTGGCCGCTTCAAAGTACCGCTCGGCTTGGGCGTAATACCGCCACAGTAGATCCGCGTGAGTGATGTCGTCCTCGGACTTGCGCTCCAGATAGGTCACCACGAAGGGGGCCTTGATCTGGAGCAACCGCTCGCTCCAGCCTTGCTCCAGGTACCAGTCATACAGGCTGGTAAGGAACACCTCGTCTGAAGAATCGGTGATCACACCATATGCCTCGTTCTTGCGTTTCGCAATCACGGTGAACTGGCCGTCGATCATTCCAGGATCATGCGCGGCGAGTGTATCCACCGCAATGATGACTTTGAAAATTAGATCGTAGCATTGTTTGCGGAAATAGAAATAATCCTTTCGCGAGTCCTTTTTGGTGCGTCAGCTTGGGTATCAAACGCGTTGTCCTCAAAAGCCGGCCTACTTACGTCTTCAGAGCGTCCGTCAACGATCCACGAGAGGGCCATGTTGGCCTTGTCGGAAGATGCAGCAACATTCAGAGCGAGTTGAATGGCACCTAGCATGTTCGGTTAGATATAAAAAAAAAAGATACGAAGAGAAAAGAAGAGCCCACCTGCGAAAAACTGATTATGGATGTAGCTCTCCACCGCGGAAAGGAGGTAGTCCATGGGCAGACTATCCGAGACCTGCTGGAAAAGATGGAGACTCTCGTTGAGCAGGTTGCGTCCGAGTTCCGAGTTGGCACCTGCTTCTGTAGCTCGCTTGAGAAGCTCCTGTGCCTTGAATATGATGACGTCCTCTGCGCTGCAGAAGCTACCGCAACGGCGACGCAGAGCATCTGCCACGGTCTCGACGTTGGAGCCCTTGGCAATGTTACGGTTGACGATTCCCTTGACCAGTTCCTTGGCGATATCGTAGCCCTTGCTGGTGCTAAACAGCTCCTCATAAGTCAACTTCAGGAAGCGCTGTTTCGACTCCTCGGGCAAGGTGCCCACGATCTCGTCCACACGCTCATCGAAGAGCACGAGCACAAAGGAAATCCCCTCAATCGTGCGTGAGACAAGCTGCACGAGCGAGTGCAGAGCACGGTGCTCAGCCTGCAGGGCCGTCTCCTCCTGCTTGTTGGAAACGCGCGTTAGGGCTTCGGGCCCGCTCAGACCTTCAATGAAGTTCTTGTTCGCCTTGAAGAAGTCCTGCAGGGCGGACAGATCGCGTTGCACCGCCTGCAACCGAGCAATCGCCACGGACGGGGCGATGGTCTGCGCACCGTTGGCACCGCGTCCGACCTTGGCGATCTCCTTGCGCCAGATTGAGCGGACCAACCGCGAGATGTACAGGGCGATACCCGCGTGTCGTGGGGATGGCAGGATGGCATCAATAGCCGATGTGGCGTTGTCGGAGACAGCATTCTCATTCATGGTGGGCCGGCCGCCGTACTCGATAAAGACCTTGCGGGCGAACTCGAGCACGTCGGGATCGTTGATCTTCGTCAGGCGCGAGTCCGGCGAAACCTCCACGCCTTGGCCGCAAGCGACCGCCAGCGCTGTGGCGAGCGTCTCGCTTCGTCCATAGGTGCGAATGAAATTTTTGATCTCCCCTTCTAGGCCCTCGTCGCCCGTTCCACCACGCACCAAGGCGGCGAACATGTCCACCAGACGTCGACGGCGGATGACGTGAATCCCCGTGTTGGTCAAGATCGCAATCTCGGCGGCCGGGTTGTCAAACTGAATAGCCAGCTCGTTTCCAAAGCCACCAGGGGTGTTGGTGGCTGTCGCCGGCGGCGAACACAGTCCGATATCCTCGGCGCGACTGCCCAGGGACAGCCAGATGGCCGTTTCGGAAGCCTTGCCGGGGATCACGGTTTCCTGGGAGCGAGCGACACGGCCTGAGTCAGGGGCCGAGATGAACAGCGAGTCCGATTTCTGCATGGAGTCCTTGCAGGTGAAGCAAAAGAAGTATCCCGGCGGGAATCGCGCCGAGAAACGGGTTGGGTCCAGGGAGTGGATCGGAACCTTGGAGGTGATCGGTGGCTGGAACCTAGCCTGGCCGGGAAGAGAAGCATTGATGGCCGCCGCGGCCGCAGCCGACGGGTTATCGAAGGGGGGGGTCTTGACATGGTGGGCTTGCATGCTGGTCGGCGCGTTGATGACGTTCGAGGCTGGCGACCAGCTGTAGGTACCGGTGGCGCTCAGATAGATGCGGTACCCAGTGCCGGTTGTTGCCATGAGGTGATAGCGCGACGCCTCCGCGACGGGGATGGGACTGATGGAAACGATCCTGACCTTGGGGTTGAGGGTCTCGTTGGAGGTGACGATGTGGCCGATATTCGAATAGATATCGGCAGCCGGTTTGGTGATGGCCAGAACCAGGGTGCCATCCGGCTTCATGTGAAAGACGCGGATTGTGGAGGCTGAAGAGAGGGTGTAAAGCAGATTCCGGCTGTCATCGATCTCCATCTGTTCCACGTGCTCGAAAGACTTTTGGGTGAAACTCAGGCTGGGCGTGAAGGCGGCGAGCCGGGAGCTGGTATGATTCACCTTGGCGCACCGGCCGGCAAACCACCGCTCCTCCTGCTGGTAGGTCAGCTCGTGGACGTCATTGTCGGAGGAGCCGCCGAAGAAAACCCGACCGGTCGAAGCGGACGAGGCAAAGACGTGAATATCCAGGCCGCGGATGGAGGCCAACATGCCGGTTTGGTACAGAGAGACCTGGCGAGCGCCCGAGGGGGTTGTCTCGCAGCTCATGCCCAGCAGAATCACATCCGCCGTCGTCGAGACGACCAACAAGTGGTTGATAGCCGGCAGAAACACCCCTGGCCGCGGCTTCGCCAGGTGGACGGCGTTGATGCTGTTCGGTTGGTCCTCGAAGCCGACCAGCTGCGGATTCGGGTGCGTGTAATCCCAGATATACAGCGCGTTGTCAATGGCCACCCAGGCGTGGTTCAACTCCGCAAACAGACCCATACTAGTCGACACTTGGGCGCGGTTATACTGATCGAAGATCTGGTCCGGGATATTGTACATCTTCACTTTCTGGAAGGGTGCCCAGCCGGGGGCAGTGGGAATATCATAATCGGACGAAAACCCTTCTATATGGTATTAGCAGGGTATCTCCCTCTCTCTCTCTCTCTCCAACTTACGCGACAAATAGCTATCCAGGTCCGGATAGCGCGCCTCCTGGGCCATCGTATCATTGATGGTTCTTGTCGCACGCTCTTCAGTGCTTAACGTCTGGCTCTTGCTCTTCAATGCAGCCGGAGGCACCTTGGGCAGGGCTGCCGCAGCAGCACCAGTGGGCAAGGTAGACGCAGCGGAGGCCTGCGGTGCGGGCGAAGGGCCAGCAGGACCCGGTCTGGCGCCGAACAACGACCCATTCTGCACCGTACTGGCCGCAGGGGTCTGGAAATACGTCCCTGGAAGCGGTTTCTGCGGCGTCTGCGGATTCAGCGTCGGGTAGGACGTGGCCATGGCGAGCAGCTCGTGCCGGGGGGGGGCGTCACGCTGCCCTGGTCAACAAGCGGGCACGGTATAGGGACAGAGGGACGACAATGTCGGTAGAAAGACAAAGAAGGAAAGGAGGGCAATCTCGTAAAGCGCTTCGTAGCAGGTCCCCAACGTGTCTGCTCGTCTTGGGTCTGGGAAACTCCAGAGTCGTGTTTGGGGAGCCTCAGACGAGGAGGAGAGAAACAAAATTGCGCACGGGCCAGGAAAGCTCCGCCTACGACTTTTGCAATAACAAGAAGAAGAAGAAACAACTACGACAGTCTGTCTCGACAGCCTCGATTCTAGCCATCTCTACCGTTTTCCAAGGGTATTAATTCTCAAGGAAAATGTTCACTGCCAGGATTGCAACCCGGCTCCCTCTGCGGTGCGTGCGGTGGACGTCCACGGAGAGTCTGCCGCCGCTGATGGGCAAGATTCGGGCCGATCTGAAGACGGCGATGCGGGCAAAGGATACAGTGAGGTGAGGATTTTACTTGTAGATATTGACCAGGGATTCAGCTGACGAGGTAGGCTCACTGTGCTGCGCGCTCTGATCTCCGAGACGAACAACGCCGCCAAGACCTCCTCGCCCATCCAGACCGACCTTCAGCTCCTCTCGTTGATCCGGAAACGCACGGCGGCGTCACGAGAAGCCGGCGAGCAGTTTGCTGCAGCCGACAGAGCGGACCTCAAGGAGAAGGAGGATGCGCAGGTCGCCGTGCTGGAGGAGTACGCGGGCCAGGTGGAGACGATGGACGTGGCGGAGATTGAGGCCATCGTCGCGCAGCAGATCGCCGCCCTGAAAGACACCGACAAGAAGGTCGAGGTTGGGGCCGTGTTGAAGGCGCTGTTTGCGCCGGGGGGTGCGTTGGATGGGAAGCCAGCCGAGAGGGCAGTGGTGGCTCGCATAGCCAAGGAGGGTGTGAAGAGCGTATAAAAACCGTGCAGGGTGTAAGGTTGTATATCAAGACGTTTTGTACGATATGGTAGAGGTTCAATCATTGCTCCAAGAAATAATATAACGATAAAAAGCGATAAAAATCTAATATACACCCGACGCCTCATGCAGACATACCCGGACATAACAAACGCCAATGCAGACAGGTTACGAAGCCATCCATCTAAACAGGCCACACACTTCCCCCCCAGCATTATTAGAAGGTAAGCATCATGACCCCCCCCGCGGAGGTCAGGACAACGCCGAACCACCACCACCGGTCCGCGCTGGCGGGTTCGACCGTGCGTTTCCGCACGGCGAGTGTCCCGTACGGCGAGCCAACCACCCTCTCCTCGCGCTCTTCGTCGGTCGTGAACAAATCACGCTTGCGCTTGGCGCTGACCGTTTCTGTGACCGTCGGGTTCAGCGTCGAGGTCGGCAGCATCTCCGGCGGCTTGTAGACGAGGTACATCGGGTGCAAGAGGGAGCCGTCGAAGCTGGTCAGATCGAGGCGTTTGACGCCGTGGTAAGGATCGGTGTACACCTTGAAGCCCTGCAGATTTGCAATCAGCACCATCACAAACACAAGTTGTCCAACTCAGCCAACTCACCGGGAAGGTCTCCGTCTCGTTGTACCGCGTGTAGATGCCCACGTCGTAGGAACAAGGCTCCGACAGCAGCTGGCGCCCGTCGACGGCGATCGGCGTCAGTTTCAGCTCGTTGTCGCTGCTCACGGTGTAGGTGCCGTGTTGCCACTGCATGATTCCTTTCGGACAAGCAGGGTCGGCGGCTGCATTCGTCAGAAATGAATCCAAAAAAAAAAAAAACGAGAAAAAAAGGAGTGTAAAGCTAGGAGTCACTGACGGTTCGGAATGGCGCGATAGTAAGCCTCTTCATAGTGACCGTCGGAGGTGAACGAGTAGGAATACCCCGTCAAGGAGGGTTCGAGCAGCGTATCATTCACAGGGTCATAGAAAGTCTGCAAATAGTCAGAATGAACTCGCACTATCACTGCCAGTGGATCATGGTCTCCTACCGGCCCCGTAATCACTTTGCGCGTCTTCGTCGACCACGTCCCAACCAGGTCGGACGCGTTGCTGCTTGCCTGGCCGGCCGTCACCAGCAGTCCGAGACAGACAAGCGTCGAAAGCATGGCGGGCGCTTTCAGATCAAATGAGAGGAAGAAGTTGAATTGTTCAGACACGACGGCGACATCGAAAAGAAGAGCAGGGGAAAAGACTGGACGAAGGGGGGGGGAACAGGCCCACGGCCAAGCCACGGTGATCAGACACTCTTATTTAAGCGGCGCGGGCCAATGACGATCTATACCAGCATTCCAGGCCGATTATGACGGTACGAGTCGCTGGTTTTTGCTGAGAGGCCGATATTTGCAACGCTCGATCGCCAGTCCAGATGATGGCGAGTATTCAGACGGCGAAGAAGGAGCTGCGGCAGCGGATGCGCTGCGTCCTGCAGAGTCTGCCACCGGAGGCGATCGCCGCACAATGTGCGCCGGTGACTTAGTTCTCTACTTTGCAAGACATTGCGATGTGATCGGCAGGACTGACAGTATTATTCTGTAGCAAAAATTACGAGCGAGAGGCTGTGTGCGCTGCCAGAGTACCAGCAGGCGCAGCGGATCGGCGTCTATCTCTCCATGCCAGCGGGGGAGCTGTCGACCACGGCCATCGTACAGGACGCCCTCGCCCGCGGCAAAGAGGTGTTTATACCCTACATACATCGGGTCGAGGCGGAGCCGGCCCAGTCGAAAAGGGTCTCTGTCATGGACATGCTGGCGCTGACGTCCATGGCCGAGTTCGAAGCCCTGGTTCCCGACCGCTGGGGGATCCCCTCGCTGCAGGCCGAACAGGTTACGGACAGAGACAATTGTTTCGGCGGGCAGGGAGTATCGCCGCGCAGGACGATCGAGTCCACGGGGGGCGACCGCCACGGGCTCGACCTGATCGTGATGCCGGGCATGGCTTTTGACACGGGGTTCCGCCGGTTAGGCCATGGAAAGGGATATTATGATTATTTCTTGACTCGATTCTCCAAAAACGAGGCCCAGAGCAAGTCCGGGACGTTGAAGATGCCTTTTCTTGGTAAGAAACCAACCCCCCTGCGCCGGACAAATAGACATAGAACACACAAGGAGACACGAAAAAAAAAGGAAGAAAAAAGCACGTTCTAACAGGGAAACAGTCGCCCTGGCCCTCCACGAGCAAGTCCTTTCGCCGCCCGAGGAGATTCCAGTCCTAGATCACGACTGGCTGGTAGATGCGCTCATTGTGGGCGACGGGCGATTCCTCGTCCGTCACTGAACCTCTTTTTTTTGTCCCGAGTTTTAAGAGAGAGAGAGAGAGAGAAAAGAAAGTCATCTCATTTGCTCCGATGTATTATGAACTCCCTCCCAGTTGTAGACCACCAAACACCCGTAAACCCATCCTCAGGACTGGACGGCTTGGATCAGCGACACGTTGTCTCCCTTGAGCAAGATTTGGCCTGCTCTCGTCAGTTCACATTCTATATTTTTTCCTCAGACACCATCTCGTACCAAGGTTTCTCCGCTTCTCCTCCTCGGTCTTCGTAGCCAGTCGCACCTCCACCGCGTCGTCAATCACCAGGTTCATAAATTCGTCGAATCCCTAGACCGCCGTCAGCCCGTTCATTCCCTCCCTCCCGTCATGCGCGCCCCCCAGACTCACCCTGATTTTCCCTTCTATCCGGAAGGCCAGCTGCTCGTACAGCCAGATAGACACCGTCGAGCGCTGCTGCAGCAGTCGGAAGATGAAATGGATGGGAGCAAGCAGGGTCTTGCGACCACCGCCACCGCCTCCTCTGCCGGCCATGAGATGAGGAGAGAGAAAACTGTGATGAAAAGAAGAAGAAATAAACGGTGCACACGAACACGAACAATGGAAAAATACACCCAACTGCGTTCGTTGCCAATGTCCAGGTCCAACCAGCAGGAGAGTGGAAAATGGAAAGCTCTCTCTCTCTCTCTCTGTCTCTCTTCCGTCAGTCTCACTAACCACGGCTCCGCTTTGGCGGCAACCACCACAACTTTTCCAGCTGGGCGAAGGTCCCTGGCCACATCCCACCTGCCCTCCTCTCGCTCTCTGTCTCTCCCCGTTGCTGTCGGTTCTGAGCTGTGCCTGCGCTCTGGGTTTCGACTGTTGGCTTCTCTAATTACGCCCGGTGGATGGTTTAATGAGTAGAGCCAGTCAGTGTTGCCCTCCTCAGCCTGGCTGAACCCCTCTCCTCCTCTTCCCCGATCATTTTTCTACGATACCCAAACAGCCCACCTTTTTGAAAAGACGACAATGGCCAGTAAGGACAGGAGCGCCAGCCAGGCCTTTGGCCCCGTGTTGGCTGCGGTCGCTACGATGCAAGGAAATGTCCCGCGCTCAGAGAAGACGCACGCCCATGAGTTTCTCGAGAACTTTCAGAAATCGGTATGTTTTCTCTTCGCTTTGAGGGTTTTTTTTTTTTTTAAGAAGAGGCTTGTTCTCACTGGTGGACTATAGGTTGAAGCATGGACTATCACGCACGAAATGCTCCAGTCGCCCGAGGTGCCGATCGAGGCGAAGCTGTTCGCGGCAACCACGCTCAAGGGAAAGGTGATATCGAGACACACACAGGCAGCGATAAAGAGGGTACGGACGCGCTGACAACGGGTAGATTACATTTGATTTGGACCAGCTGCCGGCCGAGTCGGTGCCGGCGCTGCGAGATTCGGTCCTGAGCCTGCTCGTGGCGTATGGGTCGGGCCCGCGACCGATCCAGACACAGCTGTGCGTCTGTCTGGCGAGCCTCGCCATCCAAATGACTCAGTGGAAGGATGTCCTCGCGACCGTCGGGGCGACCCTAGGCAGCACGGCGGGCGACTGCGTGCTGGAGTTCCTCAAGATTCTACCGGAGGAGGTGACGGAGGGTCGCAAAATCAACCTCAGTGTACGTTCGGCCGACCTTGACACCCAATTCAGACCAGCTACAGCCCTGTGCACCGTCCAGTCTCGTGCGGGATTCACATAACGGCTTGCACGGGTCCTCTCTCGCCTGTGGGTCCAGTTTCTAATGCGTTTTGTCGTCATACAGGAAGAGGATCTTGCGACAAGGACCAAAGAACTGTTGGAGGATAACGCCGATCAGGTCATGCACCTCCTGGTGCAATATGCGCGCTCGTCCGGTATGTCTTTTGGAAGGGGAAGGGGACGTATGTTCCTTCGTCTGTGACCATTACTAAAGCTTGATTCCTCATTTCTAGCGACGGCCTCCACGAATCCACGCCTGCTCGACTGTATTACGTCCTGGATGCGCGAAATCCCCGCCTCCGAGATCGTCAAGTCGCCGCTGATGGACATCATCTTGAAGGCACTAGATAACGAGGTCTCATTTGAGGCCGCGGTGGATAGCGTGTGTACCCTCTACCGCGACACGCGCGAAGTCGATGACTCGTTGCCCATCATCCAGACATTGTTCCCCCGGATCATGTCCCTGCGGCCTAAGATCGCTGAGTATGCCGAGGCGGAAGACCTCGAAGGATACAAGGGCATCACCCGTCTCTTTGCCGAGGCCGGTGAAGCCTGGATTGTTCTGATCGCTCGCCTCCCGTCCGAGTTCCGGGGCCTCGTCGAAGCCATCCTCGAATGTTGCGCGCGCGATTGGGAGCGCGACGCTGTCTCCCTAACCTTTATCTTCTGGTACGAATTGAAGCAGTATGTCACCTTGGACCGGTATGCGGAAGCCAGAGCCCAGCTAGCCGACGTGTTCTCCAAGCTCGTCGATATCATGGTGAAGCATCTTGAATACCCGCGCCCGGAAGAAGGCGAGACCGATCTCTTTGGCGGGGACCGCGAGCAGGAAGAGAAGTTCCGTCAATTCCGGCACGATATGGGCGACGTCCTCAAAGATTGCTGCTCCGTGATCGGTGTCTCGGAATGTCTCAGCAAATCGTACCAACTGATCCAGCAGTGGGTTTCCAAGTACGCCTCCCAGGCCACAAACCAGCACGTCCCCAACTGGCAGGAGCTAGAGGCTCCCTTGTTCAGTCTCCGAGCAATGGGCCGTATGGTTGACCCGGAGGAGAGTTCTGTCCTACCCCTGGTCATTCCCTTGATTGTACAAATCCCCGACCAAGAAAAGGTTCGCTTCCAGGCCATCATGGCCTTGGCCCGGTACACCGAATGGACCGCTCAGCATCCGGAAACCTTGGAGGCTCAACTCAATTACGTGATCTCCGGCTTTCAGCACAGCTCCCAGGAGGTCATCCAAGCCTCCGCCCTTGCCTTCAAGTTCCTGGGCACCGACTGCCAGAAGCTCTTGGGCGGCCATATCGCCCAGCTTCACACCTTTTACGAGTCCGTCATTGACAAACTTAAGCCCGCCAGCCAAGAGGAAGTCACCGAGGGCGTAGCCGCTGTGGTCGCCGTCCAACCTCTCGACAAGATCTACCAGACCATGAAGATGTTCTGCGACCCCCTCATGGCACGAATTATGACCCTGGCCAACAACGCCAAAGACGAAGAGGGCCAGAGGGCCGTTGCTGGTACGATATTCCTTTCTGATTCCCTGGATTCTTAATTAGTTTACTAACTAGATGAATAGATCACCTCCAACTAATCACCATCTTCGTCCAAGTGGTGAATCCGTACGTCGGGCCCAACCAGGAGAACCCGGCGGTCAAGTACTGCGCGGAGATCCTGCCCATCATGACGACAATTGTCATGAACTTCACCTCGTCAACGCCCATCCTCGAGCGGGTGTGCCGTTGCTGGCGGTACATGATCATCTCATATCGCACCGCCATGGCGCCCTTGTTGCCGACATTGGCGCAGAGCATTGCGAGCGGCTTCGAGGCCTCCAAAGAAGGTTGCTTCCTCTGGGCCACTGCGGCCGTGGTCCGCGAGTTCTCCGACGGCGTCGAGTTCGTCGACCAGGCCACCAGTGAAGCCGTCTATCACTTTTATGAGCAGCAAGCCGTCGCTTTCTTGCGCATCCTGAACGACTTACCTCCGCAGAGCCTTCCTGATGGTAACCCCCTCCCCCACCCCCCTTATCTATACTCAATCTATTAAAATACTGATACTCGAAAATAGTGATCGAAGATTTCTTCCGGCTCTCGTCCGACGCGATCCGCTTTTATCCCGAGAAATGCATCACCTCGTCCCTTGCTATCCCTATCTTCTCCGCCGCTCTGAGCGCCTTGACACTGCAGCAGGTGGAGCCGGTCACGGCGACATTACATTACTACCGCGATCTACTCGGCTTCGCCTTTGACAAACCGGCGGTGTCAGAATTCACCGGCCCAGACGGCAAGCCGTATTCCAACCCGCCGGAGATCCAGGCCGCGGTCAAGCAGCTGGTCTCGTCGCAAGGCCATCTGCTCGCCCAGCGGGTCCTGACGGGGATGATGTTCACGTTTCCCGGCGACTGCTTCCCGGACGCGTCGGGTGTGTTGATGGCCATGTTTGAGCTGATGCCCCCCGAGTCCGGCGCGTGGGTACAGTCCACCCTCCAGATGCTGCCGGCCGGGACGATGAAGCCGGGCGAAGCTGAGCGACTGCTCAAGGGCATTGCAGAGCGCGTGCAGTCCGGCGATATCCGACGGATCCGCACGCTGCTACAAGGTATTCATTCCCCTTCCGTCTTTTTTTTCCTTTTCCTCTTTCTTGCCTGGATTCGGCTGAGACGATTAGATTTCACCAATTCCTATCGTCGGCGTAACGTCGCCCCCCGTGACGGACTTGGACGACTGGAGGCCACTCGCTTCCGTTTCAGCGGATAGTTTGCCTTGACCACCCCGGTAGGGATTGATTTATCGTTCTGACGCCACTGGAATCGATTTCGCTTCTTCTTCTTCTTCTTCTCCTTCTTTTCGATCGGCTTGTCATGCATGCTACCACCACCCATCGCACCTCAATCCCAACTAAACCGGCGTGACTCTTCGGATTATTCACATCTTGCAGAGAATCGAAGAAGATGACAGTGGGCGAGAACAACCCCCTATGCAAACCCGCATGCCTGCCACGATAGGAATAGGGCTGATTCTTTTTTTCTCTCCACCCGGGGATATAAGGGGTATAGAGAATGAGCAGGTGAGGGAGAGACACTGCTGTCTCCACGAGGAAGAAAAGTGTACTGGTATCACATAATAACTGCATATCATATGATTTTAGAAAACAGCGTAGATGAATGTCATTATATTGTTTATCTTGTGGATTATGAATCAAACTACTTTGTGTTTCTGCAGTTGGTTATTTCTCCTGGGACAATATATATAGTTGCCTAGGTATATATTTTCTATATCATCCTGACTATTCTCTTCTATATTATTGAATATTTATTTTGTAAAAAAACGTTTCTTCTTATCAGACCGAAAAGAAAACAAAAGTATTATCTCTAGAATAATGAATTGTCTGGAGCTTTCGATTTAAATCTTCCATCTTCTCATCATCAACTGCCTCGACCACAGCTAAACTCCACCACTTTTCCTGTCCTTTCGGCTCTTTTTTCTTTATTTCACCCCCCTGGTCTTTCTTTCTGTTCATATCTCCTCGGAGTGACTTCTGAGACTGTCGTGTTCTCTCCCTCCCTCCCTCTCTCTCTTATCCCCCAGTCAGAGTTCCTCGTAAGCCTCCAGTTCGTCATGTCAAAGCAAAACCATCGGAATGCATCAAAGGATTGAATTCATTGAATCGATCAGTCGGTCTGAAGAGTAAACCTGCTTGCTTCTATCGTGACTAGCTCTGTTCCTCGTGCTAACTCGTCGTGTTCAGTCCAGAGAGCGTTTAAATGCCCGTCTCACGAATCCCCTCATCCCCTCATCCCTCCATAGAAACCCCCCGTCGACGAACACCAACAACAAAGAGTCGCCTGAATCAGTAAGTCCAGGGAATCGCTGCCAAGGGCCAATTCGCTGAGTCTGGAGAACAATCACTGCCCACTTTCGCCGATTCCCCACCGCATCCTCCTTCGCCATCCTTCTCTCTCCACAGTGGCCGTCAATCACACAACAGGCACGAATATCCGTGCTTCTGTCTCCCCAGACCCCCCCAGGCTGAAGCACTCCTCCCTCCCCGATCTACGATTTCTCGCTAGAGACGCCTGGGATGGCGTGTTCCGCCCTGTCGAGCCCGTCGTGATCCCTCAATCCGTGGGCGGAATCTCTTCCCTTACCCCTCACTTTCCAATCTCACTCAAAGGTACGGTACCTTACCCCGGAAAACGGCCTCCCCCCTGGAGAGTCCGTCCGTCCGTCAGTCAGTCAGTCCATCGCCATGGCCGACCTCGATCACCGTCCCCGTGAGGGGAATGGCTCCCCCGTCACGAAACGCAAACGAGCCCGCAAGGTCGCCGTGGACAAGAAGTTTGAGTGTCAACACGAGGGCTGTGGCAAGAGCTACTCGCGCGCAGAGCATCTGTACCGGCACCAGCTGAATCGTAAGCTGCGACGCCCCTAGGAAATGCTTTGCTGAATGAAACTGACCGAGAGATCTCTAAAAGACACCCCCAAGCAGATCTACCGATGCGATTTTCCAGACTGTTATCGGTCCTTTGTGCGACAGGACCTGTGCGCGCGCCATCGCGAACGCCATACCACCCGCGGCTCGCAGCTGCAGAAACGGGACTTCTTCTCCCAGACGGCGGTCCGGCGTCCGGATGGCGAGCTCTCGACGGCTGGCGACCGATCGTTGGCGGACCAGGGGCCACCCGCCATCTCCCCCGAGGCCGCCGGTGCGGCCGAGAGGCACGATGGCTACAGGTACCAGAGCCTCATCGACTCGCCCGGATCACAACCCCGGTCGATCCGTCACGACCGTACCGGCAGCCAGAGCCAGACGGTGCATTCGCCCTCCCACTCGACCACCTCGTTCGGCGGCCCCCATACCTTTGCTGGCACATATCCCCACCCTCCTCCGCCGTCGTCTGCGTCTCGGTCAGCCAGCTTCTCGACCGCGGTGAGAACAGGACCGCAGCAGCCGCATCCGCCTGTCGCGCGAGCTCGCACTGCCAGTGTGGCATACTCTCTCCCGGTTGATATGGACCCGTCAGCGCTGATCGATGCATCCTCGTACGTCAGTCAACAGCCGCCAGCAGCCGTCCCTGCCACCTCCGACCTGTCCATGGGTCTGCCCCCCATCACTGATTACTCGGACTTGACTCTAGCGGGCGATTCTACCTTTGATCCCTTGGCGGCGGCTGCCTATCCAATTTTTGGTGGCGAGACCTTCAATCGCTCGCCATTTGCCATGACGGATGACTTTGCGGCCTGGCTGTTCAGTGATCCATTACCCTCCACCGTTTCGTCGTCGATAGGATACGTTTCGACAGCGGGCGTCGTGCCTAGCTACCAAGATCAGGTGCTGCCCCAAGAGCAACAGCAACAACAACAGCAGCAGCAGCAGCAGCAGCAGTTCTGCTTCGATGAACCGATCTACGCCAATTTCTTCTCCAGCGTGCTCACGCCGCAACACCATCCGATGAGTGTGACTAGCCTCGTCGACCCCGGATTGCCGCACGCGCTCATATCCGAGGAGAAGCGACAGGAGCTGTTACTTCTCATGTCGACCCGGTTCAACGAGGCGGCCTATTCGGCCACCGTGACCAAGCGCAAGGATGCCCTGATGGAGGGACAGATAGACGACGATCACCATGTGCTGAGTCTGCGCATGATGCAGAACTACATTGCCTCCTTCTGGCACCATTTCCACCCGCAACTGCCCATTCTTCATAAGCCGACCTTTGTCGCCGACCGAACGCCAAACCTGCTGCTGCTCGCCATCATGGCCATCGGTGCCGCCACGCTGGACCAGGCGCACGGCCAGGCGATGCTCGAGGCGACCGCCGAGCTGGCCAACTTCATCGCCTGGCATCTGCGCTGGGAGATCTTCATGGTCCCCGATTTCCGCCCGCCCGCCAAATTGTGGGTGTTTCAGGCGCTGCTGCTACTCGAGGTCTACGAGAAGATGTACTCGACGCGCGCCCTGCACGAACGCGCCCACATCCACCATGACACCTCGCTTACCCTGATGCGCCGCGGTAGCTCGCTCATCGGCCTCTCCGCCGCCTTTGACTCACCCATGACGCGGGAGCCCGGTCGCTCGGGCACCGCCTCGTCGACCGCGACAACCGCAACCAACGGGTCGGATGGCTGGGCGGCTACTCCGGGGGTCGCCGACGACTCCTGGACGCAATGGATCACCGGGGAGGCGACGCGCCGCGTGGCGTTTGCCGCCTTTGTCCTCGACTCGACGCACGCGACCATGTTTGGGCACTCGGCCAAGATGGTCGCGCACGAGCTCCGACTGCCGCTGCCGTGCGACGAGGCCATGTGGGCGGCGACCAGCGCGGCCGAAGTGGCGCGCGTGCAGTCGAGCCTGCACGCGCACGGTATCAAGCCGACGCTCTTCCTCACCGGGCTGAAGCGCACGCTGAACGGGCAGCGGGTGCGCACCAACGCCTTCGGCCGCACCATCCTGATGGCCGGCCTGCTCAGCGTCAGCTGGCATCTAAACCAGCGTGATCTACAGGTCAGCTCGCTCGGGGTCGCGCAGACCCTCGGCGGCCGCGACAAGTGGCGCTCGGCGCTGCTGCGGGCGTTCGACAACTGGCGCCGGGACTTTGACGAGGCCCTCTCGCAGCAACCTGGAAAGCCTAAACATGACAGCTCGAATCCCACCACTACTGCTGCTACTACTACAACTACCCTGTACTACCCGCTGCACGAGGCCAGTCTCTTCGAGTCGCGAGACGTGCTGCACATCCTGGCGCACATGGGGTCGCATGTCGACATCGCCGATTGCCAGGTGTTTGCGGGCGCCGGACGACTTATGGGCCGGTTCATCACGCCCAGGGACTACACGGCCGCGCGCGAGAAGATGACGGAGCGCTGGGCGACCAAGGCCTCGGCGCGGGACGCCACCTTTTACGCTCTACGGTTCCTGTCGGATTGTCTGCTGCCGAGCACTGACAGTAAGATCAAGAGCAAGAAAGATCAAGATGAAGATCTACTTGGCATAGAGTACCGGGCACACGATGATCATCTGCTCAACCGGCCGTGGGTGCTGTACTTTGCGGCCCTGGTGGTCTGGAGTTACGGCTATGCGCTGGACGGCCCCCTGCCGGCGTCATCATCATCATCATCATCATCATCATCATCGGCGGCGGTGTTGGCGACACCCGCCGAGCAGCGACGCGACATGCATCGCTTCCTGCGGCGGATGGCTCGGGCGCGTGAGCCCGATGCCCTGGAGAGCATGTCCGGGCGCAACGAGAGTCTCGGTCTCCTGCTCGTGCTGCGCGACAGTTTCCGGCACACGCGATGGGAGCTGCTTGACGAGGCGGCGAAGTTGCTGGACAGCTGTATCCAAAGGCTCCGGGGAGAGACACATGCCTAGAGATTTCTATGATATCCTTTTGTTTCACCTGTCATGATATCCTGTACGTACTACTAGTAAATATTTTCTATAAATAATTGTTGTTTGTAGTTTGTACCCACCGGTTTCCCCAACAACCACCAGTTGGCAACCCCCCCTCGTCAGCCACGACTCACCTGTTTATCTCGATAGCCTCTGGTCTATCTGTCTCGACTTGATTCATTCTCTGCTACTCGTTTTGTCTTCACGGGCTTCCTGCTTACATTCCTCTCGCATTCCACATCGTCGTCCTACATCACATAACCACAATGGTACGTACAATACTGAGAAAACAATGAGAACCAGCGAGAAACAGCCAGGAGGAAACTGGAGGTCTAGCAGGTCTAGGAGGTCAGGAGCAAGGGTCCTTGGTTCAGGATCGACCAAGACCGAAATTACTCTGTTGTTGACGGTTGCAATTAATTGACTTTGCCTCCTTCCGTCTCACTCCCGCCGACCTCATCACCCACACCCACACACACACACACACTCTCTCTCTCCCCCCCTCACTCTCATTCACTCTCATTCACTCCTTTCATCACCTTCTTTACTCTCCATCATGTCTAGCCACATGTCTAACCACGACCAGGCCTCGACCAACTACAAGGAAGCGTTCTCCCTGTTCGACAAGCGCGGCACCGGCAAGGTCCAGCTCGAGTCGCTGGGCGACCTGCTGCGCGCCTGTGGACAGAACCCGACCCTCGCCGAGATTGCAGATCTGGAGAAGAACATTGGAGGCGACTGTAAGATGCAGTATACTCTCTATTCGGCTGTGTTTTGGCTGACAAGATTAGTCGACTTCGATGCCTTTGTCAAAGTCCTCAACCGCCCCGGCGGCTTCCGCGAGCCCGGCGAGCCCGAAGAATACTGTCGTGGATTCCAGGTGTTTGACAAGGATCTGACGGGGTTTATTGGCGTTGGACAGTTGAGATATAGTGAGTACACTGCTACACTGGCTGTAGACTGGCTGTAGACTGGCTCTAGACTGACGCTGCACTGCAGTCCTCACGAATCTCGGAGAGAAGATGTCGGACGAAGAGGTCGACGAGCTGCTCAAGGCTGTTGACACCAGCTCAGGCGAGATCAACTACACCGGTAAGTTCTGCACCATCTACAGTCTCCAGTCTACAGACGTCAGCTAACTGGTAGACCTCGTCCGCACCATTCTCGCCAACTGATACCCACGACTTATGACAATGAAGCAGTGTACACGTTTGTTAATATTTAGTCATTCAATCGTAATTCTTTCTCTTTGACTCTCTTTCTGTAATCGAAAGTATCCCAAGTATCTTTCAATCAGTCCATCCCAACCACTCAGCCTTGGTCTCTGCACCCCCCATTCCCTCCGTGTCAACCACCGACCCAGGCAGGAGATAAACCACCCGGGCATTTTCCGTATCCCGCTCCTCCTCTTCTTCCCTGTGGACTCGTTTGAAATGCATCGGGTCAAGAAAGTACCCGACACAGACGCGACACCGACCGCACCGGACCAGCACGCGGCGCTCGAACCCGTCCTCGCGCCGGACCATGGTCGCCTTCCTCTCCGGGATGGCGGTCGACAGGAGGATCGTATATTCTGTCCTTTTCTCCTTCTTATCATCGGCTTGCTCTTCTTGCTGGTCTTGTTGCTCGTCTTGCTCGTCTTGCTCGTCGTCGTTAAGAGGTAGGATGTAGGCGCGGTCGCGACATGGCTCTTTGCGGCGCGGGAGGGAGGAGATGCGGTGCGTGCTTGCCAGCAGGAGGTGGTTGCAGAAGCGGCAGTGGTAAGTATTTATTCTTTTCTTTTCCATTCTGGTCTTGAGATTATTAACTGAATAATTGATACGTTAGGTTAGTTGGGTGTAGAAGTGAAATAGTGGTACTCTAGTATTGAAGGCGGTGTACACTACAACACTACACTATAGTTATGGATACCAAGATATAACATAACTAGATCAGGCCAAGCCCAGCTCTTTATAAAAAGCAGTCGGGTTGGGCTCGCGCCCAAGAAACTCGGTCAGCGTCTTCATCTCGTCCTGGCTGCCTCCCTTCTCCAGCACGCCGTACCGGTACCGTCGCCCGGCCACGGGGTCCATCGGGTTCGCCTTGAAGACCGTGTAGAACATATCGGTCGAATAGACTTGGGAGCTGCACTCGTTAGTTTTTTTTTTTCGAATAAAGTATAGAAAAGGAAAGGGAAGAGACCTTAGATAACCGTAGTATCCTGCGTCGTAGCCGCCGATCAAATGGCCAAAGGTGGCTTCGCCGTGGCCCCATTCGTCGCCCCGACCGAGCGCCTCGGGCCCGTCCATCTGGGTGATCTGCTTGCGGAGCGTGTTGTACGTTGCCGAGATGGGGAGGGCCTCGATCTCGGCGTGGCTCGCCGGCTGGTGCACCTTCATGTCGAAGATGCCAAAGTGCAGCTGGCGCAGGTTGAACAGGGCGTCGTTGACGTGTTTGGTGCGGATGAGCTTGTCGATGACCTCGTCGGGGATGTGTTGCGGGGGAGTGGTGGCAGTAGGGTTGTCTTGGGTGGACTGCTGTTCTTGCCAGGCAGTCAGATATTCAGGCGAGAGTGTGGCATAGTGCCTGCTGAGCGATTTCAGCTGCGAGGGCGTCCAGCACCAGTTCTCCAGCATCTGGCTCGGGGCCTCGACAAAGTCGCGCACCGTGCTCGTGCCGTGGAACCGCGAGTAGATCGTCTTGGAGACCAGGTCGTGGATCCCGTGGCCCAGCTCGTGGAACAGGGTGACCACCTCGTCGTGCTTGAGCAGGCTGGGCTTCTTCGGCGTCGGTTTGGTGAAGTTGCACACCAGCGCCGTCGCAGGGTAGCGGCGCTGCCCGTCGGCACCCACAAACCCCGGCTGCAGGTTGAAGTTGGCCGCGTGGCCGTATTTGCCGTCCCGAGGGAACAGGTCCAGATACAGGTACCCGACGAACCCGCTGCCCTCCCCTTCGTCGTCCCAGACGCTGAACACCTGCACGTCTTCGTGCCAGACGATGTCCTCGCCTTTGCCCGAGGGGGCGATCTGGTGCCGGTCCGCACCCGTCACCTCCACAAACACCAGGCCGAACAGCTCCTCGAAGATCTTCAGCATGCCCTCGATGGTGGTCGAGAGCGGGAAGTACTCCGCTATCAGCTGGTGATCCAGCTGGTAGTCCTTCTCCAGCATGAGGCGGTCGTAGAACCGGTGGTCCCACAGGTAGTAGCGGCCGTCAAAGGGCTCGCCGCGGGCCTCGAGGTCCGCCTTCTTCATCGCGACCAGGGCCTGCCTCTCCTTCTCGCCGCCCGCAGCCAGGTCGGCGCGCAAATCCCCCAAAAAGGAGTCGACCGTCTCGGGTGTCTTGGCCATCTTGTCCTCGATACGGAAGGCCGCGTGGTTAGGGTAGCCCAGCAGGCGGGCCGCCTCGTCGCGCAGGACCACCGCCTCGCGGAACAGCGGCACGTTCTGGTTGCACTTGTTCTCGTTGGCGATCATGACGGCCTTGCGTGTCTCGGCGTTGGTCGCGTACTTCATCGTGGGGAACAGGTCTGGGTATTTGAAGGTCAGCCAGAGCTTGCCGGCATGCTCGCTTCCCTCCTCGCCCTTCTTAAGGCCCGAAAGCACGTCGGCAGGGACGCCGTCTAGCTCCGCAGGCGTGAACCACAGGCCGTCGTTCTCCTCATTCAGGTTCTTCTGGAACTCAATGCTGATCTGACTCAGCCGTTTCTTTATCTCCTTGAACCGCTCGCGCTTCGGGCCGGCCGGCAGGCCCAGCCCGTTGCGGATGTAATCCTTGTGTTCCTTCTCCAGCAACCGCCGGGACTCCGGATCGAGCGATTCGCCCTTTTTCAGCGCGGCGTCGACCAGAGCGAAAACGTCCTCGCGCATAGCGGTCTCAATGAAGAATTCGTCCATCAGCTTCTCGGCCTCGGAGGAAGCGTCCCGCAGCGTCTGGTCGGTCGAGACCGCCTGGTAGAAGCCCAGGATGTGTGACTCGAGCGCCATGGTGTTCTCGTCCTGCGCCAGCGGGCGCACCACACTCGCGAACGAGGCCGTCTCGGGCGTCACGGCCGCAACCACTCCGTCATGGGCCTGGCGGGTGCTCTCGATGAGCCGTTTCGCGTCGGCCACGATCGACTGGGCGGTCGCCGTGAAGACCGGCGGTGCTTGCGGTGGTCGGCGCAGCTTCTCGGGCGCCATGCTGGCGGTGGTGAGCAGGCGGCGGAGGTCGGTGACGGCCGGGGTGTACAGCCGCGATGGTGAGCAGCGGAGATGATGCAGAACCGAGTTGAGTCTGGCGGTGGAGGAAGAGAACGAGGGGCGAGCAAGAGGCGCCACGGTGATCAAGAGGATGCCCACAAGCAGGACAACGACGTGGAGGGGACGGAGGAGGGGTCGTGCTGCAGACAGGGTGACTAAGAAGGGGGGGGGAACGACGTGGCTATGATGCAGAGGAACCAGGTAAGGTTAGGCTGAAAGATCTAGTCAGTAAGAAGGCTTTTCGGCTAGATGATCTGCGTATTTACCTGGTATGCTCCGTACAATGCTTTGAGAGGACAATTCTTTGTTGAAGCTGAATGACAGCTGTTGGGATGGCGACTGATTGGCTGTAGCTTGGTATGTCATGTGATGTCATGTGATGAGTATATCACATGACTCTCCAATAAGGAAGGTGGTCACTTCACCAGTGTCAGACAAGAGCCGAAAGACTCCAATAGATGAATATGTCTATATAAGCTAGTGAGACCACTGCTAATAGAGTACTGCCAGTCCGGCTGAGCTACTCAGAGTGCACTGTGTGCTAGGAGATTTCATAAGTGTACACGGGCTACTGCCATTATCAATTACATGTGAAAGAGGACGGAGGAATACATGACGAGATGTCTACCAGTCCACTGTCTACCGACCGAAGTACATGCGCTCGAGGTAACGAGCAGGCGGGTAGGAGAGGGCGGTGACGACAAAGGTGAGCTCGTTGGCGACGTCGCCGCCGTAAGCGCCGATGAGCTTGGCGAGGGGCCCGACGAACCAGGTCTCGTCCATGCCCATGCACCAGGAGACGACGCCGAGGAGGAAGGCGACGGAGGCGCCGATGCCGAGGGGGAGACGGTCCGGGTCGTTCCAGCCGTCGAGGTCGTAGTTGTCGAAGTTGCCCTTGCGGAAGATGAAGTGTTCCTGGAAGAGGATGATGGCGTAACTGGTGCACCAGTAGCCGAGCAGGGAGAGGAAATCGGTGAGGTAGTCGTTGAGTTTGGAGCGGCCGCCGAGGGCCAAGGCGATGATGCACAGGAAGCAGAAGATGGTCCAGATGAAGCGGGGCACCCGGGCAAAGGGGCGGGACAGCTGCTGGAAGGAGATGGCGGAGCTGTAGATGCTGATGACGTTGACGTTGATGCCGGACAGGACGAGCAGGGTGAGGAGGAACTTGGCGAAGCCGCGCGGGTAGAGCATGTCCCGGATGAGGTAGCCGATGCCGTTGTCGTCGTAGGTGTCGAGCCAGTCGGGCTTGTTGTTGAGGGCGGAGGCGACGACGCAGCCGGCGACCATGCCGATGGAGGTGGGGATGGCGATGCCGAAGGTGGTCATGAGGAAGACCTTGACGCGGCTGATGTTGGCCGGGTAGTGGACGTAGTAGTCGCTGACCATGGTGGCCCAGGAGGCGCTGGAGCCGTAGATGATGGCCAGGTAGCTGAGGACGGCGCCGCTGAAGGTGATGCCGGAGACGGTGGCCGGGGTGGAGTTGTCGGCGTGCTGGCCGGTCTCGCCGAAGAAGATGAGGAAGATGACGAAGAAGATGACCCAGGCGTAGCGCTCGTACACCAGGATGGCGTTGAGGCCGACGAGCGAGATGAGCAGCGCGACGATGGCCAGGATGACAATGCCCACCACCAACGACAGATGCCCGTCCGACACGGCGGTCAGGGCCAGCCCGCCCGTGATGCACGCCACCGACGCCCAGCCGATCTGCTCGATGCTGTTGAGAAAGGCCACCACCTTGTTGGGCCACCAGCCGAAGCTGTACCGACTGACGCTGATCTGCCGCAGGCCCGTCGCCGCCCCAAACGTCGCACAGTAGCCCGTGATCGACCCCCCGAGGATGGACCCGAAGATGGTGATGACGATCGCCTGCTTCAGACTCAGCCCCAGCTCCCAGCCCAGAAACCCCGTCGCGAAGCACGACGTGTTCATCGTCCCGCTGGCCCACAGCAGCGCCATCGACAGCTGCTCATGCCATGGCACCGCCTTCTTCTCCTCCGGCAGCTTGCGCACAATCGCCTCCGACTCGATCCCCAGCTTGTGGTCCAACCGGCGCTCCAGCTCACGCATCCGCCCGAGGAAGCCCGTCTCCCTCGCAACCCCGCCGCCGCTGGCCTCGCTGCTGGCCGCAGACACCTCCGGCTGCCTTTTCTCATCGACCGTACGGCCCTGCTCCTCGTCAGCCATCGCTGATTGATTGATTCCTGCCGAGAACGTGGATACAGCGACCGTGCTGGACGTGGACTGAGGAAAGAGGGGGAGGGGTAAAGCTTGGTGATGGTACTAAGTATTGTTGGGGGGGGGGGGAAATGTCACTCTTAAATGACAGGGGGGGGGTTTTTTTTTTTTTTTTTTTTTTTTTTTTTTTTTTTTTTTCTTTTTTTTCCCTTCCCTCTTTTCTCCTCTACCTTAATTTTTTTTTACCTCAACCTGGAGATAAGGCCCAGCGTGTGGGTTACATTGGGGGGCGATCGGAGGCAAAACATGCCTGTTCCGGGTAAGCCTCCGATAAGGGGACAAATGGCTGCGGCCGCGGATTGGACGATAAGCGGCGGCCCCTCTGGGAGTCCCCGTGATGCCAATCAGCTGATCTGGACGCGTCGCGGGTGGGCTGCACGACGCGGTTCAGGCGGGCCGGATGGGGTCTAGCTTGGGTTCTCACGTGGTTTCCAGTAACTGGCTGTGGTTGAGCACGTGGCCTTATTTTATAATTAATATAGAGTAGGACTACTAGGGGACTGATTATTTGGTATACGGAGTAGTACTACATAAGTAGTACTAAGTTAGTTATATAACTACTACCTAGTACTTGACTAGTACTAAGTACAAAGTATGCGGTAGCATCGCTTAATGGCCTAGGTACTTGGCAGGATTTAGTACTCCGCACCCCTCATACTCCAGAGATAAGGGAGATAATGCAGCAAGACGGTCTAGTCCAACTGCTGAGATCTACCTGGGTACCTAGGTAGTCATTTCGATATGATTTCCTACAATACAATGCGTAAAGGCGTATTAAAATGTAACTTATCAGGACAGTCGTGTCATGTCTATCTTATTGAAAGTAAATTATGGACAAATGGTACCTCCGCTCGGCCCAACCAGTCAAACTCCAAACACCCAGCATGTGAAAAGACCTGAATAGAACAGCAAGGCCAATCATGAAGTACAAATCGTGATTTTGTGAAAGAAAAAAGAAAGAAAAAAAGAAGAAAAAAAGAAAAAAAAAGAATTAATAGGATGATGAAAAAGAGAAGAAAAAACTCAAGCAGCATCCGCCGTGGGAATGGGCTCTGGGATCTTGGTGACCTGCTCGCCGGCACGGACGATGCGCTGGCCGGAGCCGTCGCGGACGTATTCGACGCCCTCCTTCTGGGCGCGCTTCCAGATCTCGACCTCGCAGCCGCCGCGGATGACGCCGACGCGCATGGTAGAGAGCAGATTGTGGGCGCCGTTGGAGTGGTAGTAGATGCCGCCGTTGAACATGGCGGTGGCGTCCTTGCCGAGGCCGGACTTGATCATCGCCTTGCCGCCCGGGTGGTCCTTGATGAAGTCGGTCACGTCGTGGACGACACCGGCGATGGCGATGAGGCCGCGGCCGTTCTGGGCCTGCTCGACGTAGTCGTCCCATTCCATGACGGGCAGCTGGTCCAGCGGGGTACCCCAGTCGAGCTTGGCGCGCTTCTGATCGATCTTCTTCTGCAGCTGCTGGACGCGGCCCTTCTCGATCTCGTTGGCCCGGAACTGCTTCAGGTCGTAGGCCAGCCCCAGCTGCTTCCAGATCCAGATGGACCACTTGGTGGGGTCGTACTGGTGCCACTCGATGGCGTTGCGGTAGTCCGAGGGGAACTCGTGGTGGAAGTTGTGGTAGCCCTCGCCCAGGGTGACCAGGGCGGTGATGACGTGGTCACGCGGGGAGTTGCGGTCGTCAAAGGGCTGGTCGCCGAGCCAGTGGGCCAGCGAGTTGACACAGAAGGTGGCCTGCTGCACGAAGAAGATGCGCAGGATGCCGGCGTAGACGAACCCGCCCCACCAGTCGCCCCAGCCCAGGCCGGCGACAGCCATGGGCATGATGAGACCCATGAAGACGACCACCTTGATGTAGTTACGGTGCTGCCAGACGACGACGGGGTCCTCGTTCAGGTCGGTGATATCCGTGCGGCCGATGCGCTTGGGGTTCTGCTTCATGACCATCCAGCCGAGGTGTGAGTAGAGCAGGCCCTTGCGGACGGAGTAGGGGTCCTTGTCGGTATCGGTATAGCGATGGTGGGCGCGGTGGCCACGAGCCCACCAGCGGATGGATCCTTCCACGGCACCACCACCCACGGCCGCCAGCCAGATTCGGAGAGGGAGACGAGCGGAGTACGAGCAATGAGCCCACAGACGGTGATATCCTATCCATCAGTCAGTTTTTGTCTTCCTCCCTTCTTCAATTCAAGGGAGACGATTTCTTACCTGCTGTAATGCCCAAGCCGGTAAAGAAATAGTAGATAACAGCCCAGACAGCCGTCTTGAACTGCAAGGGCACCCACAGGGCCTGGACGCAGCCGTAGAAGGGGATTCCCAGGATGAAGAAGACGTTCAGCCAGTCGACATGCTTGTACCAGTTGTACCGAGTCATGACGGTATCGGCAATGTGCACCTTCTTAGGGTCGGCAGCCCGTGGCCGGGGGGCGTCTGCAGACTTGGCCGACATGGTGAGAGTCTGTTCCTAATCTTTCCTTTCGGTAGAGAGGGAAGACGGGAGAGTGTGAAGAGAAAGGGAGGCGAAGACTGGAAGACTGGAAGACTGGGAAGAAAGAGGAGGGAAGCTCAAGTTTTCAAGAAAATATGGCCTGGGTGGGGACCGCCAAACGATCCTTTCTTCCTTATTCACCCCAGGGTCTCCACCGACCAGTGAACGTTGGGGCAATCAGCGAGGGTGAGGACGGCGGATGATGCTATAATTATGGCCGTCGGGGAGGGGGGGGGAGGGAGGCAAAGGGCCCTGGGGACTGGCTGTGGTCGACTCTGACCTGAGGGTGGTCTGATACGCAGGAAAGGACGGCCAGGGCAAACTGTCGGTTGGAGCCTGTTCCCGAGTCCCGACAGGAAGTCCCTGTTGGCTGTTGGGCGCTCCATGGCTTGGATCGCAGGCATCTGGAGGCTTCCAAGTTCCCAGGCGGGCGTTTGCCTTTCCCAGTGCGGCGTGTTGGGATCCCCAACGGTTTCCGCAAGGGCGGGCGGTGAGACGCTGCGGTTTCTGGTTGGCCGAGGGCGGCTGCAAGGCGGTCCTTGTTTGCTGTGTTTGCATCGAGATCGGAATGCAGGTTTTTCCATGCGCCACTGTGGCAATTTGAGTCACATGACCGGCTTCCTTCTCCGCCTTTGCCACTCAGTCATTGCTTAGTAACTGCTTGGTCATTGGTTGGTATCCTCCCTGTTCCCTGTCTCCGTCCCCTGTCCCTATCTTCCTTGTCTCTGGTCTACTTGTCTCTAGCAAGGTGCTACAAGTGCAAAATACGAATATAAAAGAAGTATATCAACTCAATCAACGGCCAAGTATGAAAAAAAACATACAACAGTAGGGATTCGCTGGTGGTCACCCACCCAACTACTAACCTACCGGCGTGTGGCTTAAGTACGGCTGAGCGGACGGGAAGCCCTGTTTTCCACACCCTGTGGTCGTATGTATTGGGAATATATAAAACCTGGAATATATAAGCCTCTAATTTATAATCTGCCGAGTTAGCACCATGGCATATCTTCCTTTGGTACCTAGGTAGTCATACCGCCGCGTTGCGAAAACTCGCAGTCAAATTCACCATCATTCCTCTACCCAACCTTTTTTGCCCATTCGCAACGTTGAACTGTACATCATGATTCAATTGGAACTATGTCTACCCTCAATGAGACACAATTACAAAGCTGAGGCGATTTCTGTAAAAATATGAAGGTTAATCACTTGAACTTAGTCTACTATCTCACTGTTAGAGACGGCCTTGATGCTGATATAACCTAAAGAACAGGGTCATTAGGTTAGTAGTAAGTAATTTGATGAAGAGCCACAGCGTGCAAATTTATTATTTTAGGAAAATAGACTAAAATCAGTCACTCTACTATACTTGCCTATAGATTTTCTTAACTAAGATATACTTAATTTATGGTTAATCACAATATTAGATTGATAAAAGTTAAAACCATATGAAAATAGAAAGTCCCCTATTCTTATCTTTTAAAGTAGGATAATATATACTGTCTGACAGGCTATACTAAATGTTGCAATATACTAATGGTCTTAAATGTATACTAGGGAACATAGTTGCTCTATTGTCTATTGTTATCTTATGAGCGAGAGGAGAGGAGGGCTTTAATTTATTATTAGTTCATAGATAGCTAATTACTAATTAACTATAGAGCTAGTAAAGTCTACCCATAGCAGGTGACAGCACTGATCATGATTTAGGTAGAGGAGTGAACGCCGAGTAGAATAAGAACTAGAAACCAGATACACGCCGAGTGAAAAAGGGACCAGCAAGATAAGGTAAGGGCAAAAAGACCAGGCTCTAGCATTCCCCAAGCCCGCCGACTCAGGAGAGAGCTACAGAGCGTGCATAGACATCGCGCATTCGCTGGCTTGACTGCGGTGGAATGAAAGCACTTGCATTCATTGAGATTGCGGTAGTCTATCGAAGTCGGTATGAGGGAGACAGATGATAAACTTCACGACTCATGGATGGTATCAAGAGGCTCACTGGCCGATTCCAGCTCTGCGTTGGTTCGGGTCTTGACAGGAGACTGCGCACTTGACGCCGAGCTGAGAGACACCCTTCGATCATCCGAGTCTGGGAGCGCGTTGTCGTCGTCGTCTTCAGATAGCTCTGCCATCCACTCCTCCATATATTCCTTGTTATAGGTCATTGGAAGATTGTCGTCGTTATCGTCCTCCTCATCCACATCTTCCAGCTCAGGGTCCTGCGCGGCTGCTGACAAGGCCACTATCCGGTTGAGTTTCCAAGCCATCTCCAGCATGGCAAAACTTGGTAGAGGGTGTGTGTCCGGGTTGTGTGTCTTGAGAATGAATATGTCGCCAGTCTTGACGCGTTGGTTGTCACTGCCGTGGATAAACCTTCCATCGGACCCGTCAAGGCCTGTAGAGGATGATGGGCTTCTGGTGAGATCTACCTTGTCCACAGGGCCATGTGGCTCCCGTGGGAACCAGTGAAACTCGATTTCAAGCTGACGGCCGTCGGCAGACAGGTGAAGTGGCTTCAAGCCACAGAACCCGTCGGTCCAGTCCACATGCACAATCTGGGAGAGACAGATCAGATTCTCGGGGATGCTATCTGTTGGCTTGTTGGGGTCCGGAAAGATCGCGTGTCTCCATTGGAGAACATGCTCGTTGTCAAAGAACAAGGCCAACAGCTTCCACAGGTCCGGGATTGACCTGGTTAGATCTGTGGGTTGTTTCTTTTTCAACAGATAACGGGGGAAAATGTGACATACTTGCGGCTTTGGGCGTCCACTTATGACACAGAACCCCCCATCTCGGACCTTGACAATATTCTTCGCGGACATTGATCGACGAGCAGTATCTGATATATTTGACTCCCTTGACGATGACGACATAGAGGACGACCTTGATGTGTTATCTCTAGGCGGCTTCTGCTGCCAGAATCGAGGGAGAGCGTAAAGATTGTCGGCAACCATCTCGCAGAGGCGCGGCGCTGCCTCGGCCTCGGCGACGAAAGTGGCCAGGGCTGCCAGGTCCGCTACCTGGAGGCAGGCCCAGAAAGAGGAAGGTACAGCCTCGCTTTTTAGAGCCTTGCCGAGACGAAGCAACAGTGCTTTTCTCTCATCTGGCGGCGGTGGCAAGGATCCATGGTATATGACTGTTGCAGATCGTGGTCTCGCAGGTGATGTGGCTCCAGGCTCGTCCAAGTCGATATCCATTCCAGTCGGGTGCAAGGACATGACTATTGAAGGTTAGAAAGATAGAATATTACTTAGACAAGATGCTACCTACCTAATAGCAAGATAAGGTCGTCTCCAGTCAATTCTTGATGAAGCAGTCCAAGAATATGGGCGTTTCCGCCGGAAAAATAGGCGAAGCAGGCAGATAGCTGGCAAGGAGAAAATATCCGAGGGGGGGAAGACGAAGGAGGTAGAGGGAAGAAAGGGAAGAAGAGGAAGGAGAGGAGGCTGGTTGGGTGGAAGCCCGGTACCGGGTAAGGGTAACCTCGAAGTACCTAAGGTACCAGGGCTGGATACCTGACCTACCTTGGTACTAAGTAACTAGTATAAGTCTAGATAGCTGTTGACTCTATATTCAAGTAAATTATGGTTATTTAGGACAATATACATGCGATATTTAATGCTCTCCCGGAATCGTCTCACCCGGCGCCAGCATTTTGATATAGTAGTGCTCGCCCGTCTCCAGCACCGTCACAGCATCATTGACTCGAATGGTGGATTCTATACCTGTCAGCAACCAGTGAGGTAACTTTTTCTTGAAGACTCTCAGAATGTCAACTCACCCTGGACAGCCGGAACCGCCTGCATCCCCAGACAAGCGTTGGTCGGATCCCCCGGGTCGATCCGACGATAGCTCTTCATCGTCCGGTCTGGCTCTGACCGATGTCTGATCCCCGTGTCTGGGTCGACGTTTGGCAGCCGACACCGCAGCGTGCGACAGACAGTGTATATTTCCAACCCGGCCGCCTGGCTGCCCACCCGGATGCGTTTCCACGCGTCTTCTGCGAACGCCGCCGGGCCCTGGATGATCAGGTTCGCGCGGAACCGTCGCGCTGTCAGCCGCGGGATGTCCGCCGCGCACCGCGCCGCAACGTCGTGCACGCTTGCAAGACTCAGAATATGCAAGGGGTACGCGTCTGCGAAGCCCGTGACGGTCTGGAATCCCACTTCTTCCGTGCTCGGCGCACAGCGGAAGATCTCGCGGTGGTGCTGCGGGTTGACGCGGAAGAGCGCCAGCGTGCGGCGCTCGGCGGTCGACGAGGCCTCCGGGGCGAGGAAGTCGCGCAGCGACTGCGGGATGTGGTGGATGTAGTTGAACGACTTGGGGAAATCCTTCCAGATCCGCACGGGTAGACTCGGATAGAGACCACGGTCGATATCCTCGGCCAGTGGGAAGAGAGGCACCCGGAACGAGGCTTCGCTCGCCACCAACCCAAGTCGGATGCCCAGCTGGACGGGCATGCGCCAGATCCCTTGCGGCGGCACACGAGGATACCGCACAATCATGACACCCCGAGACTTGACTTCCTCCAGATCCGCCGCGTACCCGCTGGCAGCCGGGTCTGGCACCCAGATCTCCGGCTTGATCAGGGTCATTCTGCTGAACCGCCCGTCCCGGAGTGTGCGGAAATCCCAGTGCGGTTTTTTCTTCGGGTCATCGCTGTCACTATTATTGTTGTTGGTGCTATTTCGATTCGCCGGAATCACATACTCAGCAAAGCAAAACTGCCGGTCGTATGCGAGCCCCGTCGAGACCAGGTCGGCGACCTCGAGCTCCATGCCGGCACAGCTCTTGATCGGATAGGCAAACAGCGCCTTGACGCGCCACGCCGGCAGCCCCGACTCGTCAACCCGATCGCCGGGCACCCCCTGGCTATATCGCTGGTGATATTCATCGCGAAGATTCGATTTCCCAGGAGAGAGACCCAGTCTGCGACAGCCCCGGGGAGGGTTCTCCCGCCGTCGTTGGGCGAGATGGGCAAAGAGACATGCCAGGAGGGGCACGAGAGCCAAGTAATAGACGGCTGGGACTGATTTGGCCTGCGTCACCGCATCGCTGATGTCCCAGCTCATGCTTGTCCTTCACGGAGAGGGAGAGACGGAGGGAGGGAGGGAGAGAAGGAGAGAAATTTCTCCTGGGGAAATGGCAGCGGTACCGGGATGACAACTACGGTGGATATACGGATATCTCCCGACGGATATACGGACGGATTTCTTCACTTATATGTTTATCTATGAGTATGGTTTATTGCTTGGTGATTCTACAACAAGTAATTATCTATTCAAGTGGAAGACTCGACCTGGTGGTCACTGTGTGGGCTTGTTACTGTGGTATGGGTTATGCATTATTTATGCACTGGCTATGCACTATAAGCAAGGCCACGCTAGACTATTCTAGAATTGATGCCTCAGGATCTTGAGATGCCTCAGGATGCATGTCTGGGTTTTAGGAGAATCAATATGGTACTGCCTATTATTCTGAGCTTTTGAGTAAGATAATTATTCTAGAAGCATAGAATACACTACTGACTGCTACATAGTATACTACCACTACTACACTATTATACTGGTATATAGTATACTACCACTACTACCACTACTACTACTACTACTACTACTACTACTACTGCAAATCTCCACCTCACAACAACCTCAGCATCACGTCCGCTCCAGCCCATCTCCTCTCCAAGTGCACAGCAAGTGCACAGCTAGGCATGCAGAGCAAGTGAGTGAATATGGACTGATGGACACTGCTATTTCGACGCGATCTGGACCCTAGACACCCAAATGGACGGCCACGAGCTGCTGCTGCGCTCGGCCGCCCAGGACCCCAGTAAGCAAACCACGAGTCATCTGGAAGGAGGCAAAAGGAGTCAATTGCTGAAGATTGATCAAGTTATTGCCGTCTCTGCCTCGCAGTCCCTGCAAGCGTCTGCCAGGGACGACGCCGCCATCTCCACGGGCCTCCCCCGGCTGGACAGGGCGATCGCCTTGGGTGCCCCAGGCATCCAGCGTGGCCAGGTCACCGAGGTTTTTGGGCCTCCGGGAGCGGGCAAGACGGCATTGGCGTAAGAAATCTTCTACAGGTCTTTGGGATTTATGAATTAACGGTGCCGGCAGTCTGAATGTCACTGCGAATGCTCTTCGCGCCGGCAACAGGGTGGTCTGGATCGGTAGGTCATTCCCTCTCGTTGAAACAGAAAACACGGCTGATGGAATAGATACCAGCTCTCCCCTGCCGACAGCCAGGCTGAAGAGCATGCTCGACACTACAGGAGCAGACCGGCTGAGCTACTATCGCACGCCCTCGCTGCCACACCTGCTCGCGCTGCTGCTGCACCCGCCCGCGCGATTCCCACCACCCGACACCGCGCTGCTGGTCGTCGACTCCGTGTCGGCGCCGTTTCCAGGCTACTTTGCCAACCCGACGGAGCTCAAGGCGCGCCGTGACCAGGGCAAGATCCCCGACAAGGCCCAGTTCCCGTGGCTGATGAACCGGAAGTGGAATGTCACCGGCGACCTGGCGAACCAGCTCGCCAGGCTCGCCGCCGCGCACCACCGTGCCGTCTTGGTCATCACCCAGACGCACACCAAGATCAGGGGCCTGCCGCGCGCCACGCTCTACCCGGTCCTGGCGGGCGGCGCGTGGGAGTCCGCCGTTTCCACTCGCATGGTGCTGTACGGGGATCTGCTGGTCCACGCGGGCCGCCGCCAGCGACTCCGCTGCGCTGAAATGCTCAAGCGAGGTGGCAGGGCGATCTCGGCGCGGAGAGAGGAGGATAGGGTTTCTTTTACCATTGAGTCGGTGGGTCAAGTCGTTCTATCGTGGCTTTGATTCGGACTAACTGGTCAGGATGGATTGCACGAACTCGACTCCATTGACGCAATCGATGGATTGCCCGAACGCGACCCCATTGATGCAATCGATGGATTGCCCGAACCCGACTCCATTGACGCAATCGATGGATTTGCCTTGGCTCAGCCAGCGTTTGACCAACCACTCGACTTGAAAGCGTCTCAATTAAACAAACTACCACAAGAGACTGGACATGACACTCTTGGGTTGAATGAAGAACCTGAAGCGTCTGACACTCCTGACGAACCCCCTTCACAGCTCAAGCCCGACGCATCGCGAAAACGCAAGATGGCCGAAATCGCCGACAGCCAGGACGAAGACTCGGACTACGGATGGCCTGAGGGTGTGTCGGACGATCACTACGAAGAGTAGGCCTTTGTCTCCTTCACACCGCTTATACAGGATGCAAGTGTAGGTGGACTGACTGGCCTGCTGTCAACCTGCTTCATCGCCTTCTCACACGGTTTCTATCCAACCCCTCGTCTCCCCCGCTTGATGAAGAACGTTCTCCTACGAAGTACGTCTTTGGCTGCAGCCAGCCACATCTGGTGGAGCGGCAAGAGACTAACAAATAGCCGCTGCCATCGCACACCTTACTCTATCCGAAGTACGGAGTGAAGGGGATTTTCCAGCCCCGGCAGGGCAGGAAAAAAAAAAAAAAAAAGAACGTGGGCTGACGTGAGGAGACGGTTACATCTGTCGTCTATCATGTGTTGGGTACGGATACAGCGTATAGCAAGGACATTCCATGTCGGATACATAGGAAATACATACACTACGGAGTACATACTCTGTTGTATGCGGTGTGGCTTTGGCCAGCACAGCATCTAAATATAACCTGTCATCTCATCTCGTCTTAGACAGACGAAAGTTTCCAGATACGAAGCCACGTATTCTTTACTTACTGGACTGTCCGAGGCTCAGCCACGCAATGTTTCAAGAATATACGGTGTACGGAGCATGCATCCACGCTGTCATACCAAGGGATACCAAGTACCAAGTACCGAGTAACTACCGAGTACCTATTGACAAGCCATACTCCGTATACATACACTGTAACTTGTTCTAACCTGCTCATCTTATCTGACGTGATGGACTCGATTTAATTCCAGACCCCATTTTACAGGGATCCGAACCGGTTTCGTCTTCCCCATGGAGTCGAGACCACCCCACACGCTGGAAGGGACTCAATAGAGCAGTCAATAGAGTACTTACAGCTACAGTACAGTACAGCTAGTGTTTATCGGCAGGTAATCTGATCTATTGAACATGTCGTCTATCGTCGACAAAGGAAATATTTTGGGGGCAGTCATCCCGTGAAGCGCTGATTAGCTTCAGTCCCAGGAGAGGAGATCAATCAGAAGACAGGAGGGAAAAAAAAAGAAAATAGAAAATAGGAAGCTGGAGTCTCTGTAGTTCAGTTGAAAAGAAGAAAGAAAAAAAAAAAGAAGAAAAAAACAGGTCAAGAAGAAAAGAAGAAAAATAAAAACCCTCTATGGACGCCTTAAACCTCCATCCATGACACCAAGGATGCCAAATACGCGAATGCAGAGTCTATGTCATGATGCATGAGAAAAAAAGAGTAGGAGAGAAAGGGGAAGGAAGGGAAGGAAGAGTGAGCTGGTTAGAATCGCTCTGCCAGATCATTCCCGGCGATGGAGGTGTTGGTGGAGGAGGGCATGGAGGAGAAGCCGGTGGTGGGGTTGAGCATGTCCTGGACGGCGACCTTGGGGACCTGCGGGACGGGCAGCTTGCGCTGGGTGCCGTCCGGTTTCGACATGATGTCGCTGATGCTTGGGCCGTGGTGGCCGGCGGCCGGGCTGTAGTAGTGGGGACCCTCGGGCTGGGGCTCCATGGGGGCCAGGGCGGGGGTGTGATGCAAGGAGAGGTGGCGGATGGAGGGCAGGTGCAGCTGCTCGTTGGCGCCGAGGGGCCGCAGGCGCGGCGAGTGGGCTGGCGTGGCCAGCGGGGTGTGGTCCGGGGTTGGGGAGAGCGAGTCGTGGGAGAAGGTGGGCGAGGACGGGGCGGTGGAGTTGGGCGAGTTGGGCCGCGAGCGCTTCACGCGGTGGGTGTGAGCCTCATCGTCCTCGTGCGAGTGCGAGCGGCTCATGTTGTGGGAGAAGGCGTACGCCGACAACGAGGGCAGCCGGTTGCCGCCGTTGAGAGAGGTGCCGTTGAGGGAGTTGCCGTTGAGGGAGGAGTGGTGCGGGTGATGGCGAGCACCGAACAAGCGCAGGCTGCTGGGGAAGGCATGGTCGTCGCGCTCGACCTGGGAGGCAGCGGTGGCCAGCAGATTGATATCCATGCCGGAGGAGGCGCGCTCGCTGTTGCGGGCGTAGGGGCCCAGATTCGAGCGCATGTGGGTGGCGTAGCTGGAGAAGGAGTGCGGCGGCGAGACGTCTGGCGAGCCGACCTGGGAGACGGGGGCGGAACGGGTGATGGGCTTGCTGGGCGGCGGCATCATGGAGGAGACGGAGACGGCCACATTGTCCTGGCCAACGCCAACGCCGGCGCCGGCGCCAGCTGCGGCCGCGGCCGCGGCAGCAGCCAGATGCTGCGCCTTGTTGCCACGCCTCGAGTTGGGGTTGTTGTGGATGCGGGAGTGACGGGTGAGCTCGTCGGAACGAGAGAAGCGCTTGGTGCAGCCGGGGAACTGGCAGGCATGCGGCTTCTCGCCGGTGTGAGTGCGGATGTGACGGGTCTGATGCTCCAGACGATGGAAAGCCCGGTCGCAAAGGGGGCACTTGTAGGGACGCGGCAGATCCTGACGGATCTCCTCCGTCGCAGGGCGAGTGCCCTTGATGAGCGGTGGCAGCAGACTAACCGAGGAGGCCATCTTGGGGTCTTGTTCCGCGGTAGGAGTAGTAGATTGAGTCGACTGAGGGTTCAGCAGATTCGAAAAATCCACTGAAGACGCCGAGGGCGGCATGTGAAGACCGGGGGGGTGAGTAGCGAGGGGCGGGGGACGGTGATTTCTTCCACGGTGTCCGAAACCCTTGGAGAGGCAGAGAATCGCTTTCTTTCCAGACGATTCTGACGAGTAATCGAGAGCAAAAGGCAGGCTGGCAGTGTAGCGACAGACGAATCTCAAGTCGGTGGTTGGAGCGGTGAGGGGAGGGATAGACAAGTGTGCAGGAGTGATTTTCTCCTACTCAAAAAGTCTCTAAAGAATTCTCTGGAGAACTCGTGTTGCGGAGGTGTCTGGAGATGGCGATCTGGGGGCAGGGGAAAATCGAAACTGACGAGCGAGGGGGGAGGAGGAGGAGGAGGAGGAGGAGGAAGAAGGAAGTAGAAGAAGTTCGGGGGAGGGGAGGGAGAGGGAGAGGGAGAGGGAGAGGGAGGAGGGGGGATTATCCGATTCGGAGAGGGCAGCAGAGCCAAAGTTAGTCAGTCGAGCTGGTGTGTGGGGAGTGAAGGGGCAAAAGAGAAAAAAAAGAGAAAAAAAGAGGAAAAAATCTGTAACGGGCCCCCGCTGTTTTTTATTCGTATTTTATCTTATGATTTTTATATTCTTTTGAGTATTGAATATTTTATTTTATTTATTCGATTATTTATGATTATTTATTTTATTTTTTGTTTTGATTTTATCCTATTTATTTTCTTTAATTTATGATTTTTTATTTTATTTATATGTGCTGTTCTTTCACTCGGAGGTTCGTCCGTGACTCCAGATCAGCCATGAAGAGACAAGAAAAAAAAAAAAAAAGTGGAGGTGGATTTGCACCAATCAGACCCCTCCAGCAGTGCAGCAGAGTGCGTGCCCCGAACCCAGTCACTGACTGGCAGATCCTCCGGCTATCGCGGTTGTACCTTACCTTAGACAGTCGACCGGTATTACCGTATTTTATTATACTAGGTACCTACATATATTTAGTAGGTATATACTAGGTACCTAGGCAGGTACCTAGGCAGGTACCTAGTATATACTAGGTAGGTATACTAATATACTACATACTACGGAGTAGGTACGGATTGTACAATACTCCGTGTTGTAGTCAATCTAGACGAGTCCAGATCTCTCGTCATACGACGATTGCCTATCAAAGATCGCTGCCGCCTGTGGAATGAGCGCCACGAAAATGAGCCGGGATGACGCACTCGGACTGATCCAGTCGATACGGTATCTGTAGCCACCATCAGTACGGAGTATATCTAGAAGACTTATTTGATAACTACCGGTACTTACTCTTCTACTGCCTTCGGACACTCCGTACTCGTATCAGGTCGACTCTTCATTGACGGAAATTGGCCTCCGCATCCCCAGATCCGCTCCTTATCACAGCCGGAGGCCACCTGTCATTATAGCCGACCAGAATACTCCGGAGTACTACTACCTTAGACCTAAGTAGCTGTTTCGTATTCCTCCACTTCTCGTGATTATTGCACAGGATATTACTGTAGGATATTAGCAGATATTCTTGCGCAGATATAATTCATATTCCAGTGGGTCTTCCCCTGACTACGCGACGCAGAGGCGACGAACGGCGAACCGCCCGCAGGAGGAATGGGATCCCAGAAGGGGCTGACTAGTCGTAGATCGCCCCTCCCCCTCTGTGCAAGGACTAGGGGGTAAATGCCCCCCCATGTCCTGGTGAGACGTGGGCAGGGAAAGCTCTTGTCCGTCCCTCCGTCCCCGCCTTGTCCTTCTCCGGACACCCACGGCGGTCTCCGTCCCTCGGCATCTGTCGCCGATAGATACGGTGTGCTTTGTTTAGCATTTAGCCGCTGTTACCGCTACAGTACTACAGTACTACAGTACTACAGTTAGTTATCTATTCAATCCTGAGACTTATCTCTCAAGGTACTCCGTATTTCACTCATATTAGTATCTCGCGGGGTGATACTATCCACTGCATAACTAGGGCAAGCAGATCTACTCTGACCTAGCTACTCCATAGTTATCTAATAGATACATCTCCAGTATTTACCTACTAGGTATACCTACCTGTACGACCGTAATATGGTACGATGATCTGACCGATCGACAGGGAGATCTAGACTGAATAACCCGAATAGTGTGATCAGCACACATGATGAGGAATCCCACATACTTGCCTATTGGATCACGCCTTATCTCTGTCTTTCCATCTGTCGGTCCGACATCGCTGGACACGAGATCTCATCGTCTCATCCTATTATCCTATCACCTCCGCCGTATTTCCGTAATTACCCCGGATGAGGGGTAACCATGTCGTGTGCCATAGCCAGTGCACGCGGGGCGTCGATCATAACTATTATTCTATTTCTGATAATTATAATTCTTATACTTATTCTTATCATCCATCTGTATGCTCCGTCCTCCGTACTGCTTGTCGATCTACGCGAGGAGTCACCCGCCTTACGTAGGTATATGTTATCGTCGCGTCATAGACGAATATGTCACGGCTGCAGACTGAAGGGCAAATGACGTGCTATACTACAGACGTAGTATTTGGTAATTTGATTCGTTGATTCGTCTTCTTTTTTTTAATAATTATTCCCTCTGCCAAGCGCCTAGGTCGAAACCCTCCCAATTTATGCTCACGGCTCAGCCCCGGTGTCAGCGACAGTAAGACAAGATCAGTTCCAGGCTAATTATTACGTACGGGGAATTCAGTAGCATACTACATACTACCTCATAGAGTACTGGGTACTCTTCCTAGACGCAACCGGGATCTTTACGTGCTTGGCGCGGGGGAATCTGGGGAAGGTGTGGAGCGACTATTGCAAAAGCACAGGGAAACTATTATTTGAATTACGAGATAGTGAAGTAGTAAACCCCAAAATACAGTCATTTACCTATCCATAGTTGATCGAATTACCTAAAGGTAACCCTGCTGAACCGATATCTAGAATAGAGGTACTCTGTGAGTCCGTATAACTACTACGTACTCGGTACATGTAATACACACTATCTCCACGCACTTTTCGTTTACTCTATTCTCGGTGATCCGCGATCCACAGCTTCTGGAACGGAGCCTTCTGCCAATCACTGCATCATGCTGATATCATGCGGGGCAGCCTCCGTATCATCATAGAGGATAATACTTGGGTATATTACTCTGTAGGTGAGTACTCCGTATTATGTAGTAAGTACCTACCTAGGTTAGGTAGGGAGTAATCCTATATGCTTTCAAGGCTTATCAGGTCCAGCTGGCATGGACACCTGGGCTTATCAGGCGGGGCACAGATAGGGGGAATGCTACGTGAACACAGAGACGGGAATACGGAGTACGGAGTAAGAGTACGGAGTAAGACTAGGCTATAGTTATGTAGTACGGTTACCCCAACTTGAGGGTACGGAGTAGTAGAATCTCCATACTCCATTTTATGTGTCCATCACATGCTAGTACTAGTATTGTAGAGATCCATTATCTAATTATTACGGAGGAAAGAATGCCGAGCTGTATATACTACTATACTACATATACTCCATACACATACTACGGCCTAATCTCGGATGGAATCGGGAGATTTCCGGCGCAATGGAGCCCGGCGGGGCGGCAGTTGATCAAAGAGGAAGCTCTCTCCTGGGGCCGTCGCAGTCCCCGGTGAGCAGGACGGAGGACTTAGCAGGCTCTTGTTACCCACTTTCTAAGGCAGCCACTCCGGGTCACCCACGGGCCTGCCCCCGGTGGACTGATAGGCAGCTGTGAAACTGGAGTATGCCTTACTCCGTCCTCCGTCCCTAGTCGAGAACAGGCTAGACCGGCATGATCTGCTCCCACTTCCGAGAGTTATCCGCCTCTCCCCTTCAACATCCCGAGGGCTGCTTCCGGTGGTCTGATTTTTCGCTGGTCTGGGGCCGACAACTCGGCACTTTTCCGCTGATCTTCAGGGTTATTATTCTGCGTCTATCAGGTTGAACATTCGCTAGTACTGCATAGTTACCTGGCAAGGTCCCCAGCTCATACTCCTTCGAGCTCCGGTCAATACTTGTAGTAGTTACAGTACGGGGTACCTAGGATGGTGGAATTAGAGCTAAAAGTCACGGAATTGAGTCTATCATCATCATTAGTGAGATACCCGCCAGTACCTACTACCTCTACTCCGTACTACCTCTTGGATGTAGGTTGGAAGAGTGTACTACTACTCTAGAGTAGTATACTCTTCCAACCTACAACTACTCCTACAGCATAATATCTAATCCTCTCTGCAAAGTGCTTTGTGCTACACGCTAGTCCCAATGCAGAGGCGTCGCGCCGGGATATTCTGCCGCGTCTTGCCGCCTGCAGACACAGGCCAAAGCAGAAATCAGCTCTCCCCGTACCTCTTTTCTGCTCCTGAGGGCGATGACAACTCGCGACTGGATCTGCAGTGACGCTGTCGTTTGAGCGCTCGTTATCATATCTCGGCCCTCTCCCCACATTGTCGCCTTCTGTTCTGGTTTCCTGCCGCTCCCATCAAAGAAGAGTCCTCTTTTTTTTCCCTTTGCTTATCTGAACCGTCCCCATGGCGCCCCCGCGACAGCGAGCTACCGCCGTCATTGACGACTCGCGCTCCGAAGCCTCCAGCGGTACCAGGGAGAATAAGAGCGTCACAGGCTCGAAAGGCCGTAAGGCCGTCAATGGTTCCCTGGCTGCTACTTCCGTCGGTAGCCGTGAGGGCAAAGCCGTTGCCAACGTGACCAGCGCCCCAGCCCAGGAAGCTGACCCGGATGAACGGCCAAGGGTGATTTGATCATATATATATATATACATATAATGTACTGACAGTTGATGATACAGATCCCATGGTCCGACATGCCTCTCGATATCCTCCACGCCTACCGCCATGCCTACAAACTACCCACCTCTAGTGCCTTCTCTCGGCCCTCCTCCCGTCTCTATCTCTCATGTGGGATTGGCCTCCGCTCTCCTACTGCCATCTCTGCACAGCGGGCCACCGGTTCTCGCTCTACCAACGGAAGAGCGGGGGGAGGAGGAGGAGGAGGTGTGGGCAGCAGAAGCAACAGCAACAGCAACATCCTGCGCCCCTCGACCTCAACCGCAGCCAAACGGACTCTAGGAGCCACCAATGGCCTCGTCAACGGTCGTAATAAGCCTTCCTCACTCTCTCAGCCTAGATCTGTCGCGGCGTCTTCGTCAGCCCACGAGTCTCTCGCTCGCGACCAGCTCAACCACATCATCGGCCAGGGGAGGGTGGGCAAGGACCAGCTGGCCCTTGCGGTACGCAAGCACTTCAACAGTGCCGCGCTCGCCGAGCAGGAGGCCATTGCCCGCTTTCTATATAAAGTTCGAGAGGAGGGCCGCGGGCGACAGTTCCGCCTCCGCTTCCAGCCTTGACCTTGCCTTTGCAAATCCCGCGGTACAAGCCTGGTGCTTCTTCTCTGGATTATTTGTCCTCTGTTTCTGTTTCTCTCACTTTTTTTTTCCTCTATTTTCTCTCATGATACCCCCTCCGGCGTTGGTGTTGTACTATATCTGCCGTTTTGTTTGAGTGCATAGATAGATGGTCTGGTTCAATGGATTGCTCTAGCGAATGTATACTTATTCTAATTGATTATATGGATATCTCGGTTTGGATGACCCTGACAAGCTGAGGTACACGATCATCAAGGTCTTGTCATAGAATTGTTCTGTTCTCAGGAATAGAATTCCCTATGGACTGTATATCATAAACTTCAGATGGCCTGAGCTAATAGACTGTCATATATTTAAGACTTCTAGAACATAATACTCCGTGAATAAGAATATTGAAGAGGTTAGTGGAAATATATAAGCATTGGATGACAGGAATATATAAATAATAAAGTGCAATTCAGTCTGGTCTAATATAAAATGAACAGGGCTACCAAGAGTTATATATTATAGTATTCTAAATCATATCTAGCGCAGCGTAGAAGAGCCTGATCCTCTATACTATTAGATATATTAATAGAGGCTCCTTCAGCCGTTAGATTGGCAAGTGAACAGGACGTACTATCTATGAAGGCTTCCTATAACCACTCAGGTAAGCTGTAACTATTAGCCTTATTCGAAATACCTAATCCCTGCTTGACCCCTCAATATACTAGAGATACCAGACAGTCAGCAAAGGCTGCTCTATTGCTTTATGGCTAGATGCAGGCTAGGCAGCAACCAATATAAATTAACCATAAGCTGGATATAGAGCCCATGAGAGCAGCACCATACCAGTATCTCAAATAAAACAAATCGGAAAACCACTATGAAAGAGGCACTTGTTAACAAAGATATCGCAGTCGCCATCCGGGACACTCAAGTTCCCACCCCCGAGGCTGGCCAGGTCCTGATTCGTGTAGTTGTGTCGGGCATCAACCCCAAGGACTGGAAGATCCCCCTGTGGTGGCCAGCAGGCAACACGCCCACTAACCAGGGAGACGACATCGCTGGATACGTCGAGGCAGTCGGAGATGGGGTGGTGGGATTCCACAAGGGAGACAAGGTCGCTGCGTTCCATCAAGTGATGAAGCCTCATGGGGGCTACGCCGAGTACGCGATCGCCCCGGATTATACGACCTTCCATGTGCCTCCCAAGACCAGCTTTGAAGGTTGGTAGTTTTCGTGCGCGCAAGGCTTGGCTTAACTGAGAGTCTGTCAGACTAAAAACTGATCCTCGTACCCTTTTTTCTCATCAGAGGCCGCTACAATCCCACTGGCAGCCATGACGGCCGCGGTCGGTCTTTACCAGCGGTTGAAGCTGCCTCTGCCCTGGAACCCAACCAGCGAACCCCTGCCTCTTGTAGTATACGGCGGAGCGAGTGCCGTGGGAGCCTTTGCGATCAAATTCGCCCGGCTATCCAATATCCACCCGTTGATCGTGGTCGCGGGCCGGGGCAGCGCCTTCGTGGAGACCCTCATTGACCGCGAGAAAGGCGACACCATCATCGACTATCGCCAGGAAGACGCCGAGGCCATCAGCGCCCAACTCAAAGCCGCCGCAGGAGGCCGCCCGGTCCACCACGCCTTCGACGCCGTGGCAGAGAAGGGGAGCCAGCGGAATATTGGCGCGGCCCTCACCGTGCCCGGGGAGATCACCACGGTCGAGCCGAGTGATGACTACCAGGCCCCCGAGGGGATTCGTATAGGCCAAACCATCGTCGGAACGGTTCACATGGCCCCCTCGGCAGGGAAGCTCCTCGAGGATGGCGAGTTTGCCGCCGCTTTCTTCCCCTTTCTCGGCCGGGGCCTGGCCCACGGCTGGTTCTCAGGACACCCGTACCAGGTGCGTCCCGGTGGACTGGCTGGGATCCAGGGGGCACTGCACGATCTCCAGGCGGGCAAGGCGTCGGCCGTCAAGTATGTGGTGCGTATTGGCGAGACCGAAGGAGTGGTGCAGCAGGATTCCTAGTCTTTTTTTTTTGCAGTATTCGACGTAGTGATAGTTGCAATCATTAGTTGGCAACGAGTAGCAACTAAGGCTGCATCACCTGACCGCGCCTACCGCAACTGTCCCAGCAACTTTCATCTTTCAGCTTCGTACTTGTCCCCTTCTTCAGCTTCACACCCACAGGCCAGTCGCCAGGTGCAGTCAGGGTGGCTGTATCTCGAGTCTAGCTCTAGCCTTGTCCATCGAGAGACACGTTTGCTTGTTCAGAGATGTCGAAGACAACCGTTGCTGCCTAGGTAAGGGCAATCTTGTCCAGGCTGATCGACTTGTACCTGCGACACGATCAGGACAAGCCATATACGTGTGTTCAGTGCTGTGCTAACGAGGTGTTCTAGGGTTATTTCCGGCCTACGATCCTCGTGGAGAGCTCTGTGGTGGTGAAGAGGACGACGGAACCATACGCTGGAAATAAATTGCATCTCGGCCTTCCAGTTGACGGTGACCTGCTGGCGTGGCTGGTGGGAGTCTACGGACATACAATTGATTGTTTGGTGAGCATTTGGGTCCTATCCATGATCTACGCCAGAGGCTGAATGTTGAATGACGCATAGACTGACGGTAGTGCTGGAGATGCGACAGACTCAATAGTAAAGGCTTTATTTACTCCGTCAAGCTTCTCTCCAGCTTTACCTGCAGAGCGAGATAAAATCGGCAATGATAGTCGCCACAGACGGGAGAAATCCACAGAAGAGGAATACGGGATCTGTGTTTCATTCTAGCACAAGGACTGGCTGCTCTGTTTGGAGTGAACGGGGCTTCTATACAGCTCCATGGCTGAATTTCCCGCCGTTAGACCAAACACCGCCAAAGATTTCTCCTCTTCCCCGCAGAAATCCTCCAAGACCGAGTACCGAATCTAAAGAATGTCAGTTGTGGAAAACAGCCTTCAACCGGGTTATCAGCCAACCATATTCACTGATTTCCGCAGACACCTTTCCATGTAAGATTGTGCTCCATACGGGCCATCAGCCAGTGAACGGGGCCTAAACCCGGCTAAATGGATGAGCTGGTGGGGTATATAGAAGAGGAGCAGAAAGAAGGAGAGAAGGAGAGAGATATTGAAGTTCCCAACACAGCAGCACATCTTTTTATCTCACTATAGACAGTATTACAACCTAAAGATATCTGCCATGTCACCTAACACGGCCATACCACATCTGCGCCCGACAGAGACGGGGAAGCAGCTCATTGTCCATGGCAAGCCGTTCCTCTGTCTGGGCGGCGAGCTACATAACTCGTCCCTCACCTCGGCCGACTACATGGACACGGTCTGGCAGGATCTGGTCGACACCAACTTCAACACCATCCTGGGATGCGTGACCTGGGAGATGATTGAGCGGGTGGAGGGCAAGTTCGATTTCTCCGAGTTGGACAAGGTCATTCTGGGCGCAAGAAAGCACGGCCTTCACCTAGTGTTGCTGTGGTTTGGTTCTTTCAAAAACGGTAGTTACCCATGCATGCGATCCATCTGTCTATCACCTGGCTACAGGCTGAATATTAGCCTCTTCTCTCAGGCGTTTCGACATATATCCCCGGTTGGGTCAAGACCAACCCAAAACGCTTTCCGCGAGCCAAGCTGAGGAAAGCCGGTGGTGTCTTGGAGACCGCCGACGTGCTGTCGATATTCCACGAGGAGGCGCCCCGAGCCGATGCCAAGGCGTTCACAGAGCTGATGCGCCATCTGCGAGAGTTTGACGCAGACCATTCAACCGTGATCATGGTGCAGGTGGAAAATGAAGTTGGTCTGCTGGGTGATTCGCGTGATGGCTCCGAGGCAGCGGAGGCCCGGTTCGCACAGCCTGTTCCCTCGGATCTGATCGAATTCCTTGCCCAGGACTGGGAGAAGCTCCATCCCGATCTGCAAGTGAACCTGAAGTACTTCAGGGCGCAGTCGCCGGCATCATACGGCGGTACCTGGACGGAAGTCTTTGGAAAGGGCCCGCACACGGACGAGCTCTTCATGGCATACCACTATGCGCACTTCCTGAACCAGGTTGCAGCCGCGGGCAAGGAGGAGTACCCGCTCCCACTCTTTGCAAACGTATGGCAGAACTACGCCAACGGCAGTGGCGAGGATAGCAGAGATCTCCCCGTCGTGGTGGGTGGCGGGGGTCTTCCGGGCGACTATCCTTCGGGGGGCGGGACGCCCACCGTGCTGGACTTGTGGCAGCGGTTCGCGCCTGCGCTGGACCTGATCGCCCCGGACGTGTACCTGAACGACTACGTCGTCGAGTGCCGCAACTACCGCCACCGCAACCAGCCGTTGTTCATCCCGGAGCAACGCCGGGATGCGTATGGCGCACGCCGCATCTGGGCCGCTATCGGCTCCTTCCAGGCGCTCGGCGTCTCGCCGTTTGGCATCGATTCGCAGCAGCCGGCGACGAACCCGTTCACCAAGCACTACGGCCTGCTCGCCTCGGTCGCTCCACTCGTGCTTGACGCCCAGCGTCGGCCTGGGAGCTCTGTCGGCTTCTTTTTTGACGAACTGCGCCCCGACGGTTCCGACCCGAGCAAGCCCGTCGTCGTGATCTTCGGCGAGTATAAGCTCACCATCGAGCGGTGCTTTGTCTTCGGCCGTCCGGGCCCTGGCTCCGGCATGGTCATCCATCAGGGCGGTGCCCGATTCCTGCTCATCGGCTGGGGATTCCAGGTCCGCGCCCGCGCCCTGTCCGCGAACAGCCACTTCACGGGCATCTTGCGTTTCGAGGAGAAGATTGTCGTCGACCGGTCAACAGGCGAGCTGCGCACCCTGCGCGTGCTCAACGGCGACGAAAGTCACAGCGGCGTCTTTGCCATGATGCCCAACGAGGATCCAGACTATGGCAATTTCCCCATCTGCGTAACCATTCCCGCGCGCACCATGATCGCCGAGCTAGAGCTTTACTCGTTAGAGGAGTGACTTTTTTTTTGGAGAATAAATCAAAATAGACAGACAATCCATTGCAGCTCAATGCTTCAACCCCCCCTTTTCCCCCACTATACTTATTCTCCCCGCCACAGGGTTTCTGGAGGAAGGAATCATACTAATTAAAGGTTCTGACCCTGATCCTGTCAGGGTCCAACTGCACTGCCCTGACCCACAGTTATTCAGCCAGCCCTCTGGCAAGGTACGAATGAACTCTCAGTCACTACGGAGCAGTGAGTGACTCCATAGAGCGAGGCAGACCTCGCTCGCACGGGCTAGATGGGCTGCTAGACCCTAGTGCTTACCTACCTGGACTTGGCAAGCGGTTATTGATTAATAAAGACCTTGATTATAGGTGCGCTGGAGCAACCGCAGGCCTTGGAAGAGGTTTTCAGCCTGGTCGGCCGAGACCATCGGACTCCTATAATAATAATGGCCATGGAGCCCCCCTTGTCATCCTCCAGACTTGGATGGTAGATGGGTTTGGTGGACTCTTTCCGCAGATTTGGCCCCCAATTGTCATTTGGCTCATCCCCAGAGCCCAGAAGCCCACTCGTTGGTATCCACGCCGTTAGAAAGAGGAAGCTAAAAGGGGATACGGCTGAGGACTAGACTCGCAAGTGGATATTCGTTGTTTGCAACTTGAATATTTGACCCCATTCTTGTCCAAGATTGCCTTCTTACCTCTGTCTGATCTTCTCCCCGGACGCGCCCATCTATCTCCTATCTACTACTCTGGTCACCCACCGACTATGACGCGAATCTTTGTTCTTTTGACGGCCCTGGCTGCCACAGCGACTGCATCGCAATGCTATTATCCTGACGGAACGGTCGCCACAGATGATGTGCCATGTACATCGGAAGAATACAGCGCCTGTTGTGGGCCGACAACCGCCTGTCTAGATAACCATTACTGTGTGAATCTCGAGGAGCCCTGGATGCTGAACGCGGGCAGCTGCACCGATGTCAACTGGGAGTCGTCGAATTGTGCCTCGCAATGCACCTGTAAGACTTGTTATTTTTTAAAGCAGCAAACAATTGAGGCCCCCCCCGGCTGACCTGCACTACAGTCAACAACACACGAGATGAAGGCGTGGCCATCTATCTGTACGAACGAACCGACACGTCCTACGAATACTGCTGCAGCGGGATCATGAACGACGGCGACAACGGCACGACCTGCGTTTCGGGCTCGACATTCCGACTCGACAGCGGCACCGTGATCATCGGCGTCGCAGCTTTGGCCAACTATACGACGACGTCTACCAACGCGACGGCGACGACCACCGTGACGGCCAGCTCAACGGCAACAGGGACCTCGTCAGCGTCCACGTCGTCTCTCGACTGTTCAGTCGCCGCCGCGGACGGGTCCAAGAGCACTTCGCACGACGTCGCGATCGGCGCCGGGGTCGGTGTGCCTCTGGGGGTGATCGCCCTTCTGGTCACGACCTGGGCATTCTGGGAACGAGGGCAACGGAAGAAGCTGGAGATGAATTTCCGCGTCCAGCCGGGCCAGATGAACGAATACGATTCCTACAAGAATTCGGTCCCCGGGGAACTCCCGAGTCAGCCTGTTCGGCCGCAGTTGTCGGAGATAGGGGGGAGGCCGCTTTCAGAGATCGGAGTCACACCCGGTGGCAAGTAAATATAATGAATAATAAGAATATACCAACCCATTCTAGAGAATACACGAGTCTTGGAAGTTCATTAATAGAATGTAGATTATACTAGCTAATGGCTTGACTATACTATACTGGCAACTGTCTACTTCCACGCATTCAAGCCCGCCCACGGATCAGCCTGTGACCCCTGCATACCCTGTTGGCTCTGCGACGGCGTCTTGAGGTGCTGGCCCGGCCCGTACGCTCGGGTCTGAGCGTACCCTCCCGGGCCGGAAGGATACGGCCCCCCCGTGGAGGGCGGGTATGTGGTCTGCTGGGACGGGAGGGGCGGCGGGGGCGGCGGCACGTAGCCCTGAGGCGGATAGTGAGAGGAGGGAGGGGCGGCGGTGCCGGCCGGAGAGACTGCGGATGGAGTTCTAGGCGGGTATCCGCTGTAAGACGTCGGGGTGGCGGAGAAGAGCTGCTGGTTCGGCGGCGGCGAGACGGGCACCCGGTACGGATACGCCATTGGGTTGTAGCCCTCGGAGAGGGGCATGGCGGCTCCCTGCTGGAAGGACTGGCCTGGGACGTAAGGCGGGATAACCGGGTTGGAGGGTCCCGCGGCCGCAGCGGGCATGTACTGCGCATAGGGGCCTGGGGAGAGGGACATGGGGGCTGCTGGGTGTTGTTGTTGTGGTGGTGGTGGTGGTGGTGGCGGCGGTGGTGGCTGTGGCGGGCCCCCCGTCGAAGGGTGATGATAAGGCGAAGTGGTGACGGGCGATTGGGATGAAGCCTGGTAAGGGGGCGCCTTGACGGGGGGAGGTGGCGGCGAGCGCACCTTCGTGGATAGCATGGACGCCGGAGTTGTCATGGTCGCCGACGAGGGCGTGGTAGCGGACGAGGGCGAGGGCAGCGACGCGTTTGGGTCGGTGGACAGCCGCTCCATCAGCTGCCGGAGTTTCTCACGCTCTCGGTCCTCCTGCTCGGAGGCGGTGCTGGCCTTGTCCCGCTCGATCTGGCCGAGGAGCTGAGCTCCCTCGGACCGGCGGTTGTTGATGAAGGCCTCGACGTTCTTCTTGAGACTGTCGGCCGTCTCCACCATCTCCGAGTAGAACGTCTGTGCCTGCACGAGGCCCGACAGCAGGTTGTTGAACGCATCGTATACCTTCTTGTACCGTGCCATGACGGTGTTGCGTTGCCGCGTAATGACCTCGTACTTTGACTGCTCCGAGCGCACGCGTTTGTCTTGTAGCAGGTCTCCGTAAGTCTTGGTCAGCTCCTTCATTAGCGAGGCCTGCTTGTGGTTGGCCTGCAGTAGCCGGTTCTGATGTGGCCGGAACTTCTCCAGCTCTGCCTGAAAGAGCTGGGTCTCCTGCCCGGCTATTGACTTTTTGTTGAGAATCAAGACGCTGGAGATATCGTCGGTATGGATCTATCAAGTTAGCTTATAATTATCCAAAAGAAAAGGGGGGGGGGTTTAAAAAAAAAGGAAAAACACCTTTTCTTTCAAATCCTTCAGCACTTGTGCTCGTTCACGCTTGACAAGGTTCAGCTTCTTCAAGATCTCCTCAACGCGGGCGATCTGCTCCGAGACCGAGACACCCCCCTCGTCATACACCTCGTCCAGCAAGCTCCCTTCCTGCGGGCCATTTGACGGACTGATGGCTACGCCACTCTTGCTCTTGCCGTGTTTCGATGCGGCTTTATGCATGGCCCGTTGGAAGAGAACGTCGGCCTCGTCTGTCTGGCCCGCCGACGCCATTTCATCAAAATCGGCCTGGTATTGCCGCAGGGTGGCTAGCAGCTGCGCGTCGCTGCCGCCGGCCTCATTGACCGTGTCGCGGTAGCTGCGGATGTCACCACGGAGGGTTGTCGTGAGCCGGCCGCTGGGCTGCTGGTTCCAGTCTGCCCCGTACTTGGAGCGCATCTTCTCGCACACACTTTCTTCCAGATCCAGTTGCTTGGAGCAGTGGTCGAGGTTAGTGATCACCTGGGCCTTACTCTCTTGCAGATCATCCAGCGCTCGCCCCAGGGATGGATGGTCAGCTAGATCCTGACACCAGCGTCGGAACTCGTCATCCACCGTCATCTCCTGGTCCATCCCCCCCTTGAGGATGTTCAGGCTGGCGGGCAGCTTGAGGTAGTCTAGACTAGCCGCCATCTCTCCGTTGGCGGTCTCCACCTTCTCTGTCTCCGCTCGGATCAACTTGGCTTTCTCCTCATCGTACAGACTGGCCGTCTCGGTGACGGACATGGGGACCAGTTTCTGGAAGATGTCCGGCCCGATGATCCGCTGGATATCCTGACCCTGGTAGAGCTCGCTGACGGGGATGGCCTTGGCGGCGGGCAGTTTTGCAATGGCAGACAGCCCGGCTTCCGAGGGAACGGGCTGATGGTAGATAAAATCGTTATCCTTGATGAGCGAGGTGCACTTGGCCTGAACGGTGGCCAGTTGGTGTTTGATGAGTTCCGTGAGGTTCGTGACCGACTCGGTCGTGAGATTCGATTTGGCCGGCACAGAGGATGGGAAAGATTTGGCGTGGCCCAGGGCGGCGGTCGCCTGCTTCTCGGCGAGCTGCAGCCGGGCGACGGCGACGCCGTGGGAGCCGTTCTCATCGTCGGCGATGGCCTGGTGGTACGACGCCAGCGACAGCAGGTGCGAGGCCTTGGCCTGGACCATGATCAACCAGACCTTTTCAAACACCGCCTTGGTGACCGATTCCTGCATTATGTCCGCCGCCTGGGAGTACAGATAGGCGGCCTGGCTGGCTAGCTTGGCCAGAAAGCCCGGTTTCTTCTGGTCCGCCGCCTGCTTCTCCAAAAAGATCTCCTGCGCCTGCGCGAGGGTGATGTTTATCAGCGTCTTGACCGTGTCGCGACTCAAGTCCGTCGAGGGGGCGTGCAGAAAGTTCTCGTTGATGTAGGTGAACATGCCGGCCGAGGCCTGGAAGGAATGATACGCCGTCTTGAGGCCGGTATCCTCGCTGCGGGCCTGGTTCGCCGCATGGCAGGAGAGCACGGCCGAGATGTTGAAGATGACGGACGCCTTCTCGTAGGCGAGCGAGTACTGCGACGTCGGCTTGTTCGTGAACGCGTCGAACCTACACCGTCAGCTTCCTCTCACCCACCCGGAATCTTCAGCATACCATGTAAAGGAGATCTTGATGTGGTTCTCGTCCACCGGGAACCGCAGATCCAGCAGCTCCAGCTGGCCGTAGTACCGGTACAGCAGATCGCGGCCCGTCGCACTGTCCTTGCCCGCACCCCTCATATCTTGTCGCAGCCGGTTCAGCGTCACGCACTCCTGGCTGTATTGCTCGGCATCCTCCCCATAGCTCTGTCGAATGTAGTCCTTCAACGGTTGGATCCAGTCGATCTCGTTGGTCTGCTTGAGCGGACAGCTGAGCATGGGCGACTGAGCCATCGTCACGGAAGAGGGCGGAGCAGCGCTCCAGCAGCGTAGACGGACACGGAGTAGGCTCGGTGGTATTCAAGGCCGCAGGTTTAAAGTCCTCGAGATGTATCAACACTGCCTGTAGACGCAGAAACCCGTCAGGCTGATGGACGGTGGTGGTGGTGGTGTTGTTGTCAGGAATGGCTGTGGGGTAACTTATCACTCGGCGGTTGGGCGGGGGAGGCAGCAGCAGCAGCAGCAGCAGCAGCAGTCAACAAACAGGCAGAAGACTAGGGGAGCGGGTCAATTCTCAGGAATAGGAGATGGCAGGAGATGAGCTTGGCTATATACCACGACGGTCGGTTGTCCAGCGCCTGCAGGAGCAGAAGGAGAGGGCGTTTGGCGCTGTGGTTGGGCCTGGCAGGCGCTGCCAAGACGATGTGATAGTGATGGCCTGAGGCATGGATAGCCTGAGGCAAAGTGTTCACTGCTTAGTCACGTATATGTCTACATAGTACATACTGATATGAAGTCAAGATGGGAGATTGTATAGTACAGATGGACTCTATAACGGCGTGGAAGACACCAAGAAGCAGAAGAAGGTAATATACAAACCAGGTCGCCGGCGCTATGGTACGTGAAGTGGTGCAGTAAATACAGGGGAATGAACAGAAGGGCCTATTTCTGGTCCTTCTTCGGATCCGCAGAGCTGTCGTCTTTGCCTGGATCGGTCGAAGGCTTGTCGGAGTCGCCGGGCTTCTTGTGGCTTGTGAGTTTGTGCCAGGCAGACTTCAAGAAGCCTTCGCCCTTGTGCGAGTCGTCGGAGGGGGCAGAACTATTAGATTGTTAGACAAGACGCAACAAAGAAGAAAGAAAGAAGAAAAAAAAAAATACCTCTCTCGGTCCACGTTCATGACCCGCTTGGCTGTCTTGTCTCCCATCTCGTCGGCGAGCACCTCGAGGATTGTGCGCTGGTTGGAGGTCAGGTACTTGGGCATGGCGACCTTGAACTCCACCTTGAGGTCGCCCGAGGCGCTGAGGCCCCGGGCGCGGCCGCCGAGCTTCTTCATCCCCATGCCCGAAAGCGTGATCTTGTCGCCGGTGCCGGTGCCCGTGGCCACCTTGATCTTGACCTCGCCGTCCAGCGTGGGCACCGTCACTTCACCGCCCAGCAGAGCGGTCGTCAGCGGGATGCCCGCCGTGTACAGGATATCGGAGCCGGAGCGGCTAAAGCGGTGATCCGGAGCGACACGGATCGAGACGTAGAGATCTCCGCGCTTCGTGCGAGAGCCCGGGGCGGCGTTGACCCCCGTGGCGGGGGCGTCGCCCTCTCCGGTCACCCGCAGACGCATGCCATCTTCCACGCCGCCGGGGATGTCGACATGGACGGTCTTGCGGTCTCGAATGACCCCGTTGCCTCGACAGGACCCGCACTCGGAGCCCCGCGGCACGATGAGACCCGTCCCGCCACAGGCGTCGCAGGTCGCGGCCACCTGGAAGCCGCCCTGCATGAAGTGCACGCGCGTACCGGAGCCGTTGCACTGCTTGCATTGCGACTTTTTGGCGCCCTTCTTCAACCCTTCGCCGGAGCAGGTGCCGCACTCCACCAGCGGGTTGATGTTGATGTCCTTGGCCGTTCCCTTGGCCGCCTCCATGAACGAGATGTTGGTCTGCACTTCAATGTCCTCGCCCACCAGGATCGACTCCTGGAACGGGCCCCGGGTGCCCCGCGGACTCCGACGAGCACCGTTTGTAAAGGCACCAAAGAGATCCTCAAAGTTGATGTCTGCTGCAAAACCACCGGGGAACCCGCCTCCAAACCCCCCGCCGAAGCCGTGGAACCCGCCTGCGCCGGCAAACGGATTGCCCCCGGCCGCCGCGTTGGGATCGAACCCCCCATTCTGGTCAAACGCCGCCGATCCGAACCGGTCGTAGTTTTCTCGTTTCTTCGCGTCCGACAGCAGCTCGTACGCCGACTGGGCCTCCGAGAACTTCTCCTTGGCACTGGGGTCCTTGTTGGTGTCCGGGTGGTATTTTTTCGCCATGCCGTAGTACGCTCTTTTGATATCGGCCGCACTCGCGTTCTTTTCCACCCCAAGCACCTTGTACGGGTCCGACATTGCAGGGCGGGAAGTCGTAGCATGGAAAGCCTAGGGAAAAAATCATTAGAATTTCTGTCGTGTGCTCACCAGTTACCACTCGAGTTCAAATCATACCCTCGACAGCGCTGCCGGTGCTGTCCGTCTCTGCACCCCCGACTGCGGCCTCTGCCCATACGACGCCGCCGCCGAGGCATACCGACGGCATGTCTGCGATACTGGTCGAATCCCCGAGCCCTTGGCTGGGCTTCGCCGCGATGTCCGCAGCAGTCGTGCGGGGATCGCAGCCGCCCTGGGCAAGGCGGCAGGAGCAGCGTTCATGATAGCCAGAAACTCAATGAATCATACAAAAGAGAAGAGATAAAAAGCGTCGTTCCGCAGCAGAGGGGAGATGGTCAGGACTCGACAACACAGAGCGAATAAAGCATGGCACAAAAGCTGCTTACAATCGGCCCGGGATGCCTCGGATCAACGTTGCTCCGGGCAAAACCGCTTAGTCATGTTTGCGCTGTTTGCACGGCGGAAGCTTCGAGCAGCTCCGATCACGGGACGCCGGATCAACTCCTTTTCCGGGCTCGGATGAGCTCAGCGCTCTTGCTCTTGCTCTTGCTTCGGCAGGCAGTCAGACGAGTTCCTCCGGTCCAGCTTTGCCTGAAAGGAGGTGAATTGGCCTCGTTCTTCCCACTTGTGCACTCTGTCCTTCTCCCTGGCCGCCTGTCTGCTCGCCCTCGACGGCTCTTTGGGACACGTGAACGCCGCCGATCTCGGATTTGCTGGTTCTCCTGCTGCTACGGTGCTGAACAAACACCCCCCCCCCCTCCCCTCCCGGTGCCACGCAATCAATAAATACTACGTTTCCAGTATGCTACGCGGCCAGCGATTGCCCTGGAGGGCTGCCATCCACCAGCCATCTCGCTCGTTAATAGTGCGTTGGTCTGGTGTGAGCTCATCGAGATACAATGCCGCGTTCCGGGTGCCTTTAGATTCCGCTTGTCGGTCGGGTTCCCTACCGCCAACGATGCTGCGGCCTTTTTCGTCCAGCTCGGCGAGACGGAAAGACAAGCCGGCGTCGGGTGAAGGGGGGGATGACCCGAGTGGCAAGCTGCCGGGGGATGCGGCGGCGGAGGAGAAGAATAGTGTCCCTCGTCGGAAGAGTCCAGATCAGGTCGGTAGGACGGATCGGCGGAGAGACAACAAGACGACGGCGGAAAGCCAAGAACGTGAGATAGAGGAGGAGTCGAAGGGGAAGGTGGCGGAAGGGAAAGGGAATAATAATGCGCCCGAGAGTCCGTCGCCGATCCCCGTCAGCGGCGGCTCATCGGAGTCGAAACCGAGCGGTGCCAATAACGGGGGCGGCGACGATGGGAGCAAGAAGGGTAAGAAGGGTTCCGGGGAGAAGGCGTTGCAGAAGCCCAGCGTGCCGGACGTGTATCCGCAGGTGATGGCCATTCCGATCGCCAAGCGTCCGCTGTTTCCCGGGTTTTACAAGGCGATCACGATTCGGGATCCGAACGTGGCCACCGCCATCCAGGACATGATGAAACGCGGCCAGCCGTACGTCGGGGCGTTCCTCTTCAAGGATGAGAACGCCGATGGCGATGTGATTGAGAATCTCGACGATGTCTACGATGTTGGCGTGTTTGCTCAGATCACCGCGGCCTATCCGCTCCGTGGAGAAACCAGCGGTGTGACGGCGGTGCTTTACCCGCACCGTCGGATCAAGATTTCATCGCTCCTACCCCCCAGCGACTTGCAGAAGCCCGTAGCGACAACGACGGAGACGCAGGCTACCGAGAAGCGTGGCGATGTGGTTGCGAGCTTCGAGGAGGGCGTGTCGGAGCCTGCTCCTAAAGACCACTACGAGTCGACCTCGTTCCTGCGCAAGTACCCGGTCAGCCTCGTCAATGTGGACAATCTGACCGAGGAGGCGGTGGACAAGAAGAGTCCCATCATCCGCGCCGTGACCAGCGAGATCGTCAACGTCTGCAAGGAAATCGCTACGCTCAACCCTCTCTTCCGCGATCAAATTTCCGCTTTCTACACCGACCAGTTTCCCGGCAACCTGAGCGACGAGCCGTCCAAGCTCGCAGACTTTGCCGCGGCGGTCTCGGCGGGTGAGCTGCATGAGATGCAGGAGGTGCTCGAGACGATGAACATTGAAGACCGCCTGCCCAAGGCCCTGATCGTGCTGAAGAAGGAGCTGATGAATGCACAACTGCAATCGAAGATCTCCAAGGACGTCGAGGCCAAGATCCAGAAACGGCAGCGCGAATACTGGCTCATGGAGCAGATGAAGGGCATCAAACGCGAGCTGGGGATCGAGTCGGACGGCAAGGACAAACTGGTGGAGAAGTTCAAGGAAAAGGCCGAGAAACTTGCCATGCCTGAGGCGGTCAAGAAAGTGTTTGATGAGGAGATCAATAAGCTGGCCCACCTGGAGCCGGCCGCGTCGGAGTTCAATGTCACCCGCAACTATCTGGACTGGCTGACGCAGATCCCATGGGGTCGTAAAAGCGTGGAGAACTTTGGCATCAAGAACGCGATGACGGTGCTGGATGAAGACCATTACGGCTTGAAGGATGTCAAGGACCGGATCCTGGAGTTCATCGCGGTGGGCAAGCTACGTGGCACGGTGGAGGGCAAGATCCTGTGCCTGGTGGGCCCGCCCGGTGTTGGCAAGACCAGCATCGGCAAATCGATCGCTCGCGCCTTGAACCGTCAGTACTACCGCTTCTCCGTCGGCGGCCTCACCGATGTGGCGGAGATCAAGGGCCACCGGCGGACGTATGTGGGCGCCCTGCCCGGGCGCATCATCCAGGCACTGAAGAAATGCCAGACCGAAAACCCCCTGATTCTGATCGACGAGGTGGACAAGATCGGCCGCGGACACCAGGGCGACCCGTCCTCGGCCTTGCTGGAGCTGCTCGACCCGGAGCAGAATTCTTCCTTCCTCGACCACTACATGGATGTCCCCGTGGATCTCTCCAAGGTGCTCTTTGTGTGCACTGCTAACGTGACGGACACCATTCCTCGCCCACTGCTGGACCGGATGGAGCTGATCGAGCTGTCCGGCTACGTGGCGGACGAGAAGATGGCGATTGCGGAGCGGTACCTGGCGCCCGCGGCGCGCGAGCTAACGGGTCTCAAAGACGTGGACGTGACGCTGCAACAGGACGCGATCGAGGAGCTGATCAAGTCGTACTGTCGCGAGAGCGGGGTGCGCAACCTGAAGAAGCAGATCGAGAAGGTGTATCGCAAGGCGGCGTTCAAGATCGTGCAGGATCTGGGCGAGGACGTGCTGAGCGAGGACAAGGCCCTGACCGAGGAGGGTAAGCTGGCACAGGAAGAGCAGGCCAAACAGGAGTCTGAACATGAAGAGAAGCAGACAACGGCGGCCGACCCCGCTGAGACGCCGCTGGAGCCGGAGAAGTCGACGGCGGAGACACCGCGTCTTGCGCTCAAGGTGCCGGACAACGTGCAGCTACGCATCGGCAAGGACACGCTGAAGGACTACGTGGGCCCCGCGGTGTTCACGACTGACCGGCTGTACGAGACGTTCCCGCCCGGGGTGACGATGGGTCTGGCGTGGACGAGCATGGGGGGTGCCGCGCTGTACGTGGAGTCGATCCTGGAGAACGCGCTGACGGGCGAGTCGCGGCCGGGGATCGAGACGACGGGCAACCTACAGACGGTGATGAAGGAGTCGACGCAGATCGCCTACTCGTTTGCCAAGTCGGTCATGGCCAAGCAGTTCCCGGAGAACAGGTTCTTCGAGAAGGCCCGGGTGCACATGCACTGCCCGGAGGGGGCAGTCCCGAAAGACGGTTCGTTACTTCAGTTCCAACTATCTCACTATCTATTCTCTGTCTCTGTCGAGGTACTGACCAGCAGGCCCCTCCGCTGGCATTACGATGGCCACGTCTCTCCTCTCGCTCGGCTTGGACCACCCGCTGGACCCGACCATCGCGATGACGGGCGAGCTGACGGTGACGGGCAAGGTGCTACGCATCGGCGGCCTGCGCGAGAAGACGGTTGCGGCGCGACGAGCAGGCGCGACGAAGATTGTCTTTCCGGCGGACAACATGTCGGACTGGCTGGAGCTGCCAGAGGTAAACCCTCTTTTTTTTTTTTTCCCCTCCCGTTTTATCTCGTTTTTATAATCATAATGAATCCAAGCTGACCATGTAGAACATCAAGAAAGACATCGAGGGCCACCCGGTCAGCTGGTACTCGGAGGTGTTTGACCTGCTGTTCGCCGATCTGGAGCGAGACGCGGCGAACCAGCTGTGGAAGAAGGAGCTGGCCAAGGAGAAGAGCGAGAAGAATGGCAGCGAGTGATCTGGATTATTGTTTTGTGTTGGTATATACCTACGTTGATGCCTGGCGTCCGGATATGCATGGATGGCGTTTAGACGGGCAAGAAAAGTACATAAATCCATGTACAGTACTCCTCTCACGAGCACCACTACTACTAGATAGTTACTCGGCAGTAGAGAACTAGTCGTAGGCTACCTATAACGGCTGCATATGCAGTCCAACGTGGCTGCACGATCGCCAGGATGAATCCATCAAGCCCTGCCCCGAGATCTGGTTATATTGGCGGAGATGCAGCCAGGGCCGCCCTGAATGGAAGCATCACTTTGAGCCGGCCTCGCATTGGCTAGAAGAGTGTGTCGTGAATACCATTAGTATCTGGTTCATATTAATACTCCATCCTCCATCCTGATATTTGTCTAGTATGCCGGACAGTCTGTCGAGGGGTATAACTATTCCCGTGGATGGGAGGCGTCAATGGAGCCAGCGCAGCGAGTCATTGACGACAAGAGATATTCACTGATAACTCATAGCCGTCGTGACTCGGTATTATCATGATATTTTAGCAGTATTATTCTGTACGAGTAGGAGTCCTGTTGAGTCGGTCACCCGTAGAGTCACTATAGACCGTAGAGTGTAGAGTGTACAGAACAACCTCCATCAACAGCCCTGGACAGCCCTGGACAACTGTTCAACCTCTAGAAAAGAATATCGGTCAGACAGACAAGGATAGAATAGAAAAACGATCGATTCTTCGATCGAGTCCACTTCAGGCGCCCGTCAGGCCGCAGTGCATCGGCTCACCGGTCGAGAGGTCGGCAAACGGTGATGGATCGTGATCCACTGGTTTTTTTTTTCTGCTCGAGAGTACCTGGTATCGCCTGCTGGCTTCTGATACGGAAGTAGCTTTATGCTTGATAGCTGGCTGCTGGATAGTTGGCTGTGTTATTGACAGGTGCAGAGATCGGCAGGTAAGCGAGAGAGAGATTAAGAGGAGAACCGAGACACGAACAGAAGAGAACAAGAGAAATAGCTGGAGAGAAGAGAAGATTATCAGAGAACGGAAGAAAAGAAAAAGAAATTAAAAGAGAAGAAGAAGAGAAGGAGAGAAGAAGGGAAGAGAAAAGGTGGTGAAATAAGAGCTAAACATCCTTGCAGTCAGAAATTTCCCACCGCCGCCAAAACAAAACAGCCTCGTCCTCGTCGTCTCTTCTCTCTCTCTCCTCGCCGTTGCAGCCAACCTTCTCCTCTCTTCCCCGTGAGGCGTCTTGTCTTGCCTTTGCTCTTGGGTATTTATTTTTTCCCTCTCGCCGTCTGCTTTCCCCTGCTCTCCATCGAGCTCCCCTGAGCCTGTGCAACGCTGACTCCGACTCGCCAGACTCCGCTGCCCCGACCCCCCTCACCCCTCCAGCAAGACACATTCCCATACAGATATAGATACACCCGACTGTCGTATCCTCTGCTCGTCTATGGACGTCGCTGCATCGCCGTCAGCAGCAGGGTGTGCCGTGCTTCACCTCTGATGCCCGCATGGCTATCGCCGTCGCCGACTCCTCCACCAGCCCGACGAGGCCCGGGGGCTCTCTGCTGGCCGATCTGGACGCCCACAATAATACAAAACCCAGACAGAGCATGTGGCAGCGTCTAGGATTGCGTAGATGGCTCAGCAGCGCTGGCAGTTCGCACGCCTCGGGTTCTTCGACGGGAACCACCACTCCCGGCCATGAGTCGAACAACAACAACAACAACAACAACAACAACAACAATAACAAACTCTCCAGCCATCTTCTCGCTCGCCGGCTCACTCGACGTGTTGGCCGGTCGAGACGTCGGGATCCCTTGGCCCCAGCGGCCGAGGAACCTCGTCGCGCGGTCTCGGCGGACCGTCGCTCGCTGACAATCCAGCGCACGCTTTCCCCCCAGCCGTCGGTGAGTCCACGGCTGTCGGCGCCTGAGGTTCACTGGCGAGCCGTGGCAGAGGAAGAAGAGGCAGAGGAGGGGGAATACGCAAAGCGGTATGACTTTGGGAGAGAAGAAGATTGCGATGACGACGACGACGATGACTGGAGGAGGAAGGACGACCAGGGGTCGACGACGGCACCCTGGCCCGAGGAAGCGGCGGCGGAATCAACTGCAGCAGACCAGGACGACAACGACGACGAGCTGGTCAAGAGGGGGCTGGAAAGCGAGCCGTCATCACTACTGCTGCTACCACCGCAGTCTCCGCTACCCCTAGAGGTGGTACCGCCAGAGGGAGCCGTCCTCGACCCGATGGAGACCGAGTTGGACAAGCGGTGGATCCTCAACCTGAGCATGCACTTCCGCGACCGGTCGGAACGTGAGAAGTTCTTCATCACCTACGCCGAGACGGCGACTCGCTGGCGGCGCGTCACCATCTCGTGCGACTACCGCGACGCTCCGCCGGACTCGCTCGAGCAGGACCTGCGCGAGTTGCGGTACCAGCGCGACAAGAGCGCTCGCATCTACGAGGCCATCCGGGACTCGCTGCCGGAGATCCAGTTCTACGACACCGTCACCAACCTCAAGCTGGAGACCAGCGACGGCCGCCTGCACGTCCACGTCACCGAGGACGTCAACGAGATCATCCCCTACCCGCCCGTCTCCTGCGTCGGCCACCTGTACGACGCCCGCCTCGTGCCGGAGCACCGCCTGCACTTTGACGCCCACCTGTCCGGCTTTGTCTACCGCGTGCGCCTCGACGGCCGCAGCTACATCAAGAAGGAGATCCCCGGCCCAGACACCGTCGACGAGTTCCTCTACGAGATCAACGCCCTGCACGCCCTGCACGGCTCCACCAACGTCATCCGCTTCGAGGGCATCGTCGTCGACGACCGCCGCGAGCTCGTCAAGGGCCTGCTCATCAGCTACGCCGAACAGGGCGCCCTGGTCGACATCCTGTACGAGCGTCGCGGCACCCTCGACTGGGCCCGCCGCGAGCGCTGGGCCCGCCAGATCGTCCAGGGTCTCTGCGAGATCCACGAGGCCGGCTACGTCCAGGGCGACTTCACCCTCTCCAACATCGTCGTCGACCGCCACGACCACGCCAAGATCATCGACATCAACCGCCGCGGCTGCCCCGTCGGCTGGGAGCCCCCCGAGATCGCCGCCAAGATCGAGAGCAACCAACGCATCTCCATGTACATCGGCGTCAAGACCGACCTCTTCCAGCTCGGCATGACCCTCTGGGCCCTCGCCATGCAGGAGGACGAGCCCGAACGCCAGGCCCGCCCCCTCCTCTTCCCCGACGATGCCAAGGTCCCCGAGTACTTCCGCCAGCTCGTCGCCACCTGTCTCAGCCCCGTGCCCAGATACCGTCTCTCCGCCAAGGAGCTGCTCTCCTTTTTCCCCCCCGAGCTGCGCTCCGAAACAAGCCTGCTCTCCATGCGACAGCCGCCTACCACTACCACCACCAACACCGCTGCCACCGCCAATCCGACCACCACTACAACAACCACTACCACCACCACCACCACTACCACCACCACCTCGGCTGTCGGCTGGCCCGTGCAGGCCATCCCAGTGGTAGGCCCGCCGATGGGATACTATCCGCCTGCGCAGGTCCACCTCGACGACCTGGACACGTCTTATGCCACCTCGTACAACGATGCCCAATACGAAGATATCCCGCATTACCATGACCTCAGCAGCTACCACTCCCGCGACGAGCAGGACACGCGCAGTATCCAATCGGCCAACGGGGTCCTTGCTCCGTTGCCCGTCCATCCCCATTATATTCCCGATCTAGCTGGGGTCGGCCACCACGCCAAACAAACCCAGCATTCTCCATGGTCTTCAGGAACAGTGTCCTCCTCCTCCTCCTCCGTTGATTCCGCCGTGACCCCCATGCCGGACCATCCCCTATGGCCTCGATCCAGCCCACCTCCGCCCCCCGTCACCTCCCTGCTCCAATCCGCCCTGCCGATCAACCCGGCCGGCACGCCTGAGCTCCTCGATAAACAGGCCTCTTCTTCTCCTTCCTTCACGGTCCATCCGCTTCATTCGACCGTGTCTCTTCTTCGGTCAACCCTTCCGATCAACCCGGCCCTAAGGCCAGACATACCCCCTCCTCCTCATCCTCCTCCTCCTCCCCCTCGTCGAGACCCTCTTTCCATCCCTCTAGTGACAAGATACGATCCTAATCACGCCTTGCTGCATGCCTCGCACCTCCCGATCAACCCTGCCTTTTCATCCAGATGACTGTCTACCAACTATACACCCACCCACGCACTGCCTGTTTATTCTTCCCCTTTAGCCTCCGCCAAATTGCTCCGCCACTGATACCCCCACCACTGCACCCATTTCCATTCCATCTTGTATACATATGAGCGATTCTTTCCTTGCATCAGCATTCTTTCAGGAGTTTCCTATTAGCTTTCCTTTCCTTTCCTTTTTTTTTTTTTGAATCTCTGACTTTATCCCATTCCATATATTTTTTTGGTCTCCTTTCTGGACTATTGGTAGCTAGTCAACACCTGGATGTATATTGACGCACATGTATTAATCCTTTTCCTTCCCCCCCTTTTCTTTTCTAAAACATTTTTTTATCATATTATTCTAGTGAAGCTTGTAAACACTCATCAAAACTCCTCTGCCAAACCTCTGCTTCACCCAACCCCCTCCCGATCAAGACAATCTTACATTCGCGAGACTCCGACGATGCCTGCGCCTCGCGGATTTCGAAGATCTCCCGCACAGCCTGGATGATCTTGTCAGGCCCGTCGGGCACGACGAGGAGGCCTTTGAGTCTGTGGATGTCAAAGCGGGGAGGTTTGTCTTGGGGAGAATTCGGGAGGGTGCATTCCCAGAGGACAGAACGCAGCCATGCGTCCACGGCGGGAACTTGAGAAGAAGATATAGGTGCATGGGTGATTGAAATAGTAGATATAGCCTATTCAATTAGTCCCTCTCTCTTTCTCTCTTTCTGTGTATGGGGCAGTACCGGATCAATATGGCTGTGTCCCTTGGTGATATCAAAGTCGACCGCATCGTACGCATGCAGATCCAGAACGACGCCCTCGATCTGCGGCGTCTTGCTATGGTCCGTGACGTGGACGCGGGCGACGCCATTTATGGCGGAGATACGGTCCCGGACGGCCTCCAGCTCTGTTTCCGAGACGAGATCCGCTTTATTCAGGATGATCACGTCGGCATGGGAGATTTGCATATGCGCCATGGAGAGCGTGGGGGAATCGTGACGGTGATCGTCGTGGTCATCGTGAACTGTTTCCTCTGGTGACGGCTCGTCGAGTAATTTCGAGATGTTCTTCGCATCTACTAGAGTAACAATACCATCCAGGTAGATGCTGCTGCCGAGACTCTCGTCCATCCAGAAGATCGGCGCAATGTTGCCTGGGTCCGCGAGCCCGGTCGTCTCCAGCAGGATGTAGTCGAACGTGCCGCGGCGCCCCATGAGCGATTCCAGCGCCATCACGCCGGTGTCCCTCTTTAATCAGCTGCATCGCAAAGATACGTAGATAGTCTAGATCATACTTGACTGAACAGCAGATGCAGCCGTTGCCGACCTCCATCCATTCCGTCACTTCTTGGCCGTCCTGGTTGACGGTCAACGGCTTTTCGATGTCGGTTGCTACCACGTCAGTATCCATTCTAGACAGGTTCTAATCATTCATACAGTCACCGAACTCTGTCCGTCAGTTAGCATGCTGTAATAGCAGACAGAGGTACACCATGCCGTAGCAGAAGAGAGAGGTACATACCATTCATGATGACCGCAATCTTCTTGCCATGCTTCTCTGTCAGGATATAGTTCAACAGCGTCGTCTTCCCGGCTCCAAGATAACCTATCAGCTCAACAGTAAGCATCCAATCGTCTTGTTTACCGCTGGCATTCACCTGTCACGATCGTAATGGGCACTCGACTCTGCGCCGGCTCTTCCACTGCGTCCTGCTCGACGGGCAGTGTTGAGACATCGACCAGCTCCGGAGGGGCATCGTCGTCTTCTAACATCGTATTCTTGTGCAGTACTAAAGAGTGTACGTAGATAGAAAGAAGACACAAAAGAGAAGCAGAAGAGAAGCAGACGGTAGCACTTCTCAACTATGATGATGCTGTCTCCGCGTGACGTTCCCAGAACGGTAGTTAGGGCTTAGGGCTTGAGCTTGGACCACCTGAGGAGCTGACAACAACAAGACGAACATCCTGGATACAAGTTCAACACTCTTTCGATCTGTTCGTTTGATTCAATCCATTTGTTTGTTGATTCAGCTATTCAATCTTGTTCCGCCATGACTGCTGCGGCAGTCTCTCCGTCCAGCTCCCCCCGTCTCCCCAGTCCCCCTCCCCTCACAGAGGTCCAGATCGGTCCCCCGTCACCCTCGGTCGGGGAGTCGTTCGGCCTGGACGCAGAGCAATTGTTGGGCGCTGGACACGGTGAAGACGATGGTGCGACGCGCCGGATCCGACCGGGCACAAAGGCAGCCGAGATGGCGTTTGGTCCGCCCTTGATTCCTCTCTCTCAGGTTGGTAGTGAAGCTGAAGATTGAAGATTACTCGGACGAAAGGCTAATTGGTAGCTCGACTCCCCCTTTCAGCTGCAGGAACACCTGAAAGCGCTGTACCAGAGCGTCACGAAACCCGAGGGCTCGAGTACCGTGGTGCCCATCTCGCGAGATCTCGCCATCCGGCTCGCCGAACCCCCCGAGGGCGTCGACCGGTCGCTGTGGCTGTACGAGCTGTGTCGTTTCCTGACCATGAAGGTCAACAACCTGATCATCGCCTTTTTCGCCGAGGACCCTCCGTGTTCCGCGCAGACGTGCCCGGAGATGCGCGCGTCCGAGTGGCAGTACCTCTGTGCGGTGCATGACCCCCCGAAGTCGTGCTGTGCGATCGACTACTGCTGCCACACGCTGGACTGGGCGACGAATATCCTGACCTCCCCGAAATATTTCCCTAGCCGGCTGACGCTGGGCTCTGACGCCGCGGGCGGACCGCAGGCCAGCATGCGCCACCTGACCAACATCTTCCGCCGGCTGTACCGGATCTTCGCGCACGCGTGGTTCCAGCATCGCAATGTTTTCTGGGAGGTCGAGGGCTCCGATGGGCTATACATGTTTTTCAAGACCGTCTGCGACATGTACAGCTTGATTCCCGAGGACAGCTATACCGTGCCCGCCGAGGCCGAGGGCCCCGACGCACACAGACAGCCCGCCGCGCCGAGCGAGTCGCCGAATAATAATAATAATAATACACGGCAGTTGCCGATTCTGCGAAAGCCCGACGACGGCGCAACCCGCGGCTCCCCGGAGGATCTGGAGGGTCTGTCCTCGCTCGGCACTGCTGCCACGACGCGCCGACACAAGAGCACCCCGTCGATGGGGTCGAGAGTTACGACTATTACTGAGATAGTCGAAGACACAGAAGATGCGTCTGGGTCGGTGGTGAGTGTAGTCGAGACACCTGTTGATGACCAGCCTGGAGAAGACACTCCCTCTGAAGCACCTGTGACCGAGGAGGAACCGGAGACCGTTGCATCTGAATACACGGTGGTTGATACGAGTGAGGGCCAGGCAGAATGCAATGAAATCAAAGTGGTGGAAACAGAGACGACGGACACCGAATCAAAACCAGAGGCCGAACCTGTACAAGAATCCGAGGCGGAGATTACCGCTGAAAGTTCATCAGTGTCTGAGACTGAGGCTGTTGTTCCTGAGTCTGCACCCTCTACGATCGAGGATCCTACGCCTGAACCTGAGGTAGACTCTAAGCCTGAGGCGGAAGCTGAGGCAGAGGCTGAGGCGGAAGCGGAGGCAGAAGCAGAGGAGCCGGAAGCTCAACCTGAAGCTGTCGCCGAGCCAGAGGCAACATCCGAATCGCCGACAGAGTAACTCTATTCACTGTACCATATACTTTAGATACCCTATTGAACACTGTGTAAAATAGCCCTTTGTTTTGTAGAGACGGTCATATCGAGTTTTTTTTGCTTTGAATATCCCCTTGACGTCACGTAAGCTCCACCACAATTCACGATTCTTCCTCCGTCAACAACCCAATGTCCGAATCAAATACTAATACAACAGCTTCCCCCTCGATGTCTCTATTACAAAAGGCCATCTACTTTGGTCCTTTCCTCGTCACTCCACAAGTATCCACCAAACCTATCCTGGGAAATTTATCAAACAAAACGCTGATTTCCACCAGGTCTTCCATCTAACACCCCTGACATTCGCCCTGGTGAACCTGAAACCCATCCTACCGGGCCATGTCCTCGTGTCGCCGGTGCGCGTCGTCCCCCGCGTATCAGACCTCACCCCCGCCGAAGCCACCGATCTGTTCCTGACTGTCCAACGCGTCGGGAAAATGGTGGAGCGCGTGTACGGCGCGACGAGTCTGAATATTGCGATCCAGGATGGGAGCGAGGCAGGCCAGAGCGTGCCGCATGTGCATGCGCATATTATTCCGCGACGGAAACAGGATCTGGATTCCAGGGGGGGGATGGATGCTGTGTACGAACTGATGGATGGGGAGGAGGGGGATATCGGACATTTCCAGCGGGAGAAGGAGGCACAAGGTGGTCTACGGAGTCGGACGAATTTCCCGGCTGTCGACAATGAAGCGAGGAGACCGAGGAGCGATGAGGAGATGAGGGCTGAGGCGGAGATGTTGGCCAGGGAGATGCAGATGATTTGAAAGCTGTATAATAATAATTACTACGGAGAAGGCATTCTACCATATCTACCATACACCAAACGCCTGTATAGCCAATCAATTTCCCCGAATGCTCTTCCACACGGCTTCGCGCTCCTTCATCACGGTGGCCGCCCACTCCTGCACCTCGGGCAGCTGGATGCGCTGGGCAACGTGGCAGAACTCGGTCAGGTCGATGGCGTGCGTGCGCTCGTACTCGACCATCTGCAGCAGCAGCTCCATCTTGTCGACGTCGTGCACAAATTTCGCCTCGAGCGTCTCGTTGTCCTCGTACTCCTGGAACACGCGCAGAATCTCCGGGCCCGAGAGCTGGCCCCCGGGGACGCCGCCCAGCAGGTCCTTTGTGATGTAGTCCATGACAGCCGCCTCGCGCCGCGCCTTCTCCGCCTTGGTCACATCCTTGTCGACCGGGGTGATGTCGCCGACGAGCGACTCCGCCATGTCGTGGATCAGCGCCATCTTGGTGCAGTGCGGGATGTTGAGCTTGGCCGATAGCGAGGGAGGGGCCATCATCGTCATGATCGACATGCGGTACATGTGGTCTGAGATGGACTCGCCGTGGGAGATCCCAAACCGGCGCCAGCCTTCACGTTTGGTGGTCTTGAGCCGTTCCAGCAGGTGGAAGAAGGGCACAGGCGAGGCCGAGTTGGACTCGGGAGGGTGGGGGAGGGTTTCGAGGACTGCAGAAATCGTCAGTCAAGATACTCCGTCCCCGCAATAATCGTTTCTTCCAGAGAAATCCTCGTACCCGCCTTGGTGGTCCATTCGGGAGAAGAAGGGGCTTCGGAACCCATGATGCTGAAATGAGCTGTATGAGCAGAAGAAGAAAGTAGACCTGCTGTCTGTTCTAAAAGAGTGGAGAGGGAAGACTTCTTTGACTGAACTTGAAGGAGTGAAAGAAAGACTCAAAGAAGCCAAACGGAAACCGCGTTGATACGGAAGACAAATACTGCAAACGCTGCAAACACTGCAAACAGCCATTATCGCTGTTTACTGTTTTGACCAATCAGAGGATTCTATTTACGCAGTCTTCATTCTGCTTCTGAGATATTATTTAGTTCTATTCAATCTATCAGAATGAAGAGATATTAGAGTCATTCAGTTAATATACGACAGAGATGATGACTCATCAATTTAGGGATACTCTTAGTGACTATGGTAGAAGCCGTCAGTTTCGCTGTCATTACCAGCTCTCTAGTCCTTGTCTAAACTTCATACTGCCTACTACCTATAAACCAGAGAAATAATTCCAGTGTCTATCGCAGAATATGTCCTTGTTATGCTCTGCTAATCGTCTTGACAATTCTCGTGACTGAGACCAGCTCTACCGCGGTCAGGAGTGATTCAGTCCAAGGTAAGCCTCCCACTCTTCCCTCTCTCCCCTTCTCTTTTCTTTCTCTCCCTCTCTTTCTCTGTATCTCTCTCTTCTGTTTCTCATCTAGTTTTTCTGGTTTCTCTATCCTCTCTCTATTTCTCCCCCCTTTCTGTACCCCAATCTCTGCCACCCCTCCGCTTGCGTCAACAGCAGAATAACCCACCATGGGCAGTAATACGCAGAACCCCAGGCCAGGGCACAGCAATGTGAGCAAGAAAACAGGTGCGCACTTGATCTTGACCGATATTGCGTTTAGATCAGTGTATCCGCCAGATGTATGCCCACGGAGCCGCATCGTTGCTGTCTGCGGCGTTAGCGACGTCGATGACCTCGCATCACCACACCTTGACGGATGGTTGTTCAGTGATTTTTACTTACTCCACCATCTTTTAAGCCTCGTCTGTATGTTTTGCATTGTGCTGTCCTCTGTATGAAGTGCTAATGAGTGCGTTGCTCTAGACACTCATACGTCGAACCAGGTCTGGCTCACCTGCCTAGAACCGAAGTACTTGGTCGAAAAATACACAGAGTATGCCCACGGCGATCCCCGGAACGACCGGAGAGCTGTTCTTGACAAAGACCGTCTCAGTGACATCGAACTTGCAGCCAATATGCATGTGGTGGATCAGGAGATTCTATTGGAACGGTTTGTCAGGACTGTGGAGGAACAGGCTCGATACGCAAAAGAATATGGAGAGACGCTACTCGTTCTTATATTCAGTCGCGGAAACTGCGGCAATTTCAGTGTTCAGATCGGGGGCGCGCAGCCGGATGAGGATAAATGTCAATTGGAGATCGAGGATTTGAAGCGAGTTCTTCCAAAAGGCCTTGATGTGACCCTCATGTTGACGTCTTGCTATTCCGGGGGCTGGCTGATTCAACCAAATATCCACTACCATGAACACTTGAACACTGGGATTGCTGTATCCTTCGAAACGCGCTCGTGGTCAATGGGCAAGAGCGTCGGCCGTGCTTGTGGCAGTACCGTTACTTCTGCGATTGTCGATCAATTGATCAAGATCGAAGAAGCACAAGACGCTGAAGAGTCAGCAAAATCACATCTCATGTACTCCGAACTGGTGTCGGCAATCTATGACAAGGCAACTGAACTGGATACCTTTTTCAAAGACCAAAACATCCAATTCTCTACACAGGATGACGATTGGGAGTCCCATTGGCGGCCGCGGACTGGAACGCCGCTGGCAAAATTCAAAGATCACTGGGAGATGCTTCGTCAGATTCCGCCAAGTAGTGTCTGTGTCGACCACACAACAGGAGGCCGGCATCCAACATCGACGAGACGGGTAGGGTCTCTCCAAAACGATCTGCATCGCTTCGCAGCTGAATATTTCAGAGCAAAACCAGGCCGTTCCGGTCTCAGTTCTAATGTCGCCCTGCACAGCGCTCTCTACCGGTTCTCTCAGGGATTTCCCGAGGCTGATGACACCGAACATCTTCAGAGCATGCTCAACCAAGTCATCTATCGGTTGAATATGATGAGAGACGCCGACGAGTTTGTCGGTGCCATGGGTTTCGAGTTTCCCAGCTGCCTGGGATATTCGATTCAAGACGACTACAAGCCCAGTGCCACCTCACAAGCCAAGCGAGACGTTGCCTGGAATCACTTGAAAAGGGTGAAACTGTTCCCAATCTCAGCTCCATATTTCACGCACTTCACGAAACCCCAGAACTACCTGGCCATTGTCCTTGCCGAGAGATGCGAATCCACAACTGCAATGAAGGAGAAGATCGCCAAAGCTCTAGAATGTAAGCAGCTTCCATTTCCATACTCGGGTTGTGATCGTGATTCTGACACCGGCACAGGGAAAGAAATCAAAGCAAGCCAATTGCTTCCGAATGTGCAGGCCTACAAGATCATCAACGACGAACAAATCCGAAGCAAGCTCCATGCCTGCTACGAAGGCTTGAGAGAAGCAGGTCATCGCCTGTATGTCAGAGCTGGGGTGTTGACTCGGCCGTGCCCACACGAGTTCCTTGATATACCCACCTTTTCTACGGCGAAATCATGATATATGGAATTGCAAGAAGGTACGCTGGTCGGATAGAGGGAAGTAACCTGGAGTACAAAGATCTTATATGCAGTTAGACGGAAGTAACCTCGGGAGCTATTCATAGTACAATACAAAGTTTCCACTTCTATTATATTTTCATCTATAGACCCATTTTCACTAGTCTCTCTTCTCGAGATGATGTGGATGATGCGCTACTCGATGGCCATGGCGATCATGGAAGATAACCTACACCCGGTCAGCGACAGAAAAGTCGTTTCGATGACCAGAGCCCAACTTTCGGCGGATACGCGACTCCCTCCCTCTCTGCACCCTCCTTGTCACTCACGCGTCGTTCGACCTGGAGTTTGTTAAACAAATCCGTATTTCAAATGAAGAAAAAAGGTTTAATACAGTTCCCTGCTGGGAGCCTTGGGGATATCCTGCATCGACATAATCGCCTTGACGGATCGGTTCGCCGTGCTTGTCATTGAACCGTTTGTCTGTCGGGGGGGGAGAGCGATAAGGCATGTTTAGTTGGACAGAAGATGCTGATTTTGAAAGAATGGATTCTTCGAGTTGTATTAGAGGAAGCCTTGATGTCATTATGATTGACAGGAACACCTGATGCAATGCTGACATGGTTGATAGAGATGAATCACTATCTTTCTTTGTGGAAACAATAGCCGTATAGTTCGTTCAATAAATACCTAGTATCTACACTATAGTAGAAGTTTCCTCTTCCAAGGACTTTCTATTCTAAACAACAACAGCAGCCATGAGAACGTCCAGCGCCGCCCGTTTCCGCCGAATCCATAGAGTCATGTACTCTCGATCCGCGACAGACAAGCCACTCACCAAGACAGGCTCTAAGTCGGGTCTGGCGTCCTCGCAGCACCCGAGAGAGGAGTCCACTGAGTCGACATTCAACAGGTTGTGCAAGGCGTCGAGCGTCTGGCGCCCCCTGGAGAGGGTGATCTTGATGAGAACGTTGCGAATGGCCTGCCCCTCTTCCTGGGTGACTTTGTAGTTACCCAACGAACAGGGCAAGGCACCAGGCGGGTGATTGTTCATGGTGAGTTGCTCGGAAAGACTGAAGATAAGCTCTGTGGCGGACAGGGTGAGGAGGATGGAGGAGAGGGACTTGTGGCAGGCGTGGCAGGCGATGAAGCGCTCGCAGGTCTCCAGCGTGGCGGTGATGGACTTCATGGCCAGATCGAAGCGATCGGAGCGGTCGCGACCCGTTAGCTGGTGCAGGGCAGCGACGTTGACTGCCTGACTCTGCACGCAGCCACAGCCTTGATCTGGGTGTTGCTGAAGAGGCGGGAACTCGGGGGATATCGACGTGGCAGGGTCGCTCAGTTGGAGGTACGCGTCGTCGCCGAACGAAGATACCGGCGTCGTCAAGGCTTCTAAACTCTCTGAGCTGCTTTCCTCCGGGGGGGTCTGCAGGGCGAGGTCCATCTCCATCGTCCACGGGTCCAAGTCGAGCGGTGAGGAGAAGTCGGTACATGGATTCGAGAGTGAGGTCTGACCGGAGAGGTTGATGGTGGAACTGTCGAGAGAATGCAGCCATCCCAGACGCAGCCGATGTTCCCTTTCGAGCGTCTTGCGGTTCTTGCTCCCCTTGGGCTTTCCTGCTCTATTCTGAAAGCCATAACGACAGCACAAGCCCCTCGACGTGCAGCGAAAACAGGGCGATCCGCCGGAGCATTTGACCTTGCATTGATGACAGGAATCGCAGGCCGAGCGCAGCTTCTTGCGGTCCGAATGACGCGGCTGGGAGGGCACTGGACTGGCCAGGTACGGCAGAGTGGAAGCCATCATCACAGGCAACATGAGATGAATAGCAGCTCCCCAAAGACAGGCGAGAGAGAGAAGCAGGTTCAAATAGGGCGCTGAGAAGGAAAACGAAGAGCTGCAAACCCACCTTCCAAGCGAATCAAGGCTGCAGACAATTAGATGGGTCAATTGCTAAGCTTGGCACTGGGACACGATCAGTTGAGGATGACAGGGGAGTCGTTATCTTGAGGTCTTGAGTTGGTGATGCCTGAGAAAGAGTTGCCTGAGAAATGAGGCAGTCGGGATTCTCTCACTTTTCTTTCTCTCTTCACTCTCTCTTATTCTTTCTTCTTCTTTCTCATCTTCTTTCACTTTTCTCACTTTTCACACTTTTATTCTTTTTTTATTCTTTTTATCTCTCCATAGTGGAGAATCGCTTATACTTACTACAGGTAGATTAGATATAGCCATGGCCTGCAGGACTAAATAAAAACAGCCGGGGTGATTAAGTTGGCTGAATAAATAGGTTACTAAATATATTTTAGCAGAGTATAAGTTATTTAGATTATAACTATTAATATTTGAATAAGTGAACATAAAACTACACTGAATGCCGAGTGCTTACTGGATACTAATTGTCAACCCTAGGGTTAGGAGTAGTAACTATTGAATATCAGAAATAACCCTAGGGTTATCATAGGGTTAGGTTATCTACTCATTGCATGCTTCCTACTCTTACATTAATATTAAATTAAATTATATTCATCTATTCTATCAATCACACTTACTACTATTTTCTACTATTTTCCATTATTTTCTATTTACTGCAATCCTTGCATCTCGGCCGAGCTCATCCTCGCTGCTCGGCCGAATCTCCTTCCCTCTCCTTCCCTCTCCTTCCCTCTCCTTCTCTCACTTCCCCCTCCCTCCTCTCTCTCTCTCTCTCTCTCTCTCTCTGTCTCTCACTTCCCTCCTCCTCTCTCCCTCCCCCCCCTTCTCCCCTCTCTCTCCCTCATTTCGTACGAACTCTGCTCTTCTTCTCCACGACCTCTTGCTTGAAAATGTCGTCTTCTTCTTCTCCCCCTACTCCTAGCAACCGCTTCACAACACCACCACCACAATCTCACCCCGACAATGGCGACCCCTGAATAGAACGAGACGCCTCGCGTCCTCAGCCCTATCTAGATGGAGGAGAAATCCCTGGCCCCCAACGCCATGGAGCACGTCCAGCCGAATGGTGGAGTGACAGCCTGGGCGTGTGTGGCCGGTTCGTTTCTGCTGCAGTTCTGCTCGTTTGGTTACGTCAACGCGTATGTCTTTTCTCTTGACTCGGCAGATCGATGATCAAGCTAACCTAGGCTAATCAATAGATGGGGAACCTTCCAGCTGTACTACCCAGACGCCATGTTCTCCGACGAAAGCGCCTCCTCCCTGGCGTGGATCACAACCTTCCAGATCTTCCTGCTCTTCATACTCGGGCCCGCCGTGGGCAAGATGATCGACCTCTACGGCTGCCGCAGGTTCTTGCCCGCCCTTTAGCTTCATGGCCGTGTTCTCCGTGTGCATGCTCAGCCTGTGCTCCAAGTACTGGCAGGTCATGCTGGCGCAGGGTATCGCTTCTGGTCTGGCGGTTGCCATTGTGTCTTCGGGGAGTAGTTTAGGTGAGAAACCCTCCTATACAGAAGATAGGACAGATAGCTAACGCTTGCTTGCTAATGCAAGGCGGCGTCGTCTACCCATGCATGCTCCGGTCAGCTTCGCGTCTGCTGTGCGCTGGAATGCTCTCATGCAGGGTGTTCTGCTGTTTGTCGCCAACTTTCTCTGCTCGTCTCCTGGGGAAAGCGTCTGCCAACGCAACCGCGGCCGCAGACAAGGAAGACCCCCCAGGGCGTGCAGTGGGCTCCGCGGCTTCAAGAGCCTGCCCTGGGCCTTCTTTGTGCTGGGCTGTTTCAGATTGATGTTTGACACAGTTGACTTTCTTTTTCAAGTCTTGTATTATAGCTTGTAGAGGCCGAGGTTAACAGTAGATAAATCTTGCAGAGGTCGAGCTCAAGAGTAGATAAATACTTGGGCAGGAATTGGATAATTAATGATCATTCTTAATTATTTCAATACCGATTCAACCGCCAGGCTGGACTTCTATTCTCTCCCTCGGTGGGTATATCGCCGCCGACGTATACCCGCCGACGCCGACGGCGTTCGGCATCCCATCTTCATCCAAGATGCCAGCATTGTTTTCCAGAATTTTTCTGGATGTACAGTTGCAAAGTTGCACACGACGCCCGCCATGACTCTCCTACACCACTTCTACGAACAACGGCAAGCCCACCCCTCCTCCGTCGCAATCGAGGATGGCACCCAGTCTACAGACCCGACAGCCTGGCAGCGCATCACGTATGCCCAGCTCGACGCCCTGTCCGACGTCTGGAGCGCCCGTCTGCGCCAGACCGGCGTGCGCGCAGGCTGGATCGTGCCCCTGCTCTCTACTCGCTCCATCGCCATGGCGGCAGCCGCCTTGGCCATCTTGAAGCTCCGCGCCGCGTACGTGCCCATGGACATGGACTCGTGGGGCAAGGATCGCATAGACGCCGTTCTGAAGACTGTCGATCCGCAAGTCGTCGTCTCAACAGTCGCGTGTCAGAAGGAATATCCGTGTCCTGTGGTGGAGTTGAGCGAGATCGACTTGGGCGAGATCGACGCCGGTGACTCTGCAACATCTCCCCAAGATAAGTCGAGAGAAGACGACCTGGCGTATATCATCTTCACATCTGGAACGACCGGAAAACCAAAGGGCGTGCAGATAGCTCAGAGATCCATTGCTCGCTACGTGAAAGAAGGCGGCGAGCTGCCGTTCAATTTCAACGCCAAAGCCGGCACCAGGGTGTTGCTCATCTGCTCTATTGCTTTTGACGGTGAGCTCCATATCTTTCTATTCGATGATGAGATGCTAATGGTCGGCAATCAGTCTGCGCCGGCGTCGTCTTCAACACCCTCTGCAACGGGGGCACGCTCGTCCTGGCTAATCCGTCGACCTTTGAAGCCGTCGCCAGAACATGCCATGTGTTGCCGTTGACTCCCAGCATTCTGGTGACTCTGGACCCTCGCGCAGGGTTTGACACAGTGGAAGCCATCTTCCTCGGAGGCGAAACCCCCAGCCCGTCCTTGATACAGGCGTGGTCCTCTCCCCGCCGGCGGCTGTACAACTCCTACGGGCCTACCGAGACGACCTGTACGGTGCTGATGGGAGAGCTGCGGCCAGAAACGCCGACCATCACCATTGGGTTTCCGATCTCCTATAGTACGGTCATTCTCCTCGATGCAGATGGCGTGGAGGCCGCCGAAGAAGGCGAGATCTGCATTGCCGGCCTCGGTCTCGCACTGGGGTACTTCCAGGATCCAGAGCGCACAAACAACGTTTTCATCGAGCAAAACGGAGTCCGGATGTACAGAACAGGCGACTACGGCAAGCGGACTCCGTATGGAATCCAGTTCTGCGGCCGCAGGGACAGCGTGGTCAAGAACCGCGGCTTCTTGATCAACCTCGAAGCCGACGTCGAGCCTGCTCTGCAGTCTTATGGCAAGGTGGACGGCGCCGCGGCCGTCATGTCCCAGGGCCGCCTCGTTGCCTTTGTCACGCCGCTGTCAGCTAAGGAGGGACTCCGTGAATACCTTCGTGCCAGCGCGGTTTCCTCGTTCCTGGTCCCGGATACGATCTACTCCCTGCACGATTTCCCCACGACAGGCAACGGGAAGGTCGACAAAAAGAGCCTCTTGCGCATGCACGAGCAGGAGCAAGGGGCAGCAGACCCGGAAAGCCTGGTTCCAGGGCTGGGCGCCGTGCAAGCCGTTTGCAGAGGGTTCTCTCATGTCCTCCGACTGCCGGAGTCGCAAGTCACCCAGTTGTCGTCTTTCCGTCATCTCGGGGGCCATTCCTTGGCCGCCGTCATGTTCGTTTCGGCCCTGCGGCAGATGGGGTATGCCATCGGTGTCTCCCAAGTGTTTCTGTGGGATACCGTCGAGAGGATTGCGGCTGGTGTCGTGGAAGTGAGCGAGATCTCACCTGTTCCCTCGGCCCAAGAAGACCTGGTAGAACGGCTAAAGCATCCACCCATGACAGACATGCAAACCAGGATGCTCGGTGCGAGTGTGGCCACCCCGGGCCTTTCCTTTATCAAGACCTCCTTTACGTTTGACCATCCCGGTAAACAAGACCTGACCGCAACGCTTCATGCTGCCTGGGTTCGTCTCCATCATCGCCACGAGATCCTGAGGACGGCATTCGTCTGGAACGCATCGAACGGAGGAGCCCAAGTGATATTCCCGGACCCAGGTTTCTCATGGGAGCAGGAATCCATCGCCACAGAGTCAGACTGGGAATCGGCTTGTCGACGTGCAGAACTTCTGGATATGGCCGAGTTCGCAGACTTGGAGGCAGAGGACCGCGCGTCATTATCAAGAGTCGTTCTGATCGTCGCGCCCAGCAAGCGGACCCGGTTCGTCTGGACGGTTCACCACAGCTTGGTGGACGGATGGTCGATGGCGATCTTGATGCGTGACTTCGCCTCTTGTCTGGATGACGGTGAGAAACCGAACCAGCCGCCGCCGCAATTCGCTCAAGCTGCACTGGCAATCAACCAGCTGACGACCGAGGCCTCAGATCGAGCCGTTTCCTTCTGGCGTGAATATCTATCAGACGGATATACGCCCGCCCAGAGACTCCGAGTATCGCCCCCCTCGGATGTCAGCGACTATACGCAAGCCGCCCTATCCCGTAGACTCACCGTCTCCGTCTCTGCCCTGGAGACCGCCGCCAGGGATCGATTTGCAGTCACGCCCGCCACCCTGCTGTACGCTGCCTGGGGGCTTCTCGTCTCAAGGTACTCCAACACTGACCGCGCCGTGCTCGGAGCCGTCCTATCTGGACGAAGCTTGCCAATACCCGGTGTCGAGAACATGGTTGGGCCCCTGATCAATACGTTACCGCTGGCCGTCGACACGCGAGAGACCCAGTCCACGTCTGGGTTTGTCCGGTCTGTGTTTCGACGGCTGTGCGACATCGTGGAATTCCAGTGGTCGCCCGTCGCCTTGCTGAATCAAGGCTGTGGCTGCAATCCCGCCGAGCTCTTTGAGACGCTGTTCGCTTTGCAGTACGACTTCCCACCGTGCCCCTGGGAGAAGTCGAGCGAGCTGCCCGAGCCGAAGGATATCCGCTATACGGAAGCCACTCAGGTGCCTCTCACCGTCCTGGTGGGCAGCACCGACGATGGCCGGGGTTTCGACGTTCGCTTTCTTTACCGCCGGTCACACTTTGCCGATGATGGGATCGTCCGGCGGATGATGGGCCATTTTGATCGTCTCCTTGCGGCATTGGTCACCGCGCAGCCAGACATCGAGCTGAGCGAGGTCACGAACCAGATGCTCACCGAGCAAGAGTATGAGATCTTGACTGCAAAGCCTGTCGCGCAGCAGCTGTCCTTTAAACTGCCAGTACCCGGTGACAACAACCTGGTGGAAGCCATTGAACGCTCCATCCAAGCGCACCCGGACATCTACGCCGTCCAAGGGGTGGCAGGGTCTCTCACGTATAGCGAATTTGGAAGAATCACAGGGCGGATTTGCGGGCGTCTTCTTTCGCAGCACATCCAGCACGGCAGCGTGGTCTGCATGATCAGTGACGGCTCTCTTCTTTGGCTTGTGGGCATGATTGCAATCCTCCGAGCCTGTGCGATCTACTGTCCGGTGGATCAGAAACTGCCACGCGATCGCAAGGACTATATGGTTCGGAACAGCAGAGCAGCGTTGGTTCTCTACGCCAGCTCCAGCCAGGAGGAAGTGTGCAGGGGAGTCCCGTCTCTCAGTATGGAGGCTCTCATGTCGGAAGTCCCTTCGACTTCCAGCTTCCCTGGCAGTCGTCCCGGCGGCGACGATATCGCATGCTTGATATATACTTCAGGGAGCACGGGGTTGCCAAAAGGTATGTAGCATACATTTGACTTCGAAGTGCACACTCTGAAATGAGGCATACTGACAATCACAGCGGTCCAGCTGCAGCACAGAGGGATCCTCAATGTGATCTCCCAGCCAGAAGGGCGCCTGTACTCCCGCCCAGGCCAGCGTAATGCGCAAATGTTGTCTCTCGGGTTTGATTGCTGCCTCAAGGAGGTCTTCTCCACCCTCTGCTTTGGTGCAACGCTGGTTCTCAAGGACCCGGAGAACCCAATCGCCCATCTGGCGAGAGTCGATGCTACCATGGCGACTCCCTCCCTCCTTGCCACCTTGGAGCCCGCCGACTATCCTAACCTGAGGGTCATCACGGTGGCCGGAGAAGCTGTGTCGCAGCTTCTAAACGACAAATGGTCAGCTGGCAGAACGTTGATCAACGGATATGGTCCGGCCGAGTGCACTTTGATATCCACCACCGCAGTTCTGCACCCGGGACACAAAGTGTCGATTGGCAAACCCCTTCCGGGCCTGTCCTGCTATCTTCTCGATTCCAACGGGCGCCCCGTACCGATGGGCGTGTGCGGCGAGATTTATATCTCGGGAGTGCAGGTCACTCCGGGGTACCTGCACAACGAGCATGAGACCGCCAAACGCTTCCTGGGCGATCCATTCAACCCTGGCCAAGCGATGTTCCGGACCGGCGACATGGGAAGGATGCTGGAGGACGGGAAGATGGAGTATATCGGACGCGAAGACGGTCAAATCAAGCTCCGCGGGTTTCGCATCGACCTGGGGGAGGTCCGAAGCACCATCTTCCGCCTCGCCTCGGCGGCCAGAAACGTTGCTCTCGTTGTGTCCAATGGCAATCTGATTGCCTTTATGACGCCGGAGACCATCGACGTCCACAGCCTGGCCAAAAGCTTGGAATCACAGCTGCCCCCGTACGCGGTCCCCCATCGGAGCATCGCGCTGGCGACCCTTCCCACCTCGGCAAATAACAAGATCGACTCGGCGGCCCTGCAGAGATATCTGAAAGACCACGGTGAAGATGGCGTGGTTGGGGAAGACCTGGCAACCGATACGCAACGAACTCTGGCGTCCATCTGGGCAGACGTGCTGGGGCGTGATCTGAACCAGATGCCCATCAGTCCCCAGGACCGGTTCTTCGAGCTCGGAGGACACTCCTTGCTGCAGATCCGAGTCGCCCAAGCCATCTCCAAACGCTGGGAGATCCGGCCACTGCCGCTGAAGCAAGTCATCCGCCACCCCAGCCTTGCAGACTTGGCTCTGGCCATCGACGAGCTTCTGCAAAGTGACCTGGCAAGCATGGGAGGCCCAGCTGGAATCCCCTTCCTTGAGATGTCCCCGGTGGGACGGGAAGATGGCCGGCTTCCACTCTCGTACCTCGAGAAAGAGATGCTGCTCAACCACCTCATCTCTGGCGGCTCGCCGGCCGGAAACATGTCCTTTGTTTGCCAGCTCCGGGGCGACGTCGACGCCGAAACCCTGGCCAACGCCTTCCAGAGGGTCACCGCAGACATTGAAGTGCTTCGCAGCCGGTACTCGGTGCACGACGGGACGCTCGCCAGACATCAGACCCGGCCAGCAGCTGTCAAGGTCCCTCGCGTGGTGCAAGCGGACAACCTCCGCTCATTTGTTCGCGGGCGAATCACCCAGTCCTTCGATCTGAGCACAGAGCCACCCGTCAATGTCTCGATTATCATCGGAACCCCCAGGCGGGCCACGCTGGTCGTCGTCATGTCTCACGTCGTCGGCGACGCGGCCACCATGGCTATGTATCTCAGCCGGGTATCCAAGACATACACGCTTCTGAGATCCAACGATACCCAAGCAACAGTCGAACCCACCGCCATGCATCTCGACTACATTGACTGGGCTCAATGGGCGTCTAGATCGCAACCCAGCCCCCGAGCTCTTGCATTCTGGTCTTCGTATCTGTCCGGCGCCCCCAAGCCTCTGACCTTTGGCCACCCTTCCCCAACGACAGCGGCCGCAACGTACATCGGGCTCACCCGGTCATGGACGCTCCCTGCTTCTATGCACCACAGTCTGGGCCAGCTCGCCACCAAAGCCTCCGTGACGATGCACCAGGTCCTCCTGGCGGCCATCTTCCTCAGCCTGCAGAGCGTCGACCGGCGCGACGAGATCCTCTTAGCTGCTCCAATCATGCACCGTACGGAGCCCGGCACCGAGGCCATGCCAGGCCTCTTCCTGGACCGACTCCCGCTGCGCATCCACTGGCAACAGCAACGGCAAACCTCCCTTGTCGATTTCCTGACCTCTATTCGCGAAACGAGCCAGCAGGCCCTGGCGCACTGCATCCCCTTCCACGCCATTCTCCGTGCGCGCGTCGGTGCCCTGAACCACAACAGCCCCAAACCCAAACCCACCAGCCTCATCGACCCCCTCTTCAAAGTCATGGTCACCTATCACACCGCCGCAGACGAACGGCCGCTCCTCGACCTCCCCGACGTGGAAGTCCAGCCCATCCCATGGCGCCAGCACACCGGCGCGGCCAAGTTCCCCCTGACCGTGGAGGTGACCGAGAAGAGGGCGGCAGATGATCCTCCAGAGCTGCAGATAGACATGGAGTACGATGTGGGCTGTATCAGCGAGGAGATCGCCGTGCGGCTAGAGTTCGCGCTGTCCTTTGCGTTCCAGCTGATGGTGCTGGAGATGGAGGTTGGGGAGATCATTCAATTAGTTTGGACGGCGTTTCATCCTAGTGGGAGTGGTCAGAATGGGATTGTCGGAGAAAACCGCATAAGCACTGGGCCGAGCAAAGCGGCCGGATTGAATGGTAATGATGACCGCATCGATGCTCCTACTTCTACAACTACTGGGCAACCAGCAGTCGAGCAGATCCTCGTGGACGCAGTGGATGAATGTCTAGACCGAAAGGCTCCGACTGCTGCCGCCGCCCCAGAAAATTCATTCTGGGACCTCGGGGCACAGAGTCTGGATGCCTTGAGACTACAGCACCTGTGTGAGAAGCGCGGGCTGCGGATCCGACTGCGGGATGTCTTTGTTTTGAGAAGCCTTCGCGAGCTCGCGAGTTGCGCGGTGATGGTTGAAAAATAGGATAGAATGTCTCGTTCCAGAAACCAAATCCAGCCAATTTCTTCCCCTGACCCAATATAGTTCCTGGTACATTAATTTTTAAGAACAAGACCCCAGCACGTATGAATCCAAGACTTCCATTCGTCTTAGCTCTTCAGGCCAAGAAAGACAATAGCCAGACCAAAAGGATACCCCGGTAGCAGCGCAAATCGGCCTCCGAAATGAAAAAGTAGACCCCCGAAACCAAGTGAAGGACCGTAGGAAGACGGAGGATTGGCATTGCTGCAGAGCCTCGGCATTCACAAACGCCAGGGCTGGCTGAATCTATCTCGGACGCAGTGGCGAACCTGAGGAGATCACTTGGCGCTTTCGTATATAGATAGGGTCCTCGCACGAGCCCAGCATGGACATCTGCAAAGCCCTTCACACACACGGACATACAGACGCACACTCGCACATACACATATACTGGTTCATCATTTCAATTATGCCCGAACCAGTGGTTTCTGCTCGGCCAAGCCTGAACGGCGGCTTCGCGGCTGGCTATCCCTCCGGCAAAGCGCACCAGGAGCTGGAGGTGAGCATCGAAGATTTGGATGTACAGACGGAAAGCCCCGAGAACCCTTCTCTTGCCTGTCTCAGCCCGTACGATATCCTAACGGCGGCACTGCCGCTGCCGGCGCCGGCGGCAGCGACGGGCTTCTGGTGGCGCGAGACGGGCCCGCTGATGAGCAGGCTGCTGGCCAAAGCCAATTACCCTCTGTACACGCACTATAAGTACCTGCTACTATACCATACCCACATTCTGCCGCTGCTGGGCCCGCGTCCGCCGCCGGAGAACGCGACACAGCCGTCGCCGCGGCACGCGCCGTGGCGGTCCTTCCTGACGGACGACTTTTCGCCTCTGGAACCCAGCTGGAACGTGAGTGGGAGCACGGAATCGCAGAGCACGATCCGGCTTGGAATCGAGCCGGTGGGCTTCGAGGCTGGAACCGCCGTGGACCCCTTCAACCAGGCCGCGGTGGTGCGGTTCATGCACTCGTACGAGGCGGCCGAGGTGGGGGCCACACTGACGCTGTTCGAGCACTTCCGCCAAGATCTGTTCGTCGGCTCGGACTCGTACGCCGCGCTGCGCGCGAAGATCCCCGAGGGCGAGCACACCACGCAGAGCTTCTTGGCGTTCGATCTCGACGCCGGGCGGGTCACCACCAAGGCGTACTTCTTCCCTATCCTGCGCTCGCTGGAGACGGGCCAGAGCACCACCAAGGTGGTCTCGGACTCCATCCTGCGTCTCGCGGTGAAGAGCCCCGTGTGGGGGGTGCAGACCATCGCCGCCTTGTCGGTCATGGAGGCATGGATGGCGAGCTATGGCGGGGCGGCCAAGGCGGAGATGATCAGCGTCGACTGCGTGAACGAGGCAGAATCCCGCATCAAGATCTACGTGCGGATGCCACATACCTCGCTGCGCAAGGTGAAAGACGCGTACTGCCTTGGTGGGCGGCTGACGGACGAGAACACCGCCGAGGGGCTGAAGCTGCTGGACGAGCTGTGGAGGACGATCTTCGGGGTGGTCGACGAGGAGGCAGAACTGCCCCAGAATAATCATCGCACCGCAGGGACTATCTTCAACTTCGAGCTGCGGCCAGGAAAATGGTTCCCCGAGCCTAAAGTGTACCTGCCCGTCCGACACTACTGCGAAAGTGATATGCAGATTGCCAGTCGGCTGCAGGTCTTCTTCGGGAAACTCCGATGGTACAGCCTGGAGGAAGAGTATTGCAAGCATCTAGAAGGGTTGTTGTAAGTCGTCTGTTCCTGTCCCTGTCCCAGTTCCTTCGACATGTACCGCGATGTCAGCGCTGACCTCTTGATAGTCCCCACCAGCAACTGACCTCGTCAACGGGCGCACATACCTACCTCTCATTCTCGTATAAGAAGCAGAAAGGGGTTTATATGACCATGTACTATAATCCCCGGGTGTACAGCACGTAGAGCAGCTTTGGTCTAGTTCACTAGTTGTCGAGCGAAGACTCAGTGGTTCAATTTGTTATCAACTGGCATCATGCCATTTATACGAGTCTTCTTTTCTTTCAATCTAGAGCTGAGACGTTAAGCCAGCGCGTTAGATCTTTCCATGACAAGAGTTAAACCCTTCCCCAGAGACTGGAACTATAACTCTCAGTAGCAGCCAGGATCGGTTGGGTCAAAGTTCCAGAATCCCTAGTCAAAGATCATCAGCGGAGAGCGTCATTATCAACGCAATTGGATTCACTTACCCAGTCAAATGCCATGGTGAGGTCCTGCATGTGCAGGCTTTCCACCTCTGACAGATCAGGCAACGGGGGTACAATGGAGGGTGCTCGAGATACTGGTAAACTTGGTGCCCCAGTCTCAGCCGGAACAGAAGTTGTCAAGGAGCCTGTTCCAGAGAGCTCCCCATTCGTACGAAATACTGCTCTGAATGGGGTTAAAGGAAGAAAGGTAGGCGGCACATTTCTGGCTATGCAATTTGAGATGATACGACTGATCACATTCCACATCGGGGTGACCTCACGCCCTCTCGTTCCCATCGTTCCTTTCAAGACTTCCAATGCGCGAGAACGGAGCGCACGGTGGTGTGGCGCTTGCAGTTCCGGTGTTTTCAGCTCGGAGACGATGTGCATGATGGATTGGAAACAGGCATGACCGCCTATATGCCACTGGAGCTTCTGCGCACCTTTGTCCTCCGGCGCTAGATTCAGGCTCTCAACGAGGCTGACCGACTTTGCCAGTACTCTAAAACACATTCCTCAGCTTGTGAAAGGGTGAACGATCTGCTTGCAGTTGGCACCAAACGTACGTTTGTCGGATCTCAGGGGACACTACGGCCTCTCGGTATTGCTTTGGGGTTCGCGGCCAGAAAATAGACCAGCACCGCCATTCGACCACTGCCGCAAGGCCCAGAGCGATGCGGTGGTGGGGTATTTGGGGGTCGCAGTATTGCAGGTATTGGGTTTGGAGATGGAGGACCATCTCATCGATCATGGCTCGAACCTCGACAAACAACGCCCGAAGCTCTGAGACACTTCCTCGGCCCGTAGCTTATACCGGAGCTGGAATCACAGATGAGTGAGTGTAGCTTTTCTCAGAGGGTAGGCTTAAGGATCCTCAGCTTGTTGGGTTTCATCCCCGCAAACTGGCTCGGCTGATATGCATGGCTGTCTGGGCCCCAGAAGGGATTGTGGAAGTTGCCTGCAATCGCATCCACGATGACGATCATATCTTTCGGGATGACAAAGTCTGCCAGAATCCTCTCTCTCGGTGAATCCCCGAGCAAGGTGAATGCTTTGGCTATGTTAACTGAGAGTCCATAGCCTTGGTAGATAACCGGGGGTTACAGAGAACTGACCGAAAGTGTAGCGATTCCAACAAGCAGTGATGGAGTAGGGTTTCATTTCGGTTTATGTAATCTTCTCGATCTGCCTGGTTTTTTCTCCATCCCTTTGAAGCCGGTCATTCTAGACCTCGGGGAATCGGCTAGAAGAATAATGCAGGGCGGGAGGGTGTCGATATCCAGGTTAGCAAAGGTGGATTCCGCGTGTCAGTCACCTAAGATCGACCATCAACAAGAATACTATCCATGTCATGAGGGGTCCGCAACCGCCTACCTCATTTGTTGTCAGTTCGCCTCTTCCTGCTGTCTGTGATTGGCGTTTCAGGGGCGGTGATCTTCCTGGAGCGGTAGATCTCCCCGTTGAAGTACTCCTGCTGGAAGTTCTCGCATTGTTCCAGGTCTGGGTATTGAAATATCTCGTCAGCCAGGAGCAGTGAACAGCTCCCGACACAATCGCCGCGAGAGGCCCATTGAAGGGAGACGTGAAGAGGGAAGAACTGAGGAAGTTGACGTTGTCGTTGAAGTGGAAGTCGAGGAAGTCGAGGAAGGCGCGGTATATCTTTCGTAAGATACCGCGAGGATGACGGTATTGGAAACGGATAGATTACCAAATGCCAAGACTTCCGCTGAACTATTGCCTTTTGGGTTAGACTGCCGGTAGTCCGTAAATAGTAATGTTTGCATGATTTGTTACCTTTACCGCCCCAGCCATTCTGCCTGACTATTCTGCCCGAGCGGTCAGCGCGACCAACGAAGTGTCAACGTCAACACGAAGGACGGACGGGAAGATTCGCTCATGCTCGACGGCCGCTCTGCCATCATGCAGCATTCCAGGCCTGCAGCGAAGCCGAAATCGGTCAATTGGAGTCCTGCCGCCCATGGGGCTGTCTTTGTGCGCAATCTGAAGCTCCTCCAGCTCGACCAGCAGGAAGACTGGCCCAACATCAGCACGCGCACGCTTGCTCCCTCCCAACAGAACCAGCGGCAGCGCGTGAAAGCGGTGGAATGGGCGCTCTATCAGCTGTTTTCCATCTGGGATCCCGAGGCGACCTATACGGTGCGTTCTTGCGTTCTTCCCTGCTTTTTGTCCCTCCCAGGCCGCGGCTAATGTCGATAGAAACTGCGCCCGTTCTTCCCTCCGTTGGAACCGCTGCAGTCGGTGAATCTCCGCGCAGCCCTGTTTCGCGCGTTGACGGAGCTGAAGAAAAATGGAGACCTCGGAAGGGAATCGGTCGTTCGTAAGACCATGCTGGATGATTGCAAGGGGGAGAAGTTCGAGGAGCTGCTGGCTGTGTTCTCCACGGCGGTGTTGAGGAAGGTGGTGGCTACCACCGGGCTGATTGCAAACCCTGCTTTGAAGGTGTCCATGGCGAGTGGTGTCACTCCAGAGGAGTACCAGGCGATGGTGCCTCTAATTATTGCGCACCAAGCTTCTCTGAGTGGGATGGCCGAGCGCCGGGAGCGCGTCCGGCAGACGTACGAGAAGTTCAACCAACTGTTGGAGTTAAAAAGGGCCGAGCTTACTGAAAGAGCAAAGGAGAATCCAGTCTCCAGTGCCAAGACGTCGATGGATGTCGATGTCGCGCGCGAGATTCGAGCAAATTGGCTGGGGAGTGCAGAATGGGCCACCACACTGCTCGAGGCAGGATCTCGAAGCAGCACCGACAGCTTCCTAGAGCTACCGTTTGCCAGGGCTTGGGCGCGAGCAAACGAGTCAACCGTGGAGGATCTCACCAGTGCTCCAAGCAACGACCTTTTGGTGGACCTCGAGCTGCGCGTCGCGCAGCAGCGGCGTCGGTTGATCAAGTGGCGGGAGTTTAGAGAATCGATCAAGAGCGCCGAGGTCCCCATGGCTCAGCGGAGAGTGGGCAGCGCCAAAATAGTCTTCAGAGACCACCAATCGCTGAGCGTCGCGAGCATATCGAAAACGGTGCACGACTCGGGCGAGTCTGCCGCACCCTTGCAGAAAGAAGATGAGGCACTGCTCGCTTCCCTGGACCAAGCCCTGGCTACGATCAACGGCAAGGCCAGCTCTTCTCGACGGCCTGTCTCTACTTTTGAACCCCGGTCTCGGTATGCAGAGAGCCGCCCACAAAGCCAGCACATATTTCCGCCGCCTGCGCTTCTACAGCCAGATCCTGTGCTGCGGAACCCGTCGAGAGAACGACCGGCACGAGGCGTGTCCCCCGTTGTCCACGTCTCTGCCGACGCGAGCTCAGACTCGAGCCTCAAGTCGGATGCCTCCTCGGACACCCCTGAATTACAACAGCATTATCGACCACGAGTGAATCTCGTCGAGCGAACCCGAAAGTCCATGTCGCTCGTCCTGCCTCCTCGCGATCGTCCACCCCGCGAGAGTCTCGCGCGCTCGCACCGGCCTCGTCCTTCCTTCCCCGTCAACCAGTTCGACGCGCAACACCACCTCCCCGTGGACTCGTTCGATGTTAGGGCCGTCTCCCGCACGCCAACGCCCAGGGAGGAGCTCTTCGACGAAGAGGCCGAGTATTCGAGCGTGTTCAAGTCGAGGCCCAGGGTCGTGCATAGTCCTGTAGCCTCGCCGGCGGTGCATGTCTCGCCGTTGGATCTAGATATGGTGGATCTTCCGGAGAGCCCGTTGGCTAGGAGGAATAAATAGTAATAGCCAGTACTGGTTCTGTCTATTGTGTACAGGTACAGTGTGTATTATGTAAATCCTATCGTTACCTTTTCCGTCTCGGCTGTTCATATTCGTCGTAGTCGTCGTCTTCTTCCTCCTCCTCCTCTGCCGATGAACCTTCAGACTTGGATTTTCCATGGTCGACAATCAACCCGTCCGCATCGCCGTCTTCACCAGGTAAGAGAAACCCACCGCCGAAATCATGAGGGTGATGATCATCATCATCTGCAAGAAGAAACCCACCGCCATGATCGTGATGGTGGGAGTCTGCTCCATCCCTTGATGCAGAAGCCTCCGACTTGGTGAACGGATTATGCGCGTCGCGCAGTGTGTCGTCGAGACGATCATCACCACCGTATTCCTCACGAACACGCTCAGCGATACGCAAGCCGAACAGGAACTTCCGCCACGTCTGAAGGATGCGTTTCTCGGCCTTGAGCTGTTCGCGTTTCCGCTTCTCTGCGTCGTCCACCCGCCACGCATCCTTCAGCAACGACTCGTTCTCGGCAGCAACCACCACGCCGCGAATCACGGGGACCGCCATCTTGGACCCAAACTCGAAGCCCGTCACGGCCTCGGCGTAGTCGATGCCCAGTTTCTTGCAGACGCGCACGGTGCCCGGCCAGGGAACATGCGAGGCCCCGCGCGGGACCATGCTGGGAACAAAACAGTCGATGTTGCCGTACTCGTTCTTCGGGATGATCCCGTCGCGGATGGGCGGCGGGATGATGTATTCCGTCTGGTGGCGCGCGTACAGGCCCTGCAGGGGTTTCTCGCCTGTCTCGCGCGTCAGCTCGTCGACCTCGCGTTTGCGCAGCAGGGTGACTGCCCGGATCGGCACGCGCTTCAGCGGTGCCTCCCCGACCTTCACCTGGCGGCCTTCCTTGTGCCAGCTCTCTGCCGACAGACATTTCAGCACGTCTGCCCGCCGGAAGACTTTCTCTTCCTTGGCCTTGACGCCCTTGCCGGACGTGAACAGCCGCACATGCTCGGCTCCCGGGCGGAGCGCTTCCTCGCGGCGCAGGAACCGTTCGAGCACGTATTCGGCCGACGTGCGCAGGCTCTGCAGCGTGTCGCCGTCTCGCGCCGCTTTCTTGTCCGGCTGGTTCGGGAGCAGGTCCTTGGCGTCTTCTGTCTCGTCAACCGCCGTGCGCTTCGCCTCCGGGCGCAGGTACCCGCGCATCGTGACCCGGAACCAGTCGTACTCATCGAACTGACCCTTGCGACGACGGCCGGGGACGGCGATCTTCTCCACGGGGAGCCGGTATCCCTTGGTTTTGCCCGGCCAGGTGCGGCGGCGGAGATATCGCGTCGTCACGTCCTTGGCGGTTCCGTCGGCGGCGTGCGCCACGACGTAACAGATGACTTGTTTGGCACGTTCGGCTCGGGCGCCGCGAGGCTCAAACGCAGCCTGCAGCTCTGGAGTCGTTGCCACGGCGTTGGCGAGAACGAGAGGGTCCACAGGGATGATCTCGTGGGTAATCGGGGAGGCAACTTCGGTCCAGTAGACGGGAAATGGAAGGTCGCGATCGTAGCCTTTTGTCTTCGTCGTCTTTGTAGGTACCTCGTCGCTGTCGCTGCTCTCCTCCGAGTCGGCGGAGATATCACCAGCTTCTATGGTATCCTCCCGGTTGACCGAAGCTGCCTGGGTTTTCTCTGCGTATGTCTCGGCCTTGGTCCAGCCAAAACCCAACGGTTGCAAACTCCCGACCAGTCGGGCCTCGATCCCCAAGGCACGAAGCAGCGCCGTGAAGAGCTGGGCGCCGACGTCTCGCGAGCCCTGCATGGCCTCTGCGACAGCACGGAATTCGTCGCGATCGCGAATCCGCTCGCCGTGCACCTCCGGATCATGGTCTTGCTTGTGCAGGGAGGCAATCTGCGCCTCGACCGCAGCCATCGGTCGGTATCCCTGTTTCCGCAGCCCGGGCGCCGTGATCTGGAACTGCCGCCTCCAGTACGCCGTCAGCACCTTGAGGAGATGGATGATGGGATCGCCACGGCTCAGATCCGGCTGCCCGGGCTCCAGACGCGATGAGCCGTCCCCCCAGTCGCGGTCGCTCTTTTTCTTCCTGCCCTTCTGTTTCTTTCCCTTTTGTTTCTCCTCCGGTTTTTCTTCCGGCATCTCCAACCCCGAGGCGACTCGCCATTTGTGTACTTCGTTTCGGATCCCCGTGGGGAGCTTCTGGCGGAGGATCTCGTGGAGTTTGGCGTCGCTGGCCCAGGCGTTGCGGAGAGCGTTATGGAAAAGTAGACATTGGACGTGCATGCAGTGAGTGAGCGTGCGGATCTGCCGCTCGATCTTGGAAGGGCCCTTCTTGCCCTCCAGCAGATCGGAGACGTGCACCTCGTCTCTGTCCAGCGTCAGCTCCAAGTCCTGGGGCTCGGCTGCCGGCGTGGCGACCGCAGTAGTAGTCTTGGTAGTCGTGTCGATGGCATCCTCCCAGTCTATTTCATCGTCGGAGCCCTCGTTGGAGCCTTCTCCTTCTCCTTCTGTGTCCGCTCCAGTGTTCACATCAACAAACTCGTCACTGGGAGCCTCGCTGAGCGACGAGGTGGAGTCGGCGTCCGCGTCGGACTCGGGGATTGCGAGGAGGGCATCTGTGGCGGGTCTTTTGGCTGGCGGCGGTTCTTCAGAAGAAAGCCGTTTTCTGGGAACAAATGGAGGCATGCGAGTGATTGAGAATGGCTGGAGGGGAGGTTGTGATTCAAGGTGGAAGTGGTGGGAAGGAAGGGAGGAAGTGAGGTTATCGCGATTGTTATCTAATCAGTGAGAGATTAAGAGCAAGAAGATAGTCTTATACAAATGATATAGTTACTAGTATATTTGAAATCTAGTCTTATACCAGTAATATAAGGAAATTTCATTAGGAAATTCTTCTATTGTGCTGAGTATATGCTAATTCATATTACAAGTATAATGTTGAGAGAGTTTGTCTGCTACAACCCAGTCTAGGTACAAGGCATGAACATTATTCTATATAAATACTGGAGTAGTTATAACTGTTATATGATGCTATGAAGAGTGTCTATCAACACCTGAATTCGAAACCAAGGCAACTAATCGAGTACATATCTTGTAGAGATAGTGGTGAGTCCTAAGTGTAATATGAATTCTTAATTACCAAGTCAAGCATATAGATATATTACTATTGAAGAGGTAACCCATGTTACAAAAAGACTTTGGCTAATATTCTGATATAAGCCCTACACATTATAAGGCCAAAAGCGCTCTCTCTAGAGTGAAATATCTAGAAAATATATCTATAAAATCATCTACACCCAGTGAGGAGTCTGAAGAGCATAGCAAGGTTGTTTTAGGTTAGGGTTAGGGTTATTGATATAGTCCCTTCTCTCTCGCAGCACACTTTGCATCCAACTAGACAGAGGCCAATACTTTATCTTTTTCCTCGCCCTCCTGAGTCAACTGAACATACGGCCTTCCTCCTAGAACAGGACTTGCGTGATTCCCCAGTCAAAGGACCGTCGATCCAGGAGCCTCTCTAAGAGGGCATTTTAGAACTGACAAGATAGACTTTATATACTATATGACAGGAAGACCAACTCTTTAAGCCCAACTGTTGATTAATATCTACCTAGACCAGGTAAATAATAATAGGTAAAAACAGCAAAGCAAGCAGTATTATTCTAGTATTAATAACTATTATAATCATTATATCTATGCTTTATAGCCTTAAATGATACTTGCTAAGTATCTCTGCTTCTCACCTTCAATTTCAGCAGTCAGCTAGAAATGAGTAATTCATTTCAGGGAATATACAGATGTGAGTGAGTGCCAGATACTTCTAGAGTAATTTGATAGAATTATATTAATAGAGTATATTTAAGATGGAGAATGAAATTTAAAAAATACATATAGCAGCAGATGTCTTCTGCTCAGTCGCCTCTCCACATCCATCTACAACTACTCGATAATCTATCTACATCAACATCTACAACCCTCTCGCATTCACCACAATACTATTATACCTATGAAGCATTCAACCATGGACGCCGTCAAGCGCTTCTTCTCCTCTCCACGATTCGCCGTGGCGGGGGCCAGCAACGACACCCACAAGTTTGGCTACAAGAGTATACCTTGCTTGCCCAGTTCTTCCATTCTTTATTCTTTTCTTTATCTTCCATTCTAACAAGATAGTCTTCGCATGGTATCACCAGCACTCCCTCCCCGTCACTCCGCTCAACCCACGCGCAGCCCAGATCGCCCTCCCCTCGACGAGCTACGAGACCGTCCCTTCCCCGCAGGCGCTGCCCTCGCCCTCGCAGACGTCGCTGTCTGTCGTCACTCCGCCGCCCGTGACCCTCCAGCTCCTCCAGGAGGCACACGCCGTGGGTATCCCTGCCGTCTGGCTGCAGCCGGGAACGTTTGACGAGGCGGTGTTGGCCTATGCACACGCCCAGGGGCGCTTCGAGGCGGTCATCGCGGGGGAGGGGGGATGCGGCGACGAGGGTTGGTGTGTGCTGGTCGATGGGGAGCAGGGGTTGAGGGCTGCAGGCGTGGAATGGACGGCGAGATTATAAGATCTATTCAATCGTATTGAAAGTATTGATAGTATTGATAGTATTGATAGTAATAGTATTTGACTGCTACAGGAATTGTCTGTCTCGTCGGAGTGCTTACTAAGCAGTTCAGCTCACCTCTGTAACCTGATCACGACCACCACCACAACCACCACGACGACTCATTTTCCCACCATCAGGTTCTGCTCTGCTTCTCGCTCTATCCATCTCGCTCATTATTAGGATGGAGTATTCTTCTTGACCTCGTTCGATCCCTTCTATTCGCTTCCACCCTCAGTCGGTGAGCCCGTCCCACCCCAGCCACCGAGAATATTTCCAGCCACAGCGATCCAAAGAAAAAAACAAAAAAAAAAAAACAAATACCAGCACCTCAAGCAAAAGGCAGTGACTGCACTGGAGAACGAGAGTGACCGAGCGACGCAAAGAATGTCCGCCTTCTTCCTCGACTCGCCCATCCCCCCCAAGCTGGACCTGGCGGGCGCCCGGTCGCAGCTGTTCCAGACGCCGCAGAAGACCCCGTCCGCCTCGACCTCGCTGTACCGCTCCATCTCGACCAGCCGCAAACGCACCCGCTACAACGACAGTGAGAAATACTTTGCTGCCGACTCCCCCGTCGGCGGTGATTTTGCCAGTCCAGCCCCGCTCGTGAATACCGACTACCGCCTCGCCGGCGGGTGCGAGACCACCACCACCGCCCACACGCTCGCGCACCTGCGCGACACGGCCGCCGAGCTCGACTACCGCCCGAACCGATACAGGGAGACGGCCGCTCCGCTGGACGGGAGCGTGGATTCGTTGACCTCGTTGGACGTGGGCAGTCGCAAGCGCACCCGGAGGGAGTCAGTCTTACCTGCGCATAGCCTCGACCAAGATTACAACGACGATTACAGCGACGACGAGCATAAAACGGGGGTGAGCTGGCCACGCGCGGTGATCAATGTGGTCGGCAAGGTGTGGGATTTCTGCTGGTCCGGTGCCTTTCGCGGGTTCTACGCCGGGGGTGGACAAGGGTACCACTGGGAGGAGCACTCGAGCACAACAAGCACAGAAAAACCTCGATACGCGGCGGCGTATCCTCCCGTATACCCCGGCGGGTCTACCCGGTACTCGCCTCCAGGCCGATACCCAGACGAGATCGAACGGAACTGGGTGGTGGTGGCGGAGAAAGGCGACAAGAGTGCCAGCCCGACGGGTTCGGTGTTTACGAAACGCGTGCAGCCGCACCGCAAGAACGCCTCGTCGGTCTCCTCGACGCGGCGTCGATCGGCCGTGATGCCCCGACTGGGCAAGAAAGGTTTCGCGTCGCCTGGCCGACCGGCGTCGCCGACCAAGCAGCCCGTCGAGGTGACGACCGATGCGCAGCGGGCTGCGGCCAAGATGCGCCGGCTGGAGCGGGAGGAGGACGCGAGCCTGGCGCGGCTCAACGCCCAGCTGCAGGCGATGATCCGGGAGGGGAGGGAGGCTTTGGGGACGAGGATTGAAGTGGACGATGGAAATGATGGACTGAACGATGGACTGGACTGGATGGAGGATTAACGAGAGAACAGCGCCTTACGACTTACGACCCTGACTATTGAATGTATGAAATAATGACTTTCTAATTACAGAATGAAATCAAAGAATAACCAAAATAACAAGAATAAGATGAAGGTCAAGAATGACAAGAAGAGACTACACAGGCAGGTTCGCAAGAGGATTCACCTTCTCCCCGCCAACCTCGAACCCATCCAGCAGATGGCTCGAGCCCTGCAGGGCAGAAAGCAGATTCGAGCCCTCGATGTTATTGTCGACGCGCTGTTCCGGCTGGGCAAAGGGCGTCTCTGCCGCGGCCGGTTTGGCCACCGGGACGTGGCTGTAGTGAGGGACTTTGGGGGTCGCCGGTTCTGTAGGAGTCGGCATGGGCTGGGCGGTTAGTATCTACACACTCTCTGGATTGAATGGATGTCTTCTTACCGGCGCCAGAGGGGTTTTGTAGTCTTCCAGTTCGGGAGGAATGGGTGTGGCGAGGCCCAGAGTGAGCAGGGCGAGGAGAGAGAACAGCTTGAAAGACATGGTAGAGTATATATTAGAGAGTGTAGAGTGTAGAGTGTAGAGAGACAGCAAAGCACAGAGAGAGTGAGAGAGTCTTTATGTTATCTACTATCCTAACAAGGAGTCAAGGAGATTCAAGTATGCGACATTAATCTATGAAGCAAGGGTTGGAATGTAGAGTAAACAACAGTAGTAGTATCATAAGAGTAGTAGTAAAGGTGAAGAAATAGAGAATCAAGTTTGGAAGATATATAGAGGCAATACAAAACAATCATATTTATAAAATATAGTTTGTGTGTTGCAATTATCCCTAATACAGCCCAGTTCAAGGCTTATAAAATATATCTATGAGTATGTCTTTTAATCCTGAGACAGTCTCTGCAACAGTATAAAGGGCTGTACTAGTAGAAACTAGACTAGCCTCGGCCGAATGCCAGTCATGCACTAGTCTACTTGTAGTTAGTCAGAGTATTGGAGTATGGGTAAGAGTTTAAATAGATATATTCCACCTTTGATGTCCAGCAACTTTTGTAGAGAGATAGATATTAAAATTACAGTGTATTGCTACTTAAAGGATTATACTAATCATTAAATACAGCTACAGACAACTAAAACCGCTCTGTTTCCAGATTCCCGCTCCCCTCCAAGATAAACACCTCCTGCTGCACTGAGATCGCATTGACCGGCACTTTATCCATCTCGAAGCCCTCGGAGCCATTCGACGAGGCATTGTTGAGCCGCACCCACGGATCGGTCGTCAGGCCCGCCGCGCTCCCCCGATGGAGGCGTTTGCTCATCGTGCGCGATCCGTATGCCGTCCGGCGGGCCGTCGAGCTGCGCGTGTGGCTTGTGATCTTCTGCGCGGCCTGCTTGAACAGTCGGTACACGACTGGCAGGTTGGCGCAGATGATGCCTCCTAGCGATTCAAAGGCGGAGAGCACCCCGAGCGGAACGCCGTCCCCTACAAGATTAGAACCCTACTCTAGTATAAACCCTAACTGTAACCCTAACCCTAACCATGGCAGAGAAAACCCTAAACCCTAACCCTAAACCCTAACACCAACCCTAACCCTAAAAAAAAGAAACACGTACAAGTAATGTCTGGAGAACTTTGGGCAAAGACATAAGCCAGCCGAGCCGCGCTGATTCCGCAGGTCATGAAGCCGATGGAAAAGATGGCGATCAAGGCGACTCTGTTGTGTTTGGAGGTGCGGAGACGCAGAATGACGGGAATCGGCAGGGCGAAGATGACGATGTCGGTGATCATGTTGGAGGTGTTGACGTAGTATGTCATGGCGGTGGCATCGAAGCATTTGCCCTTGACATGAGCCGAGTCCCAGTAATGGGCCAAGGGACGGCAGAGGAGGCCCATGAAGATCTCGATGGTGAAGATCCAGAGGCCGATGACCAGGGCGCAGGCGAGGACGGCACGGCGGAAGGAGGCCACGGCGAAGATGCGGTAGTACAGGGCGAGGATGCCGAGTTTGACGGTGGCCAGGCCGACGTTGTACAGATGGCTGACGATGTAGTCGCCCTTGAGGAACATCATGAGGTCGTACGCGGTCAAGTCGGTGACGTGTTTGCCGAACCCATATTTGACGCCTATAAACGTGAGAATACAGTGTGGAAAAGGAAGGGCGGGCAGGGAAAATACCATAGGCAAGCATGACGGCGCAGTCTGAGATCTCCAGGGCGGTGCCGAGCAAGATCAGATAATCGTCGATCAAGAAGCGTTCGGTCGAAGAGGTGGTCCATTTGGCGATCAGACGGAGGCCGGTGCATACGACCATCCCAGCGATGGGGATGGCGTAGCCGATGATGACGAGGGAGGTTCTTGAGGACATGCCAGTAAGAATAGATATAAGAATAGAGTAGATATAAGGATAGTAGATATAAGGATAGTAGATATAAGGATAGTAGATATAAGGATAGTAGATATAAGAATAGAATAGATATAAAAAGTACTCCCTACTCTATCCTCTACTATGTATGTATCAGTCAATACAAGGATCCTATTGTAGGGAATACAAGCGAGCCCAAACAGGTTAGTATCTTAGTGCTAGTAAAGTACTAGTATCTACTGACTCGTATAGCCCCATTGATTCGTAATGATCGGCAAGTGGCATTTACAGGTCCATATTACCTACTCTATCTCTATATACTCTTTATAAGAGGTACATAGTTAAGAGGTACCTAAGTATAGCTGGGTACCAAGATAGTATGTAGAAGAGGTGTATACAAGGTAGTGACCTATGCTTGAGGTACTTGATATCAGTACTACTCATATATTGTCCATCTTGGTAGGGATTGAGCCTAATTTAATCCCGGGAATTCTTCCCTGCTAGTTTATACTCCAATGGAGACATACAAAGGCCATAGTTATAGCTCAGATCCATTCTTACCCAGTTTTTCCTTGCCTCCAATTTCTCCTCAACCATGTTCCTTTGCTGGTCTCTTCCCGTCCCTCCCGTCGAGCCGAAGCCCAAATTCCGGTCCCGCTCAGGCTGTCAGACCTGCCGGCGGAGGAGAGTCAAGTGTGATGGTATGAAGCAATCTCAAGATATGATTCTCTCGATGCTCACCAGCCAGAGAAAAAACCGATCTGCGATCGATGCCATCGGTCGAAGAATTCCTGCAGCTATGAGCTGCGTCTGCAGTGGCCTGATCGTGGCCATAGCAACAATAGCAGCAACAAGAGAAATAACAGTGGCAAGAACAGTGAGATTGCTTACCTTGATCGGTATCAACCTTGGCAGGAGCCTCAAAAGGCTCTCGTCTCTTCTTTAACCTCATTTTCAACATCTTCTTCATCCTGTCTATCCTTCTACGAAAGCGTGCTGTGCGCCATGGCCGTGACGGTCGACGACGAGCGCCATAACCCGCTGCGCAACACGGTGATGCCGCGCGTCTTCACCAACAGACTGGCGTACCACGCCGTCCTGATGGCGAGTGCGCACTATCTCTCCTCTGTGGACGAGCGGTTCCGGCTGGTGGAGATGCAGAGCCGGCAGAGATTACTCGCTGGGACCCGTCGCGCATTGATGAACCATGCCGTGGAGGATGTATTGGTTCCTACAGTATTCCTCTGTTCATCTGCCGTAAGCATCGGAAAGAATCAGAAAGAAGAAGAAAGAAGAAGAAGAAGAAGAAGAAGAAGAAGAAGAAGATACTAATCTACTGATACTAGATCTCTTCCTCTACCGACTCGTCCTGGCTCCAACATCTGACCTGTTTCCAATACCTGGTGCAACACGGCCTACCAGCCCCCCCGATGGTGATGAGTTACTTCTCTGCCCATCTCGTCCTGGCAAAGTCGCTGTTCGCCATCGAACCCATCTTCCCGGATCCATCGTGGACCTCTAGCGAGGCGCTGCGGCGGGTGATGCCGGACATGTTGGGGGAGATTGACGTGTGGAATGGGTTGAGCCACGGCCTGTTGCTTCTCATCAACGATATCTTGGATCTGAAGAACTCGGAGGACAAGCAGGGCAGAGTACACGGGCTGGAACATCGACTGGAGACGTGCGTGCAGGTCTTGCCACTCTCTTTGCAGAGACATACTCGGGCGTCTCTGCTGGAGAGCACCGCCGAGGCATACCGACTCGCCGCGTGGATTCTCCTGCAAGAGTCTTGCCGAGAAGAGTTCCTGGGAATTGCACTCGAGAAGCTGGAGAGAAGGAGAGAAGAAGAAGAAGAAGCGATTCTGCAACTGGTGGAACAAGTGATTGGCGGACTCGACTATCTGCCCATCTCCTGGCCGTTGTGGCCGCTGTTCATTGCCTCGTGTGTATGTGTCGATGAGGAAACGCAGCGCCGGGCGTTTGCCCTCTTCTCGCTGGCCGCGCAGAAAGCGCCGTTTGAGAATATCCTGCGAGCGCAGACTGTCGCCCAGCTGGTCTGGCAGCGCAGACCGCGGGCGTCTCTGGGAGTGTTTCCATGGCAGGTTGTCCTGCAGTTTCTGGGGTGGGAAACGAGTTTTGCATAAAGACACGAGTATCTATAAAGAGTATCTATAAAGACTATAAAGCATATCGATAAGACTCGTTCTGCCAGTCCGAGATATCCATGATACAGCCGTCATCCATAGTAAAGCCAGCAGGAGCATCACTCTCCGGCTCAATCACCTTTCCTTGCGCCTTGTCGCGACGCCTGTTCTCCCAGACCATGTACCCCCGTAGAAGAAGGACGTCCACGATTCCAATACAGAAACAGGCCAGGATGGCCGCAAAGGCGCCCTAAAAGTAAATAGTGAACAGGTGAACAGTAGATAGTGAACGGTAATAGTGAATAGGAGAGAAGCGTACATAGTAGGTAGGCGCCTGGGATGAACTGAACAATTGCGGACCAGCAATGTTCCCAACACAGTATCCGATGAAGAGAATGGCCGTGACGGTGCTCTTCTTGGTGAAGCCGGCAACGTTGCTGGAGATCAGGCTCAGACTCAACGGCCAGCCGGCGCCAAACACGCTGACCAGCCAGACACCCACGAGACGCCCCCATTTGTGCTCGGCTGGCAGCTGGCGCATCAGCAGGATGCCCAGCAGGCTGACCAGCAGGGTAAAGACCATGGCGTAGCAGCGTAGCCCGTGGTATCGGTTGCAGGCGAGAGCGCAGACGAGCAGGAAGAACAGGGCGATGACCGCCATGGGGATGGTGTATAGTAGGGTTTGGAACTCGGTGAACCCGAACGCCTCGATGACAATCGCGGCGAACTAGTAGAATTCATCAGTCATCTCGTCAGAAGGGTAGAGAAGTATAGAAAGGAAGAAAGGAAGAAAGGAAGAAAGAGAAAGAGAAAGAGAAGAGAAAGAGAAGAGTACGTTGGTGATTCCTCCGTTCGGCAAGGAGACCATAAAGTTGTAGACAAAGAGAAACCAGGTCTTGGGATCGAGCAACGCCTCGACGAACTGGTCCTTTTTCCACCGGCGACTCTGGCAGCTCTGCTGTCTGGCCTGGGCCCGACGATCGGCCCGTCCACGCTGCTCAGCGGGCAGGAAGCGTGCGGTGAGCGGCGAGTCCGGGAGAGTGAAGTAGCAGACAAGCGACCACAGGAAGGTGACGAGGCCGAAGATGAGAAACAGCCACTGCCAGGGGGCGAGGAGGTTGGCGCTGCCCTGGTGGACGTGGCCGATGGCGTAGGCGAGGAGGCCGCCGAAGAGGGCGGCCACGCCGTTGCCCGCGAACCAGACGCAGCTGCGCAGGGCGTGTTCGGCGGGCGTGTACCACATGCTCACGATGAGGGTGAAGCCCGGGCTGATGGCGCTCTCGAAGACGCCGAGCAGCACGCGCAGGGCACACAGGCCGGCGAAGTTGGATGCCGCGGCGTGGCAGGCGAGGATGACGGACCAGCCGATCATCATCGCGGCCAGGTACCGGCCTAGAGGGAGCTTGACGAAGCCCAGGGAGACGGGGTATGCGGCGATCATGTAGCCAAAGTAGAAGGCGGACGAGGACCAGGAGTAGAGGTGGGTGGTCATTTTCTATCCCAGATGGTATAAAAGTATTTAGGGTTTAGGGTTTAGGGTTTAGGGTTTGGTAGGTAGGTAGACCTACTGTGCCAGTCAAAAGCCCCATGATGGACGTATACGACAGAGTCGTCTTGTCGAGGTACTGCAACAGGTACGAGACAAACATGAGGGGAAGCAGACTGATCGTCAGTATCCCTGGTCCCTTGCTAGAGACTAATGCTTACCACAAGTCGATGCGGCGAAGAATGGCCTTTTCCTCGACCTCGACGGCTTCCCTTGGTTTCTCAGACATGATGGAGGATTAAAGGACAAAGAGGGAAGAGAGGAGAAGAGAGGACAAAGAGGGAAGAATGGAGAGAGGGGATGAGAGGGAAGAGAGGAGGGAGGGAGTTAATATACCAGGATGCAAGTATACCAGTACCACTAACTGTATAGTATGTATTATTTACAGGTATTGCGCTAGTACTGCCTAGTTTGATTGGTCGGTAGGAACTATAGGCCCACGCTAGGCCCGAATAGGATGGAAAATGCTCGCTTCGAGCTACCAATCTGCTGCTTCTGATAAATATATATATATATATATATTACCTTGACTGAGTAGACCTTGTCCTTCTACTTCTCCTTATTTCACTCCTTTTTCACTCCTTCTTTACTCCTATACGGGATACTCTTCCTATGACATACAGGATAGATGCCGAGCTGCTCATCCCCGGACGGGGAGAGCCCATCCCCCACGCCAGCCTCGTGTGGCAAGGCAAGACAATCCTCTATGCCGGGCCACGCTCCTCCCTGCCGGACCTATTCCAAGACATTGCCGGGCTGCAGACGGTGCCGGTGGTGATGCCCGGCATGTGGGACTGCCATATCCATTTCCTCGGGGCCACCGCCGCCAGCATGGACGCCCTGCCGCGCACCCCCCAGGCCATGGCGGGCGCCCGCAGCGTGCCCGACCTGCTGGCCACGCTGCTGGCGGGCTTCACCTCGGTGCGCGAAGTGGGCGGCTACGGCTGTGAGCTGGCCCCGGTGGTCGCCGAGGGCCGGATCCGGGGCCCAACCATCTACAGCGCCCACTCGGCCATCAGCATGACGGCCGGCCACGGCGACGTGCACGGCATGCCTCTCGACTCGCTGCGGGAGCTGTGCTCGTCTGGCCTGCCGCTGACCCTCGCCGACGGCGTGCCCGAGTGTCTGCGGGCGGTGCGGAAACAGCTGCGTGCCGGGGCCAAGGTGATCAAGGTGTGTGCGTCGGGCGGGGTGGTCTCTGCCATCGATGATCCGCAGCACCAGGAGTTCAGCCTGGAAGAGTTAAAGGCCATTGTCGAGGAGGCAGGGCGTGCCCGGCGCATCGTCGCCGCCCACTGCCATGGGAAAGCGGGCATCCTGAACGCCCTCCACGCCGGCTGCAAGACCATCGAGCACGGCAGTTTCCTCGACGACGAGTGCGTCGCCCTCATGCGCGAAAAGGGGGCCATTCTCGTCGCCACCCGCAGCGTGATCGAAAGCAGTCTGGCGATGCGCCATCTCTTCTCGCCGCACTCGTTCCAGAAACTGCTGGCGCTCGCTGACGCCCATCGCGACTCATACGCGCGGGCTGTCGCCGGCGGGGTCACCATCGCCCTGGGGACAGACCAGTTCCTCAGCTCGCCAGACCCGAATCTCGGATACGGGCGGAATGGAAGGGAGCTCGAGTATGCTGTCGCGGCCGGGTTGACGCCCCTGCAGGCCATCGAGGCTGCCACGGCCAACGGGCCGTTGACGGTGGGCGACCAGGCGCCGCAGAGTGGGCGGCTGCAGGCCGGGTTTGATGCGGACTTTATAGCTCTTTTGAAGAATCCTCTGGTGGATATCTCTGTCCTGTCTGACACGGCCAATATCTCGCATATCTGGAGGGAGGGAAGAAGACTCAAGTAGTAGTGGACTAGAAACCATTCGACTTGATTCTCATGTGTTGCTGTGAGCTAGGGTTAGGGTAGGGTTTCAAGGCAGTACAATCTAAAGTACAAGCACCTACTTTATATAAAGTAGATAGTCTAGAGTAATATAGACTAAGTTTAGGGTTAGGGTAGGGTTATACTCTAATACCTTTCTGTGGGCAGTATAATAAGTATACAGCATATATTATCACTTATTCTATAGAGTAGTAGTCTAGAGCAATATAGACCAAGTTTAGGGTTAGGGTCTAGGGTTTAGGGTTATATACTCTAATGCCTAATATATGGATAGTATAATCTAAGTACATAGCACCTACTCTATATAGATTAGATAGTCTAGAGCAATAAAGACCAAGTTTAGGGTTAACTGTTAACTTTTAATTAGAGTTATCCTAAGTTTAGGGTTAGGGTTAGGGTAGGGTTATACTCTAATGCCTTTCTGTGGGCAGTACAATCTAAAGTAAACAGCACCTATTCCATAGAGTAGTAGTCTAGAGCAATAGAGACCAAGTGTAGGGTTAACTGTTCACTGTTAACTAGAGTTATCCTAAGGTTAGGGTTAGGTTTAGGGTAGGGTTAGGGTTATACACTTTAGTAGGTGTGTTGACTCCATGTATCCGGCTGCCGTCGGGGCTCCAGCCCCTGTCTATGCAGAGTATGCCGTAGTGACTGGTTAATACGTAGTAGGAACCTTCCATTGTTCTACCATTCTTTCGCTGACCTCCGGCAACTTGCTGATTGGCCGGCTGCCCTGTTCCGCTCGTCGAAGGAGCACCGGCGCTAGACCCCTCGCTTGTAGGCCGGGCCAATCAGACCAGCTGCCCTGGACCACATCTCGGCCAGGGTGCTTGGCGGGCGATAGTGTCCGGCCAATGACAACTCCAAAGCCTATCACGTTGATCCCCACGTGCAGTAGTTATCAGCAGGTACATGTAAATAGTAGATACTGGATGTAGTGATACTCGATGGTCGCTTAGCGAGGCAAAGATCAGCCGATCATTGATTGATTGTCCATATAAAGCCCATTCCTGTCCTCCTCCGTCCTCTCTTCCTCCACTCAGTCAGCAAAAGGCAAGATGAAGACTGCTCTGCTTGTTGCTCTGGCCGCTGCCGTCCACGGCGCCCCCGCCCCCAAGCCGTATGTCGATGAGACGTACGCCTACAAGGGCCCTGCCGTGCCCATTGGTGACTGGGTCGACAACACCGTCAACGGCAATGGCAAGGGGTTCCCGCGCCTGGTCGAGCCGCCGGCCGTGAAGCCCGCGTCGGCCAACCCGACCAACAACGTCAATGTCATCTCGCTGTCGTACGTCCCGGAGGGCATCCACATCCATTACCAGACGCCGTTTGGCCTCGGCGTGGCGCCTTCGGTGGTCTGGGGGACGCATCCCAGACGGCTCAACCAGACTGCCTACGGATACAGCCATACGTAAGTGAATCGATAGTCCAGAAGATTTCTTTCTTTCGAATCGGGTGAGACTGACGAGGTCAGGTATGACCGCACCCCCCCTTGCTCCCAAGTCAAGGCCGTCACGCAGTGCAGCCAGTTCTTCCACGAGGTGCAGATCCCTCGTCTCGAGTCCGGCACGACGTACTACTACCAGATCCCCGCCGCCAACGGGACGACCGCGTCGGACGTGTTGAGCTTCACGACCGCGCAGGCCGCCGGGGACCCGGCGCCGTTCACCATCGCGGTGATGAACGACATGGGCTACACCAACGCCTTCGGCACGTACCGCGAGCTGCTCAAGGCGACCGAGGAGGAGGGCCTGGCGTTTGCCTGGCACGGCGGCGACATCAGCTACGCCGACGACTGGTCGTCGGGCATCATGGCCTGCGCCGACGACTGGCCCGTCTGCTACAACGGCTCCAGCTCCGAGCTGCCGGGGGGGATCACCGAGTTCTACAAGACACCCCTGCCCGAGGGCGAGATCGCCGACCAGGGCGGCCCGCTCGGCGGCGACATGAGCGTCCTGTACGAGTCCAACTGGGATCTGTGGCAGCAGTGGATGAACAACATCACCATGAAGATCCCGCACATGGTGCTCCCGGGCAATCATGAGGCGTCCTGCGGGGAGTTCGACGGGCCCGACAACATCCTCACCGCGTACCTCAACTACAACATCACCAACGGCACTGCCGCCGAGGACGAGCTGACCTACTACAGCTGCCCTCCCTCCCAGAGGTATCTTTCTTCCCAGAGAGAGATGAAATCGAGATGAATGCATAGTCTAACCCGAGTAGAAACTTCACGGCCTACCAGAACCGCTTCCACATGCCCGGCAAGGAATCCGGCGGCGTCGGCAACTTCTGGTACTCGTTCGACTACGGGCTGGCGCACTTCATCTCCATCGACGGCGAGACCGACTACGCCAACAGCCCCGAATGGAACTTCCTCGAGGACATCTCCGGCAACGAGACGCACCCGACCGAGAGCGAGACCTTCATCACCGACAGCGGACCCTTTGGCGCCATCGACGGGCCCGTCAACGACACAAAGGCCTACGAACAGTACCAGTGGCTCAAGCAGGATCTCGCCAATGTCGACCGTTCCAAGACCCCCTGGGTCATCGCCATGAGCCATCGCCCCATGTACTCGTCCGAAGTGGCTTCCTATGAAGCCGACATCCGCGATGCCTTTGAGGATCTTCTCCTGTCAAATGGTGTGGATGCCTATTTCGCAGGGTATGTCAGCAACAACATTGAACTTGAAGTCATGATATTTTTGCTAATCGTCAGGCACATCCATTGGTACGAACGGCTCTGGCCCCTCGGCCGCAACGGCACCATCGACAAGGCCTCCATCATCGACAACAACACCTACTACGCCAACGAGGGCGTCTCCATGACCCACATCATCAACGGCATGGCGGGCAACATCGAGAGCCACTCCTACCTCGAGGACGGCGAGAAGGTCAAGGACATCACCGCCGTCCTCGACCAGTGGCACTACGGCTTCAGCAAGCTGACCGTCCTCAGCGCAGAGGCCCTCAAGTGGCAGTTCATCCGCGGTGATGATGGCTCCGTCCACGATGAGCTCCTCATCCTCAAGCGCGCCAATGACTGTGATGAGTAACTCATATACGAATTAATGTAATTAGATTAAGTAATTAGCATCAGTATACATATATCTATGTATCAATCCCATTCACCCATAAATTCGAAGGGGGATCGACGAGTTCCAACACCCCCCATCCAACCAGTCACCAGTAATGTTCTTGACTGCCGTCCCATTGCCAAACTCCAGGATCAGACCCCCGTCCGTCGCCTCCGCGTCAAAGACTGGCCACCCCACCGTTGACGGAAGCGTCGTCGGGTCCTTCAGGAACGCCAGGATGTAATCCTGCATCGTCTGCGACGTATCGACTTCCAACTGCGGGATCTCCCCCACGTCCAGCATGTACGTGCCGAAGACCATGAGCATGTCCGTCCAGTGAAAGGCACCCAACCAGGGGACTGGACTGATGTTGCTGAAGTTGCCCGCGTAGTAGTAGCGGTACGTGTCCAGCCCCAGCGAGGCGCGCAGCTCTGAATCGCTTCGGGCAAGACAGTCGGAGAATTCCTGGCCAACAAGGATGCTCGTCACGTTGTCGCTGGGCCATTCGCGAGCCACGTCGGACCGGATCGCTGGGCCGCGGGCGACTTTGCCCATCACGTACCGCTCGGTTGAATTGGAGAAGATGTACCGTTCATCAGCTGGACTATTTAGCATAATCACTCATCATATTAAAAAGCAAAAGGTCGTCATACGGATGTAGTCACCAAAGCTGATCGACGGGGTCCCGTCATATCGGTTGATGAACTCTTCAAGCTGAACCCAAGATATTTGACGCATGCATTCCAGCTCGGCCTCGGCGTCGTCTCCGTAGTTGCAGCCAAGTGCTTTGGCAACGATGTCAAAATCTTCGTACACGTCCTCTGTCGTGCTGACATCCACCAAACCCGAGTCTCCCATGGACATGATGCCGAATTTGGAAGCCAGCGGATCATCCGGGAATGCCAGAGTGTACAGGTGGGTCAGGATGGCCCCTTGGGATTGTCCCCAGAGCTGCCGTTGTTAGCAATGATATTCAAAACGATCGACTGAGGGGCTAACCATAATATTCTCCGGGTCCCCTCCAAACGCCTCAATGTTTTCGTAGGCCCATTCCATGGCAGCTCGGACGTCGAGCAAGGAGATGGAAGTTTCATTCAAGGCTCTCGACTTGGGATCTATAGATATTAGCAATAGAGGAAAACAAGGAAGGCCCGAAGCAAAATCAAGGAGACTCGCTGCCAAAGATGTTCAGCCGGTAGTTCATCGTAACGACGATATGCTCCTGAGACCGAGACACCCAGTGCGCCGGGAGCTGCGAGGGAACCTCAATACCCCCCGTCGTGCCGCCGCCGCCAGGAAGAAACAAGGCCACGGGCAGCTTGGAGGTCTTGTTGGCATAGGCGGGTGTCCAAACAGCCATCGAGAGGCAGTCTTCTGCAGAGGACCACGCCGTAGAGGGCTGATCTAGACGCTCGCCGATACTGAGAAGCTGATTCGGAGGCTCGTATTCGTTCCATAGCGAGAGCGTCGACCCCACGTACTGCGCACAGGCTAGACAGTATCAGCGACTACTCAACGACCCTCCAATAATCAGATGGCTATTGCTCACCTGGGCCGTAACGCGTCGAGTCGATTCGTTTGTTTGATCTGAAGGGCTTTTGCGGAGGCAGGAACCGGAGATCGCCGACAGGGGGCTAGAAGGCTGTGAGATGCTGACTTGATATAATCTCATAAGTCCGATCAACCGGCAAAGTACTGACCTGCGCATAAGGTACGCGCAAAAACTGGCGGACGTTCGGATAGGTGTCGTTGTACATCCCGATAAAGGTTCCAGTCTGGGTCTCGACAGTCAGATTGCTCCAGTTGGACAGCGTCCGAGGTGACTCCCAGGTAAGATTGGCATAGTATGGAGCCTCGCTCTGCGAGGAGAGCGAAACAGCCCCAGCCAGCAGGGTCAAGGTTGTGAGTCGCACCATTTCCTGTCGTGATATTGATTGAAGAAGTCCCTATGGACCCTTGACAAGAGAAAAGAGAAAATCGTATTTATACTGGGTTCCCGGGTTTATTGCGGAGACATCAGCCCATGATTTCTCTTGCTCTTGTGGGGGAAAAAAGAGCCTAACGGTCTATTTAGTCAAAGATCGACATGCGGGGAAATAGATTCACAGGAGTCATTCGTCAACGCTCCGGGAAAAGTCCGTGGAGGCTGCTCACGATGGGTGACGGGGATGTTTTCGGAGGGGCCGAAGACTGGATGCAGCGAATACCGAGACAGGTGCAATACAGACGTCATGGCTTCTATACTAGAAGCAGAATCATAATCATAATCCTCATTGCAGACTAGTTCCTGGGAAGAAAGCTGTAGGAAAGAATCCTGTATCATCGTCAGTAACTGACCATGAATACAGACCAGGCCGTGAGATCCAGCAGTTCCATTGAAGAAAACAAGGTTGTCCGATCTCCATTCTTACTTTGGTTTGCTGCCATTTGGGCCTGGTGAAAGAAACAGAGCCTGTTGTGGTGTCAGACCAAGGCTTGAGCTTTCTCCTTCAACAGACCTCTGAGATCCATCTTGATGTCCAATACCGAGGGAAGCAATCGACTCACGGTTAATTATCTTCCGCAAATCGAGCGCTCCCATCGACTGGCCGTTGACTGCGAAGGTCCCTTGGCATTAACAGAAGCTCGCCCTGAATTTGCCATGGAATGCCAATAAAGATGACAGGAAGATGAAACCCGGGATATATAACAGCAGACATGAGGGGTATGCGTGCTGACAGGGGAAAATGAGGTATCACACGAGGGGTAACACGACAGATCCGGATGCACGAGAAAAAAGCAAACAAAAGGAGCACATAAAAAGACAGCCTGTTCCATCCCAGGAGCTGGGTTTGGTCTGGCTCATCTGCAAGTATGGCCTTGGAAAACATCACCAAACCTTGGAGGCCTTTTCCTCCCCGCACATACGTTTTCCGTAATGCTAACATTATAAACACCGTTGACGGCTCAGTGCGCCAGAATGCCACGGCTGTTCTTCGAGATGGCCATATTCAGTCTGTCACCGACACGAACTCGAGCGACGGAGGTAGTGGTGAGGCAGAGGATGCAATGATCATTGACGCCAGCGGGCGCTATCTGTGCCCGGGGCTGATTGACGCCCACGTTCATCTCACATCAACTCCGGGCAGCAATAGCTTGGCAGAATCAATCAAGATGTCACCCGACCGGTCGAAAATGCGTCAGCCATACGCCTGCGAGCAGATGCTGCGGCGCGGTTTTACCACGGCTCGGGATTGCGGAGGCGCGAGCTTCGCGTTAAAGGAAGCCATCGCCGACGGGGTGTTCCCAGGACCTCGCCTGTTCATTGCCGGTCATGCTCTGAGCCAGACGGGCGGACATGCGGACTTCCGGCCGGCAGACGACGCGCACGAATGCTGCGGTGGACACGTCACGGGGATAGGTCGCCTCTGTGATGGAGTACCCGAATGCGTCAAGTTCACCCGCGAGGAGCTGCGAATGGGCGCAGATTATATCAAGATCATCACCGGAGCAGGCGTGACGAGCCCGAATAGTGCATTGGAAACCCTCCAATTCACTGCGGAAGAAATCCGGGCCATTACCACAGTGGCTGCCAACAGTTGTACCTATGTCACCGCGCATGCCTATACGCCGCAGTCGATCCGACATGCCGTTGACAACGGTGCCCGGGGTATCGAGCATGGGAACCTCTTGGATGAAGCTACGGCTGCCCTGATGGCTGAGAAAGGAGTGATTCTCACGCCCACCCTCATCACATATGCGGAGATGTCCTCTCCGGAGTGGGAGGGGTTCCTACCTCCTGGATCAATGGTAAAGAACAAGCAAGTCCTCGAGGCAGGGTTGAAGTCGCTGCAGATTGCCGCAGCGGCAGGCGTCACGATGTGCTTTGGGACAGATCTCGTTGGCCCGATAACAGCCGCGCAGACCAAGGAGTTCGCACTACGGGCACAGGTCCTGACACCGCTGCAGATACTTCAGAGTGCGACAATAAACCCAGCGCGCCTGTGTGGACAGGAGAGGTTTCTCGGTCAAATTCAGCCTGGGTTCGCGGCAGACATGCTGGTGTTGACACAGAATCCGTTGCAGGATATCTCTATCTTTGATAGGCCCGAGCAACATCTGTTGGCTGTAATAAAGGAGGGATATGTCTATGCGAGCCGGTGGACCAGATTGCCGCAGGATGTGGAGGTTCCTCAAAAGAATATTGAGTAGAAGCAAGCGTCAAGCTTTTCACGCACAACACACAGGGTTTCCTGCCATATTTAGGAAAGCAGTAGATCTGACTTTTGATTCTAAACCATGTCCATGGGGAATACAGCCTGGTTTACCCGATCTACAAAGTTCAGCATATCGATATCGAGCCCTGAGGCCTAGGGTGAGAATTCTCGAAAACTGCATTAATAGAGTCTCAGACAATTCTGAACAATATCTATTCAGAAAAGGTTCAGGGGAAAGAACTCACTGTCTAACAATCGAACACCTTTGACCTGTGGCAAGAAGCTAAGCCTGGCATCGAACAGCGTCTCTATCAGTGATCGACTGCAGCAGGGAACGAGACGGTATCTTCCAGATACCCATAATCAGCCAGCTACAATACGAAGCTTGCACTGTTGTATTCCCACACCGACGTGCCCAATCAACTCCAGTGAGTTCGCTGCCCGGGTTCGGCGCCGCTGGTATCGATGACATCTAACTCCAAGCAATGAGTCAATATGCCCGCTCACAAGATAGAACAAATGCCCACTTACCTCTGCTGCCTTCTCGTGCGAGTCTCCTCGACGATGCTGAGTCTTTCTTACTGTCGGTCGTTGAGTTTCGACTTGGAGATGGTTTAGGAAGGAGCCCAGAATGCAAACATGCAAACAAGTCAAACATGCAAACATGCAAACATGCAAACAGCCTCGACCCCTGAACCGCCTCAATAATTCGTCTTGCTCCAAACAACCAATTATCCTTGCTGAAGAATCCGCCGAATGAGATGCAATGCAGACTGATCCATGTCGAATCAAACCCTGAAGAACGACTCCCAGCTACGCACTGCAACTAACTAGCTATTACTAGTTAGTAGTGACTTCTGCGGTGGATCTCTAGACGAAACCCAAGGCTTCACCTTCAATTGGTGCTGGAAACAACGTTTAGGGTGTCTATTGTCTAGTGAATGAACTAATTTCTTACCAAAGCAGCACGATTACCCACTCCATACTAATATCATAGGAACCTTGAGCAGCAACCCGATAAGGGAAATAGCATGGATACCCACGGAGGATTGCCGTCCGTCTTATTCTTATTTCGCGGCTGACGGTTCTCCACCATGGCAGAAGTTAACGGCCAGCTTCTTCTCTCCGACTTTTCTCGACCTTTTCTTCTTCTTTCTTTTCGTCAAGCTTCTTCTGGCTTTCTGTTCTTCTTCACAATTCACTCCCACCCGCTATGGCAGGCCCTAAGATCCTGCTGCTGACCAACAGCGAGTACGGTCAAGCAATCGTCACTCTGTCAGTCGCCCACGAATTCCTCCTCCGCGACTACGACGTGCATGTCGCCTCGTTCAGTCCCCTCCGTCGCCAGGTGGATGATCTGAATGCTCGCGCGGCGAAATACGGCGCTACCGGCACGGTAACCTTCCACGAAGTCGCGGGGCTGTCGATGAAGGAGGCATTCAAGCAGAGATGGTCATCCACTGGGTATCCGATGCACCCTCCAGGGTTCCATGCTTCGTTGGAGACGTTCAGGTCGCTGCTTGTGCAGTTATTCGCGGCCTGGGATGGCCCGGGGTACATGGAGGGGTATGAGAGCGTGTTGGCCATAATGGAGGAGATTCAGCCAGAGATCATCACCGTGGAGCCAGCTTTTGGCCAGGCGGTCGATGCGTGTCAAAAATCGGGCAGAGAATTCATCGTCCTAAGCCCTAATTTCTATCTGGATCATGTAGTGCAGCCGCGGCTGGGAAACGTCTGGAAATATCCTGCGTAAGACCTTTCTGTGATCCCCTACTTTCTGATACATACTATTGCTACTCTCTATACATACTGACTGACTCTAGTGTGTGCTCCGGTTATCCGTTTCCCATCCCGTGGCGCTTATTCCTCCCCAATATCTATCTTAACGCCGGAATTATAAAGACATACGTCAGCTCTCCTATTACAAAAGCCCTGAATCGCTACCGCAACGAGCGTGGTCTCTCAGGGCCTTTGCCCATCTACATGAGCCTGACTAACCCCCGGATCCCTTTCGTGCTGGCCTGCACCCCGGAGATTGACCTTCCGTGCCATTTTACCAAGCAATACACCGGTTGTGGACCCATCCTGCTGCCCTATCGACCTGTCGCGGTTGAAAGCCCCGAGCTGGCAGCGTGGTTGGCCAAGGCGCCCACGGTGCTCATAAATCTGGGGTCAAATGTGGAGTACACAGCGGAAGATGTGAAGCAGTTTGTAGAGGGGATTCAGGTTCTCCTCTCCTGCAGAAGCGATGTTCAGGTGCTGTGGAAGAGAAGAATGCTGGCTGGCCAAGATGGCGACTCAGTACTCCCAGACGATCCTTCTTTCGTCAAACGCGTCCGAATCGAGAACTGGCTGGACGTTGATCCAGGTTGCATCCTGGAGAGCGGAAATGTGATCTGTATGGTTCATCATGGCGGGGCCAATTCCTATAACGAAGCAATCACGTATGTCACTCTTGTATTTCTGTCTTCTCTCTCACTCTCCCTATTTCTGCTCAATTACTATACAAAACTGACCATGACAGAGCTGGAATCCCCCATATTGTCCTGCCTGTCTGGTTCGACACATACGCATTCGCCAACCGAGTCGAGTACCACGGCATCGGAGTATGGGGAAGCAAGAAGAGCGCACCCCATGCCAACGGCAAGGAGCTCGGCGAGGCCTTCCGGCGCGTCCTCGCCAGCGAAGAGTCAGAGACGATGCACACCAAGGCGCAGGCACTCATGAAGACCTTGTCGCCGACACCTGGACGTGTATTGGCCTGTGAGAAAATCATCGAGCTGGCAGGCGACCGTGTAAAGAAGACTGAGTGATGATACCGATACCCTTATATAAACAATACTCACGGAGAACGTAATCATGTATTTCAATAATTCACTTACTCTCTATCCTCTATTCTATTATCCTCTTATTCTCTTCATTCGGATAAATCATCAACCGATTCCCCGCTGATGTCATTTCTCTCACTCCAGGAATCCATCCCACTTGAACATCCAACCTAAACATTCCTAAACATCCAGCTGAACCTCGATTGCTTCTTCCAACTTGTCATTATCAGTCGACAGGATATTCTACACCATGGCTGAAACACAGATTGCGTGGATTGGACTGGGAAACATGGGGAGGGTGTGTACACTCGGATTGTTGTTGCCTGGGTTGAACCGAAACTGACCGCAGGAAAACACCAGGGAATGTGCAAGAACATCGTCGAGAAGGGCCCCCAGAAGACTCCCGTGATCATATTCAATCGCACAGCGGCGCGAGCGACTGCGTTTGCGGAGACCCTCGGAGGCGCAGACAAGGCGACCGTCGCGACGAGCATCCCCGAGGCCGTGACCCCCGCCTCGGTGGTCTTTATCTGCGTCGGCGACGACCCCGCGGTGGAGCAGATCGTGGAATCGATCCTGACGGTTGACGTGACGGGCAAGACCATTGTGGACTGCTCGACCGTGCACCCGGACACTACTCGGCGCGTCAACGAGACCCTGACGCAGCGGGGGGCCTCCTTCGTGGCGTGCCCGGTGTTTGGCGCCCCGGCCTTTGCAGACGCCGGCCAGCTGGTCGCTGTACCTGCTGGTCCGACGGCAGACGTCGCTCGCATCAAGCCCTTCCTGCAGGATGTGACTTCCCGTGCGGTCATCGATATGTCCGGCGGCGACATCGGGCGCGCCAGCCTGCTCAAGATCCTCGGCAACACGTACATCCTCAACACGGTCGAGACGCTGTCCGAGGGTATGGTTCTGGCCGAGAAGTCCGGGCTGGGCACCGACGCGTACCAGCAGTGGATGGAGATCATGTTCCCGGGGGCGTTTGCCAAGTATGCCCACCGGATGACCAGCGGCGACTATTATCAGCGTGAGGAGCCGCTGTTCGCCGTCGACCTGGCGCGCAAGGATCTCCGCCATGCGAAGAACCTCGCTGCGGACGCCGGCGTACGTTTGCCCAGTACGGAGATCACCGATGCCTACCTCGCTTCCGTCAAGGAGACCAAGGGCGAGAAGGGCGATATCGCTGGGATTTATGGAGCGGTGCGCAAGGAGTCTGGATTGCCGTACGAGAATAAGTAGGTTTTTTTTTTCCCTTTCTCACAGTCTCTCTGGTATCTAAGCTGACATTCTAGATAATTCATGTACATCATATTTGAGTAAATAGTGTAAATAGCTCAAGCTCAATACATCATCCAATTGTCAAATCACAGCTCGGCTCTCAACGGCCTCTGCTCGAGACTTTGGTATGCCCCATCTGCATCTTCCCACCCCGTTAACTCCTTCCAGGCCTTCTTCAGCGTTTGCACAGGGTCCCGTACGCGCTTCTCCGAGCGCCACGCAATGTATCCATCTGGCCGGACGAGGGTCACGCCCGTGCTCGACACGCCCATCAAACGGCCGAACTCCCCAGGTTCTGAGAAGCGCACGTCGATGCCGACATGTACTGCCTGGATGGGTAGCGTCTGTTTTTCTATTGATCGTTGCTGCTGCTTTTGCTGCTGATGCATGGTAGCCACGGCGTCCATCCACCCCGCTGATTCGGACAACACTGTCCATTGCCGCCCGAACAGATCCAACGTCGAGACCGTTTCGCCCTGTTTCTCGATCCACGCATGGGGTGCTCGCGTGCCGGGCATCCCAGCCCATTGTTCCGGACGGGAAGCAGCGGGTAACATTTCACCGTCTTTTTTCCTGAGAAGAGCCCCGTCAAGGTACCGCTGGCCGAACTCCATGGCGACATCGTCGTACACCGGCCCCGCCGACGACGAGTATTCTCCTTCATGGTCTGTATCCGTGGACTGGAAGTCCGCCCGTGCGAAGATCTGCTGGTGTCGCAGCTGGGCGATCGGCCGGCGCTCAGCGTCGTACGTGTCGAGCAGGCGCGGGCCCGCCGTCCCAGACAACACCTGCGCCAGCTTCCAGGCGAGATTGTGCGCGTCGTCGATGCCCGTGTTGGCGCCGTACCCGCCCCGGTTGGGTGGTAGAGTGTGAGCGGCGTCGCCGGCTAGGAAGATCCGACGCGCGACAAAGCTCTCGGCTATTAACGCGCTGACCTGCCATCGGCCAATGGTGATGATCTCGACCTCATCGTCCAGATCGGTCTCGTTGCCCACAGCGCTGCAGATAACCTGGCGGAACTGGTCTTCCGTCCGTTCTTCGTCGTCGTACACCACCAACAGCCACCGCCCGTCCCGGTACGCAGTCAGGAAACAACGCAGGTCCGCCCGATCAATCACAAACTGCGTGATGCCCTCCTCCAGGCATTTCTCCAGCGGTGGCAACCGGAACACCACGCTGCGGACTGTCTGTAGGAGTCCTCGTCCTGCGCGGGGGATGCCCAGCCGTTCCCGTACGAAACTGTGACTCCCGTCCGCGGCGACCAGATACGACCCTCGAAGAATATATTCCTTCTGTTTTTGCTGTACAAGGACCGTGACTCCCGTTTCGTTCTGTTGGAAATCCACCAGACGCGCTCCCAGGCGCAGGTCGACACCCAACTCGACTGCTCTCGCTCGCAGAATCGGCTCGATCCGATCTTGAGGTAACGCGCCTCCAGTACAGGGGGAGTATTCATTCCAAGAGTACATATCACTGGGAGATGTACTATCGCTAGGAGATGTACCGCACCCTTCTGAAGAGGAAGACGGAGAAGGAGACGAAGACGAAGAAGACTCCGTCCACGGCACTTCATCAAACCACTTGCCCATCAAACTCTCGACGCGCGCACGGCGTAAGCGAAACCCACACGGAAGCTGCGGGATACGCCCATCCAACGCGACAGACCGGTAGATCTCCATACTGCGCGGTGTGAGCCCCAGAGCGCGCGGGTGCGGATGGCTAGTCGGGTGTCGTTCGAGGAGGATGGTCTGGACGCCGTGCGAGGCGAGGAGGATGGCTGTCGTGAGGCCGGTGAGGCTACCTCCGACGACAATCACGGGGTCGTTCATTCTTCTTGTTGTCTAGTATAGCTGATTGAAGTAGTTGAATTGAGTGGTGAGAACTGAGCTGTTGCAAGTATTTAATTGTGTATACCTCATGCCTTGCCGCATGCGGAATGTAGTGTTATCGGACAATTTATCAGACAATGACAAGGCAATGACAAGACAATGACATTAAGATTAGAATTCAGGTCGAAGGCAAGGTAAATTCAATTCAATAAATTAAATCAAATTAAGTTCCATTAGAGAATAAATCTAATCTCTTCATTAATATACTTCTACTTCATCAAATAATCATTGTCTACTGTATTGTATCTCGACTGCATGCGGAATGCATCACCTATTCCGGGAACACAAACCATTCCACCCTAACCGATCAGTTTCTCAGCGAGTACATGCGCGCCTCGTACGGCCGCAGCTGCAGCTTATGCTCCAGCACAGGCTCGTCGACGTGGTAATTCGCAATCAGCATCACCGCCAGATCGGTGTTGATGTCCTCCGGGATCTCGAAGTCGGTGGGTTCTTCGCACCAGTTGCAGAAGACCAGCGTGCGGTAGGGGCCCTGCGTGCGCAGGAAGGAGAACACTTTGGGATCCGTCGGGTTGACGGGGACGTAAGCGCCGTAGAACTGGAATCAGTATCAGTCTTCTTCTTCTTCTTCTTCTTCTTCTTCTTTCTTGGTAAGATGCCAGCTTACCAACATTGGATGTTGCTTGCGAATGTGTGCCAGCTGCTTGAAGTAGTTGAGCACCGAGTCCGGATCGCGCTCCTGCGTCTGCACGTTGAGGTTCATGTATTCCTCGTTCAACCGGATCCACGTCTTGCCCTCTGGGTTGGTGAACCCGGCGTTCTTCGAGTTGTCCCAGAGCATTGGCGAGCGGGCGTTGTCGCGGCCCTTGAGCTTGATCGCATTCATCACGTCGGACATGTCAGGTTCTTTAGATGGATCTTGTTCTTTGCGTGATTTATACATCCTGAAAATATTAGCATGCAACACCAACAGCAGGCATATCACCAAGCCCAGAAGGAAAGGGAGAATGACGATTTGTAGTAGTCCTGAGTCTCTACATCCGGATAGTCCTCCAGCTTCCAGTTCTGGGGATGCGGCATGCCCAGCTCCTGTCCCTGGTACAAGAAGACAGTCCCTCGCAGGGTGAAGAGGACCGTGGCGAGCATCTTGGCCGACACAGACAGGAACCGAGGATCGGTATTCCCGAATCGCGACACGGCGCGCGCCTGGTCGTGGTTCTCCATGTAAAGAGCGCTCCATCCTATGCAATTAGTTCACTCCATAAACGCAAGTGTTGAGTAGAGATACCGTGATTCCCCAGCATATGCTGCTGCCAGATCCGACAGACCTTTTCAAACTCCCACAGCTCCCACTTGCGCGGATTCCACTTGTCGCCGTCCGCGCCGTCCAGGTCCATATGGTGGAACTGGAAGACCATCGAGAGCTCCTGGCGTTCAGAGGCAACGTACTGGCTGGCTTCGTACTCGTCCACGCCGCAGGGCATCTCGCCGACGGTGCATGCGGTATATTTACTGAGAACCTTGCGATTCATCTCGTGCATGTACTTGTGGATATTCGGCCTTCACTATCAGTACGTTTCCCTCGTTGCTTCTCTGCAGACTCACCCATTTGTAAACATCGGGATGGCGTTTTGCTCGAATTTCGTCGGATCAGTGACTGGGGCGTCGGGGAGACCAGGCATTTTGGAAACGAGATTAATCACATCGAACTGAAGGTCAGATATCTATGAGGCATAGGAGTGAGTGCCATACTCGGAATCCATCAGTCCCCTTCTTCCCCCAGAAGTCAATCACGTCAAAGACGGCATTGCGCACTTCAGGGTTATCCCAGTTGAGATCTGGCTGCGAGGGAGAGAACAGATGCAAGTCTGACGATCAGCATTCAGCAGTGTAGACACAGTGACTGCGTTAATAACATACAGTACTCTTCGGTTGCCTCGTCGTATTTCCAAGCAGAGCCTGGACAGTTAGCATGCTACTTGCTCACGATGACGACTTCCAACGTACCGCCGAACAAACTGGCCCAATTATTTGGAGGCAATCGTTCGCCATTCTTGCCCGTCTTGCCCTTTCTCCAGAAATACCAGTCTCTTTTGGAGCTGTCTCTACTTGACTTGGAATCAAGGAACCATGCGTGCTATTTTATTAGTTCTTCCTTCTTTTCTGTGATCAAGAGGAAATACCTGCGAACTCGTATGGTTAAAAACCATATCCATCATGATTTTCATCCCCCGTTTGTGAGTCTCGGCTGCCAGATCTTCCCAATCCTTGATCGTCCCGTACAAGGGATTGATCGCCTTGTAGTTGGCGATATCGTATCCCTGGTCCTCCAGCGGCGACTCGTAGATCGGGGTGAGCCACAACATATCCGCACCCAGTCGCTTCAAGTAGTCCAGTCGCTGGATGATCCCGCGCAAATCGCCGACCCCGTCATTGTTGCTGTCCTGGAAGGACTGCACATATATCTCGTAGATGATGATCTCCCGCCACCAGTCCCGGTTCATGTCCAGCACCAGCGGCTTGTAGACGTCAGACATTGAGTTGGCCATGGCAGATCTCGTAGTGCCGAAGGGTCGAGCAGATTGTCGGATGGATGGTTTCGATGGATGAAAAGACGATAATGAATTCCTTGGGAGGGTGGTGCACTGTCTCACGTTCGGTCGAATGCGCAGTCTGCAAAACCCACGACGGAACATGACTACAATCGGGACCACCAGCAAGTCGGAGGCCGTCTTTTTAAAAATTCCCGCCAGGAAATCCAGTCGCGGCAGCATCGCCACTTGAGCGATTGATAAAGTCACTATGGCCAGGCCATTGAGTCAACTTGACCTTTCTGGGGGGATGACGTTGAGCGGATGGAAATCACCTCCGACGGAGGTCTTCAGGGCAACATGACGTGAGAATAGTATACATGCATACAAGGAGAAGAAGAACCAAAACCCAAATGTAACTGTCAAGGAGTTTTATAATAATACACCATGAATAGTCCTGAGAAATGCGAAATCGACACCACCGCCGACTGCGGAGAGATCGACACCCTGGACAAGATGCGTTGGTGGCAGCGGGCGACCATCTACCAGGTTCTAATCCAGAGTTTCCAGGACACCAACGGAGATGGAAAGGGGGATATTCGTGGAGTCGTCAATCGGCTCGATTACTTCGTCACGCTGGGCGTGGATGTGATCTGGATTGCGCCAATTTACCAGTCTCCCATGTCGGATATGGGGTGAGCTTTGGCATATATATGTATCCCTTTGAATCTAATTATTTTCAGATATGATATCAGCGATTATTATACCGTCAATCCTATCTTCGGCTCAATGGAGGACATGGAGCTTCTCATCAGCGAGACACACAAACGAGATATGAAGATCATTCTGGATATTGCGCTGAATCACACCTCGTCAGAGGTGAACGCCTGCACTGAATCTTCACTGTGCATATACTAATTTAATGCCAGCATCAATGGTTTCAAACCTCGCGACGGTCCCGGAAAGATCGCAGTCTGGGGAAACGCGACTGGTATTTCTGGAGTGAAGGCAAGGTGGACGAGACTGGCAAACGGATTCCCCCGAACAACTGGGAAAGCACATTTACCGGTATGATTCGGCTGTTTCTCGGTATTCGGTTTCTGATAACGCGCTATTAATTCGTGCAGGGTCAACGTGGGAATGGGACGACATGGCAGAGGAGTTTTGTAAAGCCACATCTCTGACAAGTGCGAGGGCTGCAGATCTTGCTGACAACCGATAGATTTGCACATCTTTGGTAAGAATCAACCGGATCTCAACTGGGACTGCGAAGACGTTCGCCAGGCCTTGTATAACGTGCTTCGGTTCTGGCTCGACAAGGGGATTGATGGATTCCGAGTGAGACAACATCCTAGATAAATATGATTCCCACTGAACGTTTACAAACAGCTCGACACCATGAATCTGGTTTCAAAGACGTCTGAATTCCCAGATGCACCAATCGTCAAAAAGGGATCGATCTGGCAACCTGCGAATTTTCTCTTCGCCAACGGGTCAGTAGACATGCACAGAAAAAAAAAGAAGAGGTGATTCTGACTGTGATAGCCCTCATATCCACGAATATCTGCAGGAAATGTACGAGCAGGTGTTCTCCAAATATGACGTTGTCACATTGGGCGAGATGTCTTGTGGCGTGTCTCCAGCACAGGCAGTCGAATACACCTCGCGCCATAAACCTCGGCCTGAGTTATCGCTCGTCATTCAGTTCCAGCACGTCGAGTTGGACTGCTACGACGGCGACAAGTGGCTGTTGCGGGAATGGGAGCTACCGGAGTTGAAGGCTGTCATCAACGAGTGGCAGGCGACGCTGATCGACAATGGAGGATGGAACACTCTCTGGATGGAGAACCACGACCAGCCACGGGCGATCTCACGCTTCACAACTTCTCACCCGCGGTTCCGCGCTCTCTGCGCCAAGTTGCTCTGCGTCTGGCAGTATACCCTGCAGGGAACGAATCTGATCTTCCAAGGACAAGAGCTGGGGATGGTGAACCCCGGAATGTTCACCGAAGAGATGAACCAGGATATCGAGACGGCTCAATACTGGAAGGCGTGAGTTCTATTTTCCAAGGGATTATTTGGATATCTCATTGAACCGAGATTCAGCGCGTGTGAGGCAGCCGGATCAGAGCACGACGAAGCGCTCACACTGGCAAAGAAAGCGATCATCCAGAAAGGACGAGACAACACCCGCATCCCGATTCCGGTGAGAGACATTCTAGCCACATCTCTGGAATTTACCAGCTGATTATACTCTCCTAGTGGACCGATGCTCCTCACGGCGGCTTCACCGAACCTGATTGTAAACCCTGGATCCCCGCCTCTGAGCACGGGAAAGACTGGTGCTGTTTCAGCCAGCAGAAAGACCCGGAGTCCGTCTGGTCGTTTTATCGGGCGATGATCCGGATGCGCAAGAATCATCCCACCTTGGTATGTAACGCAGCGAATCCCTTTCGTATGAGGTTCAACTAGTGACAGCTCGCGTCAGTATTACGGCACGTACGAGACACTCGACATGGACAACCCGTTCATCTGGGCCTACAAACGACGGTCAAAACTTCGGTGCTACCTGACCATCCTGAACTTCTCTTCGGGGGCCACCAGCTGGGCGTATGCAGAGCACGGTGTCGATCTGAAGGGATCGAAGCTGTTGATTTCGAATTATCTCACGCAGGAGGCAACGCTCGTGGAGCCGATCCTGCTGCTGCGGCCTTTTGAGGGGCGGTTGTACGAATTGATGGTTTAGATTATTACTTGATGAAAAGAAATAGATGGAGTGAACTTTTATCGGAACAAAATGGTGGTTGAACTGGAGAGAGAGGGAGGGAAAAGGAGAGTTTGGGAGAACAAGAAGCAGTTGTAGAACATGATATCAAGGATTGGCTTTGGCTCATATAGCATAATAATGCTTTCGCTTTCAACAAGGCCTGCTGGCCCAATGGTAAGGCGCTTGACTACGGATCAAGAGATTGCAGGTTCGAATCCTGCGTAGGTCATTTCTTTTTTCTTTGTCCCACGAAACAAGATAGACAAAGCACAATATTTGTCGGATGGTACGCACTCTTTTTGTTCTTGTCATACATACTTTTATTATTTTTTACCTATTCTTGGACTGTTAAACCACTGGCGTCCTATTCCTTCAGGGACTAATAAGTAGCACAGCTGCGACTGGACTCCAAAACGACTTTTTCTCTTCTTCGCCCTCTTCTATCTTGATCAACTCCTCGTCTGGAAAGTACAATTTACGAGCTCACTAGGCAACACTGGAAGAGAGTGTCACTAGAGATACAGTAAAAAACAGTTTCTCCATTCAAAAGTCCTGTACCTCATTATGGTCTGACTCTCTGACAGCACAGGAAAAGCAGCCAGGTCTCGTCGTCCACGCCACGTCAACTCGCAAAAAAAGCCTGGCAGGAGGAAAGCGACTCAGCTGCAGTTCCTATACGAGTGTTTTTTATTTCTTCGTCGGTTTTCTCTCTACGACAAGACGATCGAGGTACCAGGCAGTCGCCAACGAGCAGCGACGGTCAGCCAACCACCGTACCAGAAGACGAATAATGGAGACGGGTTTCAGGCAGAAAGAATACACAATATTAAGGCTGGCAGTGTAAAGTGACAATGAACAACAACTATAAGCTAGCCTTTATGCTGTGGCTCAGCTTACTACGATCAATGATGATTGTTAATCTGGCGCATTGTTGTCCTATTGGCCTGTTCGGTTTCGGTTTCGTACAACGCCTGGACCGAGCGTCGGTACGGAGGATTTGCCAGATGTATACGAGATGAGGATTAAGATCTGGAGGATATAAGAGTGGACGTTCTCTGCTTGAAGGAAATAATCAACACACAGATATTCCGGGTTCCTCGATTATCAAGATACAAATGACTCCCGACGAACAACTGCTTCGCGGCCAACTGGCCATCTTCTGCATTCTGATCGTGCCCGCCCAATACGTCTTCTTCAAACATGGTCTGGGCGGCTTCATGGGCTGGCTGTTTGTCCTCAGCTTCTGTGCGATCCGCATCGTCGGCTGCGCAATGGAGATCCACGAGGAAAACCAACCGACCCTCAGCACCGCCGCTCTGATCGTCAGTTCGCTGGGGTTGTCGCCTATCTTGCTGGCATTGATGGGTGTTCTGGAAGAAGCGTACGTATCCCATACACACACATACACAATCAAGCCTTACTGAGGATCTTCAGGCGCAATGCTCGTTCTGGCCGCAGGGGCGGATGGCTGCAGCTCATCATCGTGACGCAGTACCACGCCCTGGTGATCGTGGCCATTGTGCTAATCCTGATCCACGCCTCCTCGTTGCTCTCGGCGCATCGCACCTCGACGGCCAAGACGTTCATCGATGCCGGGTTTGCCCTGCTCTGCGCGTCGTGGCTGTTTATCTGCGTGTTTACCCTCGTCTCCGTGGCTTTTGTGCGGGAGAAGAGCATGAATATCGAACTCTACCGAGGTGGAACAAGAGTGAGTTTCTTTGTAATTCTTCTTCATCTATGGAATCTCCTATTCTAAATCTCAATATGATAGCTCCTCTATGCCGTGATGATCTGCCTCCCCTTCGTCGGCATGCGCATGGTCTACGCTACCATCGTGTATGCCGCCGACAACACGACGGCTGAGTCTTCGTTTGGTCTCAGAGTTGCCTTCGGCGTGGTGACCGAGTTTGTGGTTGCGATTGTTCTCTTGGTGGCCGGAGTGATGACGCGGAATCTCCAGCGGGAGAGGAAGAGGACGGAGTGTTGAATGTCTGGCTTGGTATATCGGTGTTTTCTTATGTATTGACTCTTCTATCTCTCTAATTGTTGTAGTATATATTTCTTTGTCCAGAGAATTTTATAATGTGTATGGTATATCATATGTGTCTTATATACATTCTTATATCTCCTTGTATATCCTTGTATATCTATCCTTACTCTACATATATTTATATATATATATATCCATAATCTATCAAAATTCTATAGCAGAACTACAATGGTTATTTCAGTATAATGTCTTAGCCAAGTCACCTGACTAAATCTCACCTTGACTCACTCGTATCTCTCTCTCACCCTCACTTTCCCAACCTCTTCAGATCATTTATTTCTGCCAATGAATCTTTGCAATGTCATATACCTCTCTTCCTCTATCAGCGAGGCTGCTGGTCGCTCTTGGCCCCCCAGCTACTATCCTGGCCACAGCGAGCGTCTCACCCCGCGCGGCGCTCTTTACGCCCCTGGCCTTTCTGCCTACAGCCTGGTTCTACAAGAAATGGCAACAGAGGATCAATAATGAGTCTACAAAATCCGAGAAGGAATCGTCAGAATCAGAGCTAGAGCCAGAATCACAGCTAGAACCCTTGGTTTGGACCTTCGCCGCCGCCAGCACGCTGGGAATCACGACCGCAGCAGCGACGCAGGGCGCCATCTGCGTGCTGGCCAGCAAACTCCTCTTTCCATCGCAAGACGTGCGCAGAACCTTCTGGGAAGAGTTCCGACGGGCTTCGATCGCAGATCTCACGGCAGGGGAACTCGCGTCGCGCACCCAGCTCGCTTCGTCGTGGCAGAACTGGGCTTTCAACGCCGTGTTAGCGTTTCTCGCGGCGGGGTTGATCGAGGAGATTATCAAATTCCTGCCTGTCGTATATGCCAGAAAGAAGAAAGCCAGCAAGTCAAAGCGAAAGTCGAATACGTATGTGGACTACGCCATCGCGGGAGCCCTGGGATTCAGTCTCGCAGAACAGATCGGATTCATTTACGTGGCGTGCGAACCAGGCCATGAAACAGGCTGGATTCTTGTCCGCACCCTGGCCGAACGGGCTGTCGGGTCTCTAGGTCATCTGCTTGTCGCCTGGTTGACGGCGTTACGGGCTCGGGATCAAAGAACTACAGATGGTAACGATTCCATGCCCTGGTGGAAGGTTGTTGGTCCGTCGGCACTCCTGCACGGCATGTCGGATATGATTGTCTTCTCAGCCAGTGCGGTGGCAGGCAACGTGGGTTTCATCCATCCGAGTGGAAGCTTGGCTGTTGCCATGATCGGTCTGGCGGGGAGTGTTTGGAGTGTAGCAGGTTGGATGGTAAGGAGAGAACTTCAATATGCCAGTACAGTATAGTAGTACAGGATAGTATAGTATAGTAGTGTATAACCTCATCTCAATTCCTATTTACTCATTGCATTATTCATCCCAGAAATTATACGTTGTCGGCGCTGGATCACTGGCATACCGCTCCCTCACCCCAAACAAGTCGCTCGTCAGATTCGGCGGGTTCGACGTGCCTGTCGGGCCAAGCGGTTGAAGCAGGAATACGCATCCGGATTCACGGTAGTGGTCTCTGGTGGCTTTCCAGACGTAGCTGTATGTATTGGGGACGTCATCTATGCCATACGTATAAGTATAGGCTCATTTGATAAGTCAAGAGTAGATACCCTCTAATAAGACTGGAACGTCGCATGCTTCGTAGAGCGAGTTCCGGGCTGTCACCACGTCCCAGGTGACGTTTACCAGGTCGCCGACGATGAATTCATCAATAGAGGCCGTCGGAAAGGTGAAGCCCTCGGCCGAAACGAGGGGAGCGAGCAGCAGGGCGATAGAAAGAAACATGATAGATAGTATGTATGATAGTAGATAGTGCGATAGTGTAGCGATGGGAAAAATGTGAAAGGAAGAATGTACTCAGTATTTATTACTCTGTACTGAGTGGCTGGCATTCCTGTCGATCTGTCGATCCGAGTTGGACAGAAAGGACTGTCTGTACGTAAGGAAATTGGGCATTCTTCCTGTTTCATTGTTCCACTGGGAATAAATGCACGCCTTGTGCAACGTGGGCGTTTCACTGCGTGGGACAGATTCTACCTCGCAGACGGCGAGGGTCCAACTATTAAAGCACTTATTAAGTCCTTGCACTTACCTCCATAGTGGTCTAATAATGTCTTCTTCTGAATACTGTGCATTAGAATACTGTCTGGACTGTGTCTGTATTGTATGTACTGTGTACTTGTATGTACTGTACTATACTGATTCCAACCCGAATAAACTCGACCACGCATGCTGCGTCATGGAGAGGATCTTCTGGGCCGCCGGGTACGTCTGCAGCAGCTGCACAGCCGCCTGCTCACAGTGAAGGAGCTGATTGAGGGCCTGCTCGCGCATCAGCCGTTCCGAGGCCTGTAGGTCCGACAGGCTCGCCTCGACAATCCACCCGAGAATCGTCACGCTGGTCCCCGGGAGGAAGAGTAGTAGGTTGATGGCCTTGAGCTCGTGGATTGTCTTGGTCACCTGCGACGTCAACTTGAGCAGACCGCTGCCTGGGCTGCTGGGTGTTCGCGCCCGATACAACGCCGACATGGCGGTCAGATACAGCAGGTAGAGAAACGCCTGGTGGACCAGGAAGATTGTCTCGACGGACTCCGGGTCGGGTGGAACAAGCAGAAATGGTGGGTAGTAGCGTACGACGCCCGGCAGGTCTCGGATCCAGGCCGTCAGTTGCTGTTTGCAGCTGTCGATAACCACGGGCGCGATACATTCGCGCGGGGCGACAGAGTAGAAGGAAGAGTCGTCGGTGGCGATGGGGATCCATGACTCCTGATACAGAGACTCCATGATGGTTCCCATACAATGAGCTAGCTTGACCTCTTCGGCGAACAGAACCGTCATCTTCTCCTGGCTGTCGCAGCTGAGCATTGAGGCCGAGTCCCCCAAGGCGGCGAGGACAAGCGGGTCATGTGGTTGATATGGTTGACGGGCGTGTTCGAGCAAAGAGACGATGTCGAGCTTGGAGTTATCGGTGGGAATGCGCAACGGCCGCGGGAAGCCGAACGAGAGGATGCGGTCTCGCACCCACAGAGACCACCACATCCGGTGTCGATGGGACGAGGTGCTCGCATCCAGGTATCGGTGCAGCCCGACTCGCTCGGCTGTGGAATAGGCCAGGTCAAACCAGTACTGGGGGTCTTTGGGCCCGTCACTGTGATTGTGCCAGTTGGCCATGAGGAGCAGTGCCTGGATCTGCGTCTCTGCACATGGTTCGATGTCGAACTCGTAGAGCAGCTGTACATGAGCTAAACCAGTCTCAGAGCGAGGGATTCTGATTGTATACCCACCTTTGCCCGTCCATAGAACATTCTTCGGAGCTCCTTGTGAGATGGATAACCGGCTGTCACGATCTCCTCGTGCTCTACAAAGGCGCTCCCGGCAAACATCACCGCTTGGTACAGTAGCGGACTGGAAAAGTACCGTTCATCCTCAACGATGATCTGATGCAAGACGCTCTGAAGGTCTAACACAGGCAACAACGGGTGCACATATTTCACGTAGGCTCGAAGCACTTGGTTGCGAAGTTTTAGCGGTGGTAGTCGAAAAGCCCCCTTGGTAGCCAGGAAGTCACAGCTATTGCCTGGAATCCCGCCTGACAGAGTCTGAAAGCTTCTTTCCAGATCACCTATATCTGTCACACTCCCCTGCTCATCACTGCTGGCCGACTGTTCAAACAGATCATGGATGACGGACACATAGTGGTCTAGCGGATAGGTGGAGAGAATATCGTGTTGTCCATTCATGGATGCATGAGCACGGTCTAGATCACAGAATGAGTATACAACCAAGGCTATGAGAAGAGGCTACCATTACCACTGCCGTCTCTCTCTCTCCCCAGTTCCTCTTCCCCCAGGGATCCTTTGTGAACTGTCGGATAGAGCACCCCCTGTTCCACCCCTGGCGAGGGACTAGACCGGGACCTCAAATCTAGATCACCACGCAGGGTCCTAGAAATCCATAAAGGTATGCCACATCAGCAGTCTGGCCCGCTGTCCTGTCCAAACACGGTGTCTCACTCACCTCTTCGCCCGCCGACACTGGCACTCTGACGGTTTCGACTGGCACCGCCGGCAGACCGTACAGTCCGCTTCAGAGGAAACCCGCCGCTTCTGGTTCTTCAGACTAGCCCCTTCAGGCACAAACACTCCTGATACCGATGCTCTCTTCATGGCTGACGTGTCGGAGTTAAAATTTCCAGCGGTCTGATCTGCACTTGGCCCAGATCACCCCTGCCAAGTGGAGTTACCCCGCAAATTACGTCGTGCCGAGGCATGTTTGAGGAAGAGTTGAAGAACGAGGTGCATGCTCGTGGAGCTGTAGACTCTGGATAGCTGGCTGTCTTCGCTGTCCGAGTGGAACGATGCTCTCCAGGCTGTACAGAGTAGCTTGAAAGATTTCAACGAGGACGAGTTTCTGGTGGGCTCAAACTAACTCCTTTGGGCAGGCTGCAACACAAGGCTGGGTCACCTGACTCGTGGCTCACGTGCGCCTTTCTTTCCTGCCTGGCGCTTCTTCCAGCGTTTATTTTGATTCTCCTTGGCTCTGGGGGTTTGTCTTTTCCTTCGCATATTCTGTCTTTCAATGGCGAATTGTCTGACAGTGCCAAGTACAAGACTCTGGCGCTGATCTGATAACAGTGTAGAGACTGGTAAGCTATAGTATGTGACTTTCTCTAGCTATCTTCTAAGACAGAATACTCTTTCCATTCAAAGTCTAGCAGGATTTTCAATTATAAGACCCTCAGGGGAGGCTTCTTGTCACACCAATGCCATAGTTTCTATCCAACGCCCGCTGGCATGGTATCTCTATCCCGGCTATATCTTGTCTGACAGGGGCATCTAGTAGTCCTGTGCCACTACCACGAGGAGATTAAGCGCCGTGATCGACGCCCCTCTCTGTAGCCACAGACTGTCCGTGGTTGAGTAGTGAAGCTATGGTTTGTTCCTGAAGAATTTTGGATCTTCGAAGCGTTTATCTCTTCAGGTGACTGCAGACGAGGGACAATGTTCCAAGCTCTGTACTGGCAGTGCGAACGCAGGCACGTAAGACACATCTAGAGAGCCGTAAATGACTGTAATATCAGTATCGGGATTTTCATTTAGCAAAAAGACAGACATCCAAACTCACAGACCAGAGAGACGAGATCTTCCATCTCGGCTGAGCGGTTTAAATCGCAGCGACAAGCATCTAGGTGTTAAAAGGGAGAAAATCGTGGAGATTACCATTTGTACTTCCAAACCAACAGATCTCCTCGATCTTAAACAAGTTGCAGCTCTCAGAGCCTGGAAGATCAGGTAGATTCGATGAGTGAGTGTATCATCAAAAGGCAGAGGAGGTCGCAAGGCTGGCGGCTGCCTTTTTTGGCTGAAACCAACAGTGCAAACACGGCCAACAGTGCAAACAAACAATCCTGGTCTGAACCCCTCCATTTCTTTCTGTTTTTCTCAGCCTCAGATTGTTCTTCATCCTGTATCGCCGCCTCCTTTGTACATTCGATGTCTGTTATAGTACAGTACATATATCCAGCTGGAGTTGAAATCCCGCTACTCCACTTCAGAGATGCTGCGACCACGCTTGCTTCCAGTCCGATCTTGATTCTTGCAACGGTCCAACATCTTCAAAAAATAGAGGGGTAGGGTATCTGACGACACGAGAGAGCCACGGCTGACTATTACCGCTTATCAGAACGAAAAGCAAACCTCTTCGGCGAGTCAAACATGCCGGAGACTCGAACACGGTTGACACACGACAGTTATACCGTTGCTTGGGTATGTGCTTTGCCAGAGACGGGTTTTGTTGCTGCAGGGGCAATATTAGATGAAGAGCATCAAAGTCTTTTCGCGGCTGATGCACGAGATACAGATTTATAACTTCTTGGAAGAATCGGTGACCATAACGTGGTGATTGTTTGCCTACCGGCAGCGTCAACAGGCAAGGTTTGAGCCAATCTCAGAATACATTATGGGAACATTGGATCGGCGGATCAAATCATGATGGACGCCATCCTACGTGATTCGTGGGCACAGGAGAATATAATATATTTTGAAACGAAGGCTGCTGGTGGGTCAAGTTTCTACGCTGATTCCTTAATCTGATATTCATTTCAGGCTCAATGGACGCAATCCCCTGCATTGTCATTCGAGGAATATGCAACTACGCCAATTCCCACAAGAACAAAATCTGGCAGCTGTATGTGGCGGCAACAGCAGCATTATGTGCAAAGGAACTTCTGCTTGCTATTTCTGCACAAGGCGCTCCCGATTTGCCTCCGGCTGAGAAACTTACGCAGCAGCCTGACCCTCAGTTCTTCTCCCCTGGAAGCCTGCTGATGACGGGCTAGTTCCTGAGACTACACCCAAACCCGAGCCGAATGTCGATATAATCAGATCTATGTCAGACAGGAGAGATGCTTATGAAATATCAACTGGATCACGCTAATCGATTATGGGCCACAGCAAAGTGCTCACTTTCGATGACAGCAGGCCGGAAATGGCCGATAGTTTCTCAAATGAACAGAATCCCGGTAATGGCTCCAGACATGCCAGGAGACCCTATTCGGCCCTGGAATTCCGGGGGCTGGCAAGACAATTATGATGTCTATATACATAGACCTATAGCACTCTACCTTCATCGCCTACTAGGCTCTTTCAGACAGTATTAATATCCTTTATTCAGGGTTATTGTCCATGGCGATGGCTAGTCTAGCCTCTCCAGCGATTACAAATTTGCTCAAACCCCCGCAAGGACCTTGATGGACAGCATAAATGTATCATTCGATTCCTCTCTATTCCATTTTCCACCTCATTCTGCTGTTCCATTGCATATTCTAATCATGGCGACTCTTCCTCCCTTGCCCTATGCCTACGAGGTATCTCTATTCATCCATCTATGAAGTTAGGACACTATACTAATGCTGTACTTATGAATAGGCCCTGGAGCCCGTCATCTCACGGGAAATCATGCACCTGCACCATACGAAACACCACCAGGCGTACATTGATAACCTGAACGCGGCACTGTCGTTGCAAGAGAAGGCGCTGCGCAGCAACGACATCGCCAGTCTGATCTCGCTGCAGCAGCAGATCAAATTCCATGGCGGCGGACACATCAACCACTCGCTCTTCTGGAAGAATCTGGCACCCGTCGACACGCCCGAGACGGATCCCTCTTCTGCTGCGAAGAATCTCTACACAGCCATCCTCACGCACTGGGGCTCCTTCAAGTCCTTTGTGGCGGCGTTCTCGGCCACCTTGCTCTCCATCCAGGGGAGTGGTTGGGGATGGCTGGTGGTCAAGGATGGAGGGTTAGGGATCGTCACCACCCAGGATCAGGATGCTGTTCTCTCTGGAACTGCTTTGATCGGGGTTGATATGTGGGAACATGCGTATTACCTGCAGTATCAGAATAATAAACGGGGATACGTGGATGGTATCTGGAGGGTGATCAATTGGAAGGTTGCAGAGGAGCGATATCTTTCTTCGAAGCTATAGATTATATATTCATTTATCAAGTACTTATATATCAGTCATCCAATCATCGTATCAGTTATATCCAATTATCCCCCTGCCAACCTCCTTTTCGTCCATGAATAGAGTGATCTGGCGGCCGACGATGCCTCGCTCCGACACACCCAGCTCTAGTTCAGGCAGATCAAACTGTCTCTTGCGTGGATCAAGAGTGAAGCAATATAATGGGCTTCCTTCTGCTGTCTGGGAAATATCTCCGTGTGTTCTGTTTGTCAGCGGATGCTTCTCAACAGGGATGGAGGCTTCACATACTCTATCCGCATATGAAGTGCTGTGCAACTTGCTAGAGACGCCTCCTCGCCCAACCTCATGATTGTCGTCTTTTCATCTCGGTTGAAGAATAGAGGATACGGACTCGTCTCTGCCAGGGGGAAGATGACGGCGATACAGCCACCGTGACTTGGTCGAGATGGGCCGCACATTGTGTAGTATATTAGTGTATAGTAAGTGAAATTGGTATAGTATAGTGAGTGGTAAGTAGAATGTTATAGAAGAAGTAGTTATATTCTTGATGAATAATTGTCAAATAGAAGTAAATGCGCGGGATTGAGCAGATTATCATTAGACTTCAAGGTCCTCAAATCTGCTCATTCCACCTCGTTTCACTGCTGATCCCCTCACATCTCAAGGTCCTCAATAATGCTCTATTGTCGTCTCATTCATGTCTATAAAACATCTTCTGATCCTGGATTGAAGTCAGCAACTTGAACTAAGTGAAGCCTCACATCGTCTGACTTAGTCAGCAATGAGTATACAAGGTTTGGATATTAATGGATGAGCCAGACTTTACCATGGATTAATGATAATTTATAAAGTTAAGCCAATAAGATCGAATTCAGGAGTATCCTCTTGGTAAAGGAAGAAGAGTAACTAATAAAACCACAGGCTGCAGGATACCCTCCACGTATACAGATAAATACAGCAGCACATTCACCACTAAAGCTTTATATAAAGACTACAACATCAACTTGCTGCTAATAGCAACACACTTCAAGAATGTTTGGACAGATCTTGAGATCTCTGACTGGAAGGTGATAAACCATCTTCAAGATCTTGCTCAAAGGCACTTTAATACTGTCTGGAGAGCTTGGATATGCCTTCTGACGAGACAATATTAGAGACAATCCTCAACATTTTAGTCTCTGGAGGAGAAAGAGGAGACACATTAAACAGATGAATAGATTATATTAGAGTAATGTAGTAATAGAGCCAGTGAGATCTAGACTTACACTCTATTTGTATACTATAAAGTAATGAATCATGTTATCTACCTCTGACTAACGAGTAGAGAATGCAGACAGGAAGCATCGTAAAAGAAGAAATGATATTCTAACTATGAACAGAATGGCCTCTAATTATAATATATACATGAATCTAGTCTAGATATTATACTGAAAACAAGGCCATCACGAAGAGTGTCCAGCCTCGGCAATGACACTCCGCAGATACGCTCGTTCAGGACTCTCCTCGACAAGAGAGAAGAACGCGCCTCGTTTCGACACCAGCTCCGCGGGAGATCCATATTCCACCACTCTCCCGGCCTCGAGAACAAGGATCCGGTCGAAGTCGGCGACGGTGCTGAGCCGATGCGCAATCACCAACAGGGTGGTAGCGTTGCGACCAAACTCATCCCGGATGGACTGTTGGATCAGAGCATCGGTGTCCTTGTCGACCGCCGAGGTCGCCTCGTCCAGCACCACCATCTTCGGGCGTGAGACGATCGCGCGCGCAAGACAGAGCAGCTGGCGCTGGCCTTGCGACATGTTGCATCCGCCCTCGGTGACGGGGACGTCAAGCACCGACCGGGAGGGAATGGGTCTGTACGATCGCAGGGCGACCGTCTCGTCATCCACGTCCAAGAGATTCGAGCTCGAGATTGTTCCCAGCGTGATCGTCGTGGCGATGGACCGGACCGACACCTCGTCTGACTCCTGGGCGGCCACCATCGTCACGGCAGCAGGCCAATGCACCCGGACCAGCGCCTCGATCAGCTCGCCGTCACCGTACTGATCCAGTGGGTCGAGATTCGACCGGATCGTGCCGGCGAAGAGGATCGGGTCCTGCGGGATGATCGCGAGCCGGCTCCGTAACTGCTCCAGCGGGATCTCTGCGATGTCGAGCCCGTCCACGAAGATAGAGCCCTGTTGGGCCTCGATCAGACGGAACAAGGCTAGGGCAAGCGATGATTTCCCGGCTCCCGTGCGTCCGACGATACCGACGCGCTGGTTCGACTCCACGTGGAAGCTCACCCCGGCGAGCACGGGCGGTAGATCAGGCGAATAGCTGACCACAAGGTCCGACACGTCCAGTCTGCCGCCCGTGGGCCACGCAGCAGGGGCAGAGCGAGAGTTACTTGACTTGGCTTCCTCGCACGGGATGTTGCTGTATTCCGTGACGCGCTCGATGCTGTTCATCGACATCTCGAGGTTGGCGTATTGTCGGATCGCCTGCGAGACGACGGCGCTGTATCGGATAATGAAGCTGATGGCGAACCCGGCCAGCGCGGGCGTCACGCCCTGCATCGAGACCAGAATCGCCGCGGCGAGCGTCGTGAAGAGCGCGCCCACCGTGCTCATTCGGAACCCGAGCCAGCGGATCAGAAGCCACAGGTTCCATGCCGCCTGGGCGTGCTGGTCGACTTTCCCCTGCAGCAGCTGGCGGTAGCGGTCCGTCACCTCGAAGGCGCGGATGGTGGCCAGGCCGTCCAGCGCAGAGCGGAACAGTTCTAGGACAGGGCTGCGCGTGGTGCTTTCCAGGCGTTTGATCTCGCGGGCGACGGTGAGAAACTGCCATGCGTAATACACACACAGCGAGAGAGGCAGCAGGGACAGCAGAAGCAGCCAGCCGTTCACCAGGGACCCGGCCAGGATGATGGCGACCACCTCCAGCATGGCGGCAAAGGCATAGTTGAAGTCGTAGCCTAGGCGTGAGTCCACCAGATTGAAATCGGCAGCGAAGCGATTGAGCACCCGGCCCATGGGCACGGTGTTGAGCCACTGCAGCGGTGCGCGCAGCACATGCGAGAGCACCTGATGGAACAGGCCTTGCGAAGCGCGCAGTGCAGACGAGAGCGCCAGGTAGCTGCGCAGGACGCCCGTTATACAGGCCAGCAGGGAGAGAAGTACGTATATGCCGAGATAGAACATCACGTCTACCGTCGCGGAGGCCTGCTCGCTTTTGTTCGTCCAGATGTTCAACCACCAGCCCTGAAATTGTTAGTGAGCTGAATAATAAAGCGTAGTGATGAAAACCTTACTCGACCGAGCATGAGCCCGCTGTAGGAAATGAAAGCAACCACCAACGCCAGCCATCGCCAGGACCCTCCAACCTGCTGCATATATTGCCAGTAAACAGCCCATTTGACGTTGCCGGATGCACGTTCTTCCTCCTCGACAAACCGTCGGTGCGACTTGGGGGTATCATCCTCATCGTCGTCCGGGGCAAAAACGCAGGCCTGCAAAGCACTCTTCGGTTCTTGCTTGGCCGTTGTAGGATCATCGGTGTTTTGTGCATCGAGGTCGCACAACAGGCCTTTACTGCGAAGCTCGGATACGGAGCCCGAGTACCTGATCCCCGTTTGATCGAGCGATACAAGATAATCGGCGTGAGGGAGGCATAGGTGAAGATGGTGGGTGACGAGAATGCGCGTGCGGTTGGCTGCCAACTCACCCGTCAGCGCGTGTTCGTAGAGATGATGCGCCGTGTGGGCATCGACGGCACTGAAGATATCCTCGAGGATCAAGATGCCAGCCCGGGAGTAGAGTGCCCGGGCGAGAGTGAGTCGCCACCGCTGGCCACCACTGAGATTGACGCCTTGAGCGCCGAGTTCGGTGGTCTCGCCGTCGACGAGATTCTCCAGATCCTTGTCGAGCGCGCAGGCGCGGATCACCTGCTGGTATCGTCGGGCGTTGTAGGGAAGGCCGAAGAGGACGTTCTCCTGCAGGCTGCAGTTCTCGATCCATGGAGTCTGTGCAACGTAGGCGATGGAAGAAGGAACGATCCACTCATCGTCGGTCTCGTCGTAGCTCTCCGCAGATCCTGCAGGAGGAACAGGCCTGGTGACGAGGCCGTGGCTGACTGCACATTCTCCTAGGATGGCGGCCATGAGGAGACTCTTGCCAGAGCCAGTTGGACCTGTAATCACCGTCAACCCTGCCGAGGGCAGGTTGAGCGAGACGTTGCGCAGGGAGAACGGAGAGTCCCCCCGATCCGACTGCGGGTACCATGAGATTGTTGCATCGTGAAAAGAGATGTCCGGGCCTGGGATATGGATGTCCTCCTTCTCGGAATCCTGCAAGTAGGCGTCGATTCGCGCCAGACTGATCACCGCGTTGACCCCGTTGGCAAGCATCTCCGGCAGGACTGCCAGCGACACTTCCAGCGTGCCGAAGACCGAGATCGCGGTGAACGCCACAGAGGCCGAGAGCTGGCCGTGTTGGAGGGCATACACCATGAGACACGCGGCCGAGATCAAGATGGGGCCCAAGACATACATGGCCATCAGGAAGAGATTTGCGCAAAAGGCGTCCCACTGGCGTTGCAGCTCGTTGTCGCGTAATGTGTTGATGCGTCGCTCCCAGTGGCTCTCAAGAGCAGAGAACTTGATCTGTCTGATACCCTGCAAGGCCTCTGTGATGGTCGACAGCTTCCGGTCCCTCCAGGAGAGGAGGTCATGCTGGGCGACCGAGTAGCGCCGAATGGCGTAGACGTTGACCAAAGTCAGGACGAACAGGACGCCGATGGCGGCGAGGAGACTCTGCCAGCCGAGCAAGCGGGCGATCAAGATGCCGGCGATGACGACCTTCAAGGGGGCTTCGTAGATCATGAAATTCAAAGAGGCAAAGTCGGCGACGCGTTTGGCATCGACGGCGACCAGACTGAGGATGTTCTGTTCCGCCGATGATCGGGGCCCATCCTGGGACCTCAACGCCTTGTCAAAGATCACCACCGACAGCTGTTCGTAGAGTCGCACGGCGATGTCGTTGGACGAGACCCAGTAATTCCAGTTCTCCAGCGTTGCGGAGATCATGATGGACATGCCGAGCGCCAACACCCATAGCCAGACCGACGCGTCTTGTTGGATATTATCCTCCTCCTCTTCGACTGCTGTCGACGAGGCTGACTCCAGGGCTCGGAGGATGCCGAGGAAGCTGATCTGCGGCGCAAACGTGAGGATGGCGTTAGCGACGGTCAAGATGAGCTGCGACACCAAGGCTTTGCGATGCGACACGACCAGGACCTTCCACAGGCTGGTACGAGCCGAGGCAGCCAGGACGGCGCGGGTGCGGTCAAAGGCATCCTGCAGGTTGGCCGAGCGGGTGCGAAAGTCCAGTTCGGGGAGATCCTGGATGTTGATGGCGCGGTTATGGCGGATCGACTCGAGAAGACCGCCTGCCCACCCGAAGGACAGTCGGCTGAGGAAGGAATGCGTATCTTTCTGGTCGACGATGGCACCGTTGTGGAAGACATCCGGGCGCCGGGGCAGAAGCAGACCGAGACCAAAGGACGAGAAGGAGGCGGTGATCTGGGCGATCAAGGTCTCCAGCTGCGGATCCGCGTAACTCGAGTCTCCCAGCACATAGTGTGTATACGCTTCGGTGCAGAGGCCGAGCATCACCAGCAGACAACCGAAACTGCCTCGTAAGCCGTGAGTGAATCGAACCGTGGGCTCGGTCTCGACCAGCAAGGCGCCACCGGGGACGAGGAGGGAGATCTGTTCAGAAATGAGTGATTAGAATAAAACTGTAAAAGCATTAGTTGTACATACCCAAGCGCCAAACTGCAGCCAGTGTTCAAGAACCCACGATGGATCGTTGGTGAGCGTGGTCGAGATGGCGCGGGCGAGCGACAAGGCGGCGCCGGCTACGATGCAGAGCAGAAATCCGGCGCGCTGCCCCCAGTCGGAGAAGGCGTACATGGATTCCTCGGTCGCGACGCCATCTTGGTCTCTGTAGATGGCTCTGAACAGGGAGCGTCGCTTATGCGGCTGTCGCAGCCATCGGAAGATGCTGGGGCACGACGGGGCGGCCGAGAGCAGGGAGCAGGCGAGAGCGACAATCTGGATGATCAGGCAGAAGACCGGGGAACTGAGCATTGTTCATCGCCAGACTCATGCGAGATCGGTCGTCAACATGGTCTAACGAAGTCCTGCTAGCAAGAGCTGAAGGGCCAAAGAGCTGAAGAGCTGAAGGAGCTGTTCGAGGCAAAAAAGAATAATAATCATACCGGCAATAATATAATGCCGGCGAGCTCATCGTCGTAGGCTGTTTGGCTGGGGGGCGCTCGTCTTCCGTAAAGGCCGCGTCGCCAGTGGATCTCCCTGCCCACTTCACGGCGCCAAATTCAGTCCGACCGGTCGTTTCGAATCGGTTGAAAGTGAGTGTTCCATTGCGTAGAATCCTGTCGCTATCCTATCGCTATCCTGTCGCTATCCTGTCGCTATCCAGTTCTTCCTGCAACAGTCAACACAATCCACAACAACAGCACACTCGATATAATCACAATCAACAACAATCAGTCTCACCCAAAGCAACATGTGTAGACCCACTGCCAAGCCAGCTTGTTCCCTCCCTGCTCGCGACTGGCTCTCAAGTCGGCTCGCTCCGAGAGGCTGCTCGAATGGCGCAGACCACGCGTCGCCGGTGGAGCTCGACGGTCGACTGGGGTGCGATCGGTTTGATCTGATAAGAGGTCGATGGCGAGGACGGCTGCCTGGCGGCTGCAGCAGCAGCAGCAGCAGTTCTCATCGATCAGATCAGTTCACCCGGATCAGTCGACCCGGAGGATTGTTTCGTCCGACTCTAGAGGCTCTCTGCGTTAGCTGGTCTTGCAGGACTCGGGAGCAGCGATAAAATAGCAGAAAGAGACAGACGATCGACTTAACTGAACTCCTGTCGAGAGATGAACCCGCATTCAGCCCCCAGTTGACCCTGACGACGAGGTGAGATGAGATGAGATGAGATGAGATGAGATGAGGCTTTTCGTTTTGTCGACGGAAATTGTGTTGTGGGTTCCGAAACAGGAAAGGCCCAGTGTCACGTGATCATGACTGTCTTCCACTGATTTCTTCTCTTTCTTTATATTAAAAATGTTCGACAACTGGATATAACCCAGTGTCAATACTACAAACAGTCTCTTGGACTGTATACAGTTATACTATCTGGTATTCAATCTGTAGGAATAGTTCAGCAATACCCAACCTAGATTAGAAAAGTGCTAGTAATATAGCTATCAGTCTCTACTCATGGAACGACTTGACCCTGCATTTGAAGAGCAACTCGACGCCAGTGACCCCCCTCAGGTCGAGGTCAGGACTGGCAACCGGTTGCCTTGACCTCCAGGCTGTTCATGCTGTTGACGCCCACCTGGCTGCGCGAGACGTATCCGTCAAGCTGGAGACGCCCCCGGCAGAACAGACTGGGGATCGGATGCTCGAACTTGCTGTCCACCCATTCCCCCTTCCCGTCCGTCTGAGACAGCTGGAACCCGTCCAGGTAGTAGAGCACAGAGCCGTTCAGACTGTTGGTGTTGCCCATCTCCGGGCCAAGCCGCCACGTCCACGAGGTGACTTTGCCCGCGGGGACCTCCCAGCCGGCGAAGCTGGCGACCATCCCCTCGACGCGGACGTGGTAGTATTTCCGGAGATAGTCGATGGGATGGTCGACGGGAATGTCAAAGTAGAGCGTCTTGTCGGCCACCAGTCTCTCCTTCCAGTCGAGCGGGAAGATGGAGCCCGTAAACTCCTCGGTACTCAGACGCAGCCACGGCTGGAGGGTATCCACGGATTTGGTCTTGTTGTAGGCGTCCTTGATGTGGACGAAGAGGAGTTTGAACGCCTCGGTGGTCGAGTCGGCGTGCACCTGCTGCTGCAGGGCGCGAGCCTTGGCCGGGTCGTTGCTCGCATACAGCACCGCCAGCAGACACTCGTGGAAACGCACGTACAGGTTGGCTCGCATGCGGCGCGACTCGAGCAGCAGGGACCAGCGCAGGGCCGTCTGGGCCGTGTCCCACTGCGACTGGAGCGTCGCCTGGCGCGCCATGGCCTGGAAGGCGGCGCCGCGGGCCTTGCGGGCTTCCATCTCGGCGCATTGGCGGTAGTATCGCTGCAGGTCGTCGAACATGTCGTCGACGCGCTGGTCAAACTCCTGCCAGTCCGCCAGGAGACCCAGGTAGTCGACGGCCGCGGTGGCCTCGCGCGGCAGCGTCGACGCCGTGATGCGCCGGCTGGTCTCCTCCAGCACGGCCTGGGTGGTCTTCTGGCGCCGGGCAATGTCCTGGTGCGTGGTGTTGTCTCCATCCCCATGATGCTGCCGTTGAGCACCGACTGGTTCTTGTACGCGTCCATCATCTTGGGCGCCAGCTTGGACGCCACCTCGGCCACCTTCTTGAGCGCCGTGGTGAACTTTTCCCACGTGCTGACCGTCTTGCCGATGAGGTCTTTGGTCTCCAGGAACTTGCCGACGGTGAGCGCCCTGCCCGCGCCGCACGTACACGCGGCGAAGACGACCGTGCCCACCAGCTCCACGCCAGCCTTGATGAGGCCCGAGATGAAGTCCTTGTTCTTCTTGCGCTTGTACTCGGCCATCCCCTGCTGGAAGAGCTCCGCGGCCCGTTGCGTCCCGTCCAGGCTGGCCAGCATCGCCAGCCGCTGCTTCTCGCGGTTGTCGATGGCCTGCAGCGCCGTGTTCATCGCCTCGTCGTCGGAGAAGTGCAGCCGGATATCCTGCCCGAGGGCTGTGAACACACTCCCCACCAGCGTCTGCAGCGTCTTGCCGCTCTCGATACTGCTGCTCAGCTGGGCGATCCGGCTGTCCACGGCAGCCGATGCCGTCAGACAGTTGTTCATCGTGTCAAACAGCACATCCGCCCGCACCGAGGGGACAAAATACCGCATCTCGTCGACCCCGTTCGATCCGGCACAGCGAGGAGCGAGCACAGCGCACAATGAATCGCAGCTGGCTCCGCACGCGGGCAGCCGTCTGGGGCGCATTGTTGAAGATCTCCCGACTCAGCGACGTCAACATCTGATGCAGCAGGCGAGGAAGGTTGCTGAAATGTCAGTCTTCTTGACCCTCGTATATTCAAGCAGTGACTTCATGACACTCTTGTTTCAGGTATGACATACTTTGTTCTCCAGACATCAACGCCAAAAAAGTCGATATCCCCCAGCGGCGGTCGCGTCCACCGCAGCAACCAGCCTCGCCACGTCCTCGTTCGACAGACGAGACTGCAGCATCTTGTCTCCGTCCAGGCCTTCCACCTGCGGCACCTGCTGCGCCTGCTCCTGGACATGACGGTGTGTCGGTTCCGTGGCACTGTCGGGACACTCTGCGGCGGCGTGGAAGAGGGCAATCGGACGCTGCGCGTGTGCCGAGCTCACAACCAACGACGGCGATGCCCTGTCACAGTAGAGGTAGATCTTCTGCGCGGTGCTGGTCGGAGGCAGCTCCCAAGTGACGTTGTGCAGGTCGGAGAAGAAGTCGCGGGCGAAAATCCAGAAGGTGCAGAGGGTGGCGGGCAGCTGCACGTGCAAGGACGATGACGTCTTGTCTCTGGCCGTCAACGTGTCGCAGTAAAGATGGAAATAGCGGATATTCGGCCCATTTTGGTGCAGCAGAGCCAGGATTGTTTCCCATTCTGCGTTGATTGAGCGGAAATAAAGCTGGTCTCATCAGGATAGATGTTGTGTAGTACAGATAGAACGAGGACATACATGGCTGCCAAACACATAAGTGTCTTCATCGGGGACATCGAGGGTCCCAGGGAACTTCATGGTGAATTGTTTGGGTAGTTATGGGAAGACGCCTTCAATATATAGTACAGAGTATGTCATGTAATTACTTGGAGGCGCAGCTGAATGCATGGACTTATTTTCAGCTTGATATGGACACGACCTTTTGCTAAGCACACATATAGGGTTATTATAGTTCAAGTACAGTCTAACCTATGTCTAACTTAACCCTACCTAATCAATGGCTAGGTAGGCTCAATGCTAACCCTAACCCTAACCTAACCCTAACCCTAACCCTAACCTAACATCAAGATATCTAACATTAATCAGGTTTCACCCATCTCGGCGCCATCACATCAGAACTTCTGCTGAACATCACTGGCGTGCAGGGCAGCATCCTGGCTGGCGAGCAGAACGATGCGTCGGTGGAGTATGAAAGAATGCAGACCACCTTGTCCCAGGCATGCACAACCCATATAAATTGAGTACATTCTACAGCTAACCCTCACCCCAGCTGAAGGACTGTTTCGCCTCGATCGACTCGCTCGCTGTGCTCTCTATATTCCGGTCAAGGAACAAATCGGGTGTGGTTACCAGGCTGATTGATGGCACTATCACCGGAGACCAAGTCCCCTCAGACAAGGATTCCATTCGACTCTACAGTCCGTCTGAGTTTAATGTTCCTCAACAGGTGATGATGATGATGACTCCAGCGCTCAAGCTGCGGATCAACAGAGATAAACCATTGTTCCCATACGCCAATTACTGGGCGCTTCCTCCGTCTCCCTTTCCATGGTATACGATACCAACCATGTTCACTATATCAAGAGCCCCGAGGGTGGTGTCTTGACTGAAACCGTCAACCTCAGCCGTCTGACCCGGCCTATCACCACCCCAGCCGCAGAGGCAGAGGTCAGCCGTATGCTGACATTTCCCTCGGCAATGTTTGCTGGCCCCCCTGTTGTCTTCCTTGGATTAGCCAATCTGTCGTTTAGCCCGCCGGCATATTCTGCTGGTGCAAAGGTGGATATGCTGACCAGGAATGGGGTCCAGATCTCCCGCGTCTCTGGGTTTCCATTGAACATAGGAGTGACTGTGATTGCATTGAGATAGTCTACTATACACACTGAGTAGCCAGTATAATAGTCACCTACCCAACCACAACCACTGTACGTAAGAATGGCACTTGATGATCATGTTCTTCTTCATCGCCTATATCAAGAGCCTGGATGCTTGGAGGGTTGGGAGGAGACTAACACAAGATATATTGATAATGTAGGTAATATAAATAGGTGCCGGTGAATGACAAGATGCAATGGCACTGTGACTCCTAGGGTTAGGGTTTAGGGTTTAGGGTTTAGGGTTAGGGTTAGGGTTAGGGTTAGATTCGACTCAAGCTGACTGACTCGTTGGAGCTCGTAGAAAAGAGAAAATAATCGGGCATGGCAATGGAAACACCACTTGAAATGCTTGACTCTGGTTTATTACTTGTCTATTCCTCATAACATATCTAGAGTTTAGTCAGAATCGATACTCATGGAAAGCGTCGATGATCTTCTCAATGGCCTCTTCCCTCCAGACATCCCATTCCCTCTCGACTCCCTGCAGACCAAAAACCACATTCCAAGGCGTGGACTGGGTGTATTGCGGCCAGTCTCCATCTGTGCCCGGGCCAGCGATGAAACTCACCCACATCCGACACATGAGCGTACTCAGCCGGAGATAGTCGCTTTGCGTCTGCTCATCCGGCGAGTCCAAGGGGGGGAATGTGATAGCCGACGCCCAGCGTGTTGCGAAAGACAAAGGCCACGTCTGTGAAATGCGCTGCCCCGAGAAGACTCGCATCGATCCCATTCGGCACCGCATCGAACCGGTAGCTGTATACAGTATACAGGGAGGTGGTGTTGTGCCCAGCACCGAGCAGCGAACCGTTTGGGAGCCGTAAAGAGATAATCTCCCAGATACAGCGAGGCAAGACCGAACAGACGGCCGTGTCCGGTTGGATGGACTGTATGGAGGTCGTTTCTTATCGCTGCAGGAGACCTCTCCAGATAGGCACGAAGAAGACGATCGACGGTGGTGTGCTGGAGATACTTGCCCGGCCCAAACGTAGCAATCAGCCTGCGCAGATCGTCGGGCGAGTTCACGGTAGGCAAATCCTGCGAGCAGGTATCCGGTTCCCTCGTTGGTATTGGTGCCTGTCAAGAGAGGCACTCGGACAAAACCTGCCTTGTCGCAGAGCCACCGACGAGGCTTCTCTCGAACGATCCGTCCGTCGACAACAGGGAAGAAGAACCTGGTCTGGAAGACTGGCTTCAAGGTCTCAGCCGGCACACCGCGCAGACACTCCAGCGTGGCGCATCCCACCGCCGCGACGACCTCAGCAAAGACGGCTTCCTGTTCCTGGTCCGGCATGAGACTCGCCGACGAGAGCGGCCCGCCGCTCTGCGCAATCGCCGAGAGAAACAGGCCCTCGTCGCGGCCCCCAAAGGCCAGAAGCTGGTATCCCACCGACAACGCGCCGGCAGACTCGCCCTGGATGGTCACCCTGCGGGGGTCGCCGCCGAACGCGCCGATGTTCCCTTCCTGCATGCCTCCTCCGTGGATGTACACGAGAACCGGCAGAGTATCGACAACTGTGGCCGGACGGACAATATTGACGGTCAGACAGTCTTCAGACTCTTCATGGGCGATGGCCTCGGAGTAGCCCGGGAGACTCATGGGCGCGGAGTGACACCATGGCCCGTACGCAGTGGCTGCACGGGGGGAATCCCATGAAGCGTTGATGGACTGGGGGTGTTGGTAGCGGAGAGTGTTGATCGGGGGTTGAGCGTAGGGGATGCCCAGGAAGAGATCTTGATGGTACTGGCTATTGTACAGGCCAGTCACGGTGCCATATACTCTATACTCTATACTCTATACTCTATACTCTATATACAGGTAGAGTACAGAGTATTCCACCAGCCACCACTGTATAGAAAGAGTATATATTGTCTTCACAACCTAATTCACCAACACTATTGGTCAGTGAGATAATAACTATATATTCTACAGCCCATAACCCTCGCTATGCTTAGGGGCTCAAAGAGGGGCTATAATTAGTATTATTCTTATTCTTATTCTTATTCTATATACTTAGGTCTATTAGCAGCCACTCTGGACCTACAGCCCTACATTTATAATTATTCACACTAATCTAGATAATTAGTTAAAGAATCACTAGGAATCACCTAGGAATTGCCCAGGAACTACCTAGGAATTAATACAAGAATTAATAAGGAAGTAATATAAAGAGCACCTAAGGAATTAATATAAGAAGTAATATAGGGATCCCCTAGGAATTAACATAAGAATCGCCTAGAAATTAACGCAGGAATCATATAGAAATCATATAGAAATCATATAGAAATCATATAGAAATCATATAGAAATCATGTGGGAATCACCTAGGAATTAAAGCAGGAATCAATATAGGAATAATTTAGAAAAAGGTTAGTAAAGAATAATAGAGGTAAGAAAAGAGGCAACTACAGACCTTTCTATAAGCACATTACATCTTAGTACGCTAAGAAATTAACAGAGAGTAAAGAGTAATACTATAGGGTCATCTACCTACTACTTACTCTCTATAATCTTAGCACTCTACTTATTCTGAGTTTATACAGCCTATATAATGATCTAGTGGTGAGTATTTGTTGACTATGATGGATATATAGATACCAATCATTAGATATACAGCTTCTCTTTACATCATTAACTTAACTGTTTATTAACTATTTCCTATTGATATTTCTATTATTTACATATTATTAGGGCCTAACCCTATTATATACTTATATATTATAGATAATATTCGTCCCTAAAAGTTATCTAATTAGTTAGTTTAATATTATCTTATTATTAGCTCTATATAGGGAGAATTCTTATATTATTTAGCTAAAAGTTATAAGTCTAATTATATCTAGTTAATATAACTTATTTATACTAATTTACTTGATGATAAGTTAACCTATTAGTAATATTAAGTACTATAAATAATTATATTATCTTAATAGACCGCCTATAAATATAACCTCTAATATTAATAAGATTATCCTAAAAGATGAGGATAATTAGCCTTTATAGTATATAGCTATATTAAGATATATATAATCCCTACTTATATAGAAATATATAGATCTAGAATATAAAAATATATTAAAGGAGCTATAAGCTCTAATGCCTATATCCTATTAGTAGGGTATAATAATACTAGAGGAACTCACTATAATAAAGTAAGCCCTATATAAATATATAATTAATCACCGGTGGACCCTGACAACCCAGGGGTCCAGGCCCTCACACAAGCCATGCAGGTAATAGAAGGGATGGAAGGGGAGAAGCAACACATCATTATAGGAGACTTTAACATCTATAACCCCCTATAGAGTAGATATCAACACCCACACCCATAAAATAACTAAGTAAGGGTAGAGGAACTTAAGGCCGTGATAGAGGAAACACCCCTTATAGTTATTATATTAATAAGGATAATTATTAGGCCAGCATAGATTATAACTTATACTAATAATTAAGATAATATAATTAATAAGGATAATATTAAAATAAATAGGGATATTATAGCTAAAGCAGTATAAGGCACTATAATTAATCTATATATAATATTATAGAATATATAGGACTAGCTTTATTATATTATAATAGTTAATAAGATATCTAGCATCTTAGACTATACCTTAATTAAAATAGAATTTAATATTATATTTATATAGAAACTACTATACCCTTAATAAATATAACCTAGTATAGATAATAAAAAGCTAATAGAGGAGATTATTAAGAAACTTTTATTATATTTTTTATAAATCTATAGATAACTCCTCCTAAAGGAGATTAACTCTCTAATTATCTAAATAATAGCTATTATCTTTAGTATAGTTAAAGTATCTATATTATAGGCTAGGCCTATAGCCCTCTTAAGACTAGGATTCACCCTAATTTATCACCTATTATAGAAGAAGGCCAGAAGAGCTATATAAGAAATTACTTAATATTAAGAGATTTATTAAGAAAGAGCCCTAGAGTAAATAAGAAAAAATATAAATAAAAAGAAGAAGAAGATAAGTAAGCTTATTAAAAAATATTAATAAAAAGTATATTAAAATAAGGTTACTATTACTAATAGTAATATATTATAAGTATAGAAGCTAATAGAGTAGATTAAGGATTATATACCTTATTAAGTATATATACCCCCCCTCTATAATACTAATAAAGATATATAATATTAGTTAGAATAAAAAGTAAAGGTACTTTTAAAGATCTTCTTTTTAGAATTATTAGCTGCTAATCTAATTAATATAGAGGGCTTTATATACCTAAAACTAATCTAAATACTACTAATAGTAAAGTATAAGGTTATTATTATAATATATAGACTAGATGCTAATAAAGTATTAGGCTTAAATAAAATTCTTAATTATATTCTATAAGCTGCTTTAGGCATCTTAAGCCCTTTTCTTTATAATATATATAATTATAGCCTTTATAAGGGCTACTACCTAAGATACTTTTAAGAGGCATATATTATTATACTCTATAAATTAAATAAAGATAATTATTTTAAGCCTAAATTATACTACTTAATTATACTACTTAATATAATAAATAAAGTTATAAAGAGTATTATAATATTATAGCTTAATTATCTAGTAGAGAAGTACTACCTTCTCTTAAAAAACTATTTTAGGGATTATAAGGGCTAAAGTATAAAGACTACCCTCTATATATTTATAGAAGTTATTTACTTAATATAAAAAGAGAATAAGGTAGCCTTAGCCCTCTACCTTAATATTTTTAAGATATTTAATAATATATCTTATATTAGGCTTTTATATAACCTATATAAATAATATATTTTAATAGATATTATTAGCTAAATATAGTTCTTTCTAGATAAATAGTATATAACCCTAGAGATACTTAAATATAATATACCTAAAGATAAGGTTAAGATTAATATTCTATAAGGATTACCTCTTTTATTTATTCTATATCTATTTTATAATATAGATCTTATTAAGGCTGTTAGACACGCCACTACTTATATTAAATATATAAATAATATAATAATTATTATTATAAAGGAATTAGTAAAGGAGAACTACTAACTTCTAGCTCTAGACTTTAAAAATATATATATATAGTAGTTTACCTAATATATATTAGTCTTTATTCTAGAGAAATTTATACTAGTTTACTACTATAGGCTAAATATATAATTAAAGTTAATATAATAGCCCCTAGGCCCTATAGACCCTTAGATAAGAAGACCTTAATAGACTTCTTAAAGTAATATAAGTATTAAACCTCTTTTTAGTCTATTAAATATAATAGCCCTAGCCCTAGACCTAAAGAATAGATAAAAAGTATACCTAAATAAATCTACTAAACTCCTTAAAATCATTCTTAACTAATACCTAATATTTAATAAATATCTTAAATAAGTTAATAAATAATATATAAGAAGTCTTTAGGTAATATTAGTGCTAGGCTAGTTAAAATAAGGCCTCTTATTAAATAAAAAGTATTTTCTTTATAATACTTATATTATTTTAGTGACCTTATATAGATTATCTATCTAGTAAAAGACCTAAAGGAGAGATTATATAAGGTTATATAATACTTAATTTTAATATTTTATTACTATTTAATATTAAAGTAGCTATATTATCTTAGGAGGCTTCTATACTATTAATAATAGTATATTTAATATAGACTTATACTTTTTACTAATAAAATAGTACCTATAGAAGACATACTTAATAATACTTACCTATATTATAATAATATTAGTATACTATTATATTCTTTAATATTATAAATATTATTATAATCTTTTAATATATATATTATTTAAGGCTGCTAAGGAGGAGATGCTCCTTTAGACTAATATTAATATATAAGATATAGAAATATATCTCTTTTATACTATTCTCCTATAGTAGAAACCCCTTTTTATTAAAATTATATATTTAAAAACTATTATAATTATTTACTATAAGATTTATCTTCTAGCATATAGTAGTACCCTAAAGATATATATAGATAGGTTAGGGCACTATAAAGAGGTGGGTGTAGTAGTAGTAGCCCTTAAACTTTAAGTGGCTAGGTAGGCCTATCTAGGGTTAAAGACTATTAATACTATAGCTATAGTAAAGGTAGTAGATATTATCCTAGCCCTTTACTTTACTAAAAAAGACTTATACTTCTTTAATATAATTAAAGTATATATAGATAATTAGGCTGCTCTCTAGATACTCTAAAATCCTACTTAAGAATCTAATTAATATTTAGTAAAGAAGATTATAGAACTACTAGAGGAGTACTAAATAGCTAGCTAAAAAATAAGGTTTTATTAGATCCTAATAAGAAATTCTTAGCCAAGCACTTAACCACTCAACTAAAAAGGCATTCAATATACTACTTTCTAGCAGTATATTTAGTTAAGTGATATATATAGCCCCATCAATATCACACTAGCCTATATTAATATATTAGATAATAAATATACTAATAAGATAGTTAAATAAGCCACTAGATGACGCCCCTAAGAATATAATAATAATAGACTAAGGGTACTATTATTAAGGGGTATTACCACCACACCACTTTACTCTATAGTAGATAAATAAATTAAGGAAACTATATAATAATAATAA